CTTATGGAGGGGAGTGTATACATTTTTTTCGCTTATCTATTTATATATTTATTTTTGTCAGCCTTTGTTTCAGGCAGTTTTCGAAAAAACGAAATTCCGACACTCAAACGGCAGTATGTATTCTAGAAGATCTATTGAACGACCTCTCCCATTTCTTTTGATTATTTTTTACTCAAAAGGTGGTTTCATTCTCAACAAATAAAATTGTTTGAATGTCAAAAGAAAGGTAATACATTTAATAGAAAAAATCTAAATATCCATATTGCATCCGCTTACTCTAACTATAGTTAGAAAATAATAATTTGTCTGTATTTATTATTCGTTGATAAATACAGTTGTCTCATTTGTTATTATTCTAAATGTTCTTACTTACAGAAAACGCGTTTGTATCAGTAAATCCTCTGAATAAGTACAGTATGTAACAGTCGAGGAATGTGCAAAGATGATAGTGCATATAGCCTCTGACGATGCATCCATGCTGAATGGACATTGCTTGGTCCATGATGGGGGAGTGTCTCTTACAGCTATTCGTAAGACAACATTGGAGCGTATTGCAGAAGTGGCACAGAGGTGATGTGTTTTTATGCTTTGTGTCTCTTCCCCTTTATACATTATCACTGGTACTCATTTAGTTACGCTGACGATACGTCAGCGTAACAAGATGGAAGAACTTCCGGGCTTCGTTTTCGGTAAGATATTTATATTTATCGATTCTACACCACTTATGAGTCAAGTTGTTTACAACATATGACGTATCGTCAGCGTAACTAGGTGAGTACCAGTGATTATCCTCCTCCATAGATTTTACCTTTATTCACAGGCTGGTATCGAAAGATTTTCCCGCTGTGACGGAGCATATTATTTTTCATAAAAACACTAGGAAAACCACACAATTTATTTTGTAACTCATATGTTTCGTTATATCAAAGAAAATTACTTAGTAAGTATGAGTAAACTTTAAATTGTGAAGTATTCTTAGTGTTTTTATGAAAAATAGAATGCTCCGTCACAGCGGACAAATCTTTCGATACCAGCCTGTGTTATTGAGGATGGGGAGAGAAGCAACACAAAGACTTGGCCATAGCAATTTCAATTTGCTAATCATTACATTTCAAACTAGCTGTATGCTTCAAAAGGAACTAACATAAGGCTATGGTCCTTCACGATAAAGACTTATATTAAGCAAAGTACCTTCATCAATTATGGAAAACAGTAAAATGATATTGTGCTACCGATACACCATACTGATTTATTCTCTAACAAACTATATACCCAAAGCACACTTTATTTAACTGAACTATATTTTTGCAATTAGATTTGTAGTTTAAATTAGTGTAGCGTAGTTTTGTATATTTTGTATCTTGTAAACTGTATTGATTGAAAATCATAAGCTATCTAAAACACTGTGTAAAAGTAAACAGGCGACATACATGTATAACATCATGTCTGCCGCTGATGTAATAAGAATTAATAAACTACTTAATAAACTAGACTTCAATATTCTTATATAATGTATTAAACTTTATCGTTTGTGACCTTGTTGTTTTATAATTATGTAAATAGTGTTGATAAGGAATACTGTTTTGAAGAGTCTTGAGAAAACTCATGTCAAAAACCAATATTGCATTATAACTACCACTGGTGATCCGCTCGATTACGCTGGTTACCGAAACGGTTCGTTTTGGTAACAAAATGTCGGAACGTCGAAGGTACGATTTTTCTTTTTTCCTTATTTTAAGCGTTGTAGGCAGAATCCCCACGACGTTTTTTCTCGCAAACGTATATCAGTATCATATGTTTTAGAAAATGTACATGTTTGCGAAAAATAGCTCAGAGAGGAACAGAATCGTCGATTTAATTCCTCACTTAAAGGAACATTCCTGGCCAAACCTTTTCTATCCTGACGTGATAGTTATAATCAAATATATACTTTCCATATTTAGCAAAACATGGGGAAATGTTTTAATATAGTCAATATTGATAATTTAAAAATGTAGTGCACATTTCCAGTTAGCTGCCATCTTTTAAGATTTTACTCAGGAAGTGATGTCATCGACTCTCAACTTTCATGACCTTGCATATAACAGTATAGGAAAATAGCACAATATCACTTCTAGACGAGTGATCCTTACTTTATGCGCAAAAATATGTTCAGAGCTTGTCAGCTTAGAATAAAAGAAGATACTTTCAGAAGGATTAAATCATAAGACAAAATTGAAAAAGAATATTCAGCTGGTTTTGTAATTCTTAATAGCTCCTTGTAGTGTTATATGCAAAGTTGAGAGTCGATGACATCACTTCCTGAGTGAAATATTAAAAGATGGCAGCCTACTGGAATTCGGCACTACATTTTCAAGTGATCAATATTGACCATGTCAAAACATTTTTCCATGTTTTGCTAAATATGGAAAGTATATATATGGTTATAGCTACCATATTAGGAGAGAAATGGTCTGGCCAGGAATATTCCTTTAAGTTAAATAAACGGTTTGGGTTAAAAGTGCAGATCTTAACTATTTTTTCGAAAAACCGTTTATGTAACTTAAGTGAGGAATTAAATCGAAGATTCTGTCGTATTCTGAACTATTTGTTTGCAAATATGTACATTTTCTTAAACATATGATACTGATACACGTTTGTGTTAAAAATGTCGTAAGAATTCTGCCTACAACGTGTGAAATAAGGAAAAAAGAAAAATCGTACCGTTTATGTAACTTAAGTGAGGAATTAAACCGACGATTATACCAAAACGAACCGTTTCGGTAACCAGCGTAATCGAGTGGATCACCAGTGACTACACTACTTCCAAAGGATTACTCCACAAAGGGCGCTGTTAAAAAGGTGGACAAAAATCTAATTTAATTTGCACTGATTTATCAGTGCAATCACCATCGAAAATGTTTAGGCTTTATGTTTTATCTTGTGTGTATATATTTTTCCTTAAATTATCTAAATGCATGTTTACAAATGGGATTTTATTAAACATGTTAAAGATATTATGTCAAAATACAGAGTGGTCCAAAAAAGGTGAACCTTTGTAACAAGCTATATCTAAGTTATTACTTATTATGCATTAATGGGCTGATATTCTCACATGTTTTAGAAGAAGGTCTAAAGTATTGTGGGTAACATAACGGTCACTTAGTCCTCTAAAGTATTTGAAAATATTAGCCCAGAATGCAAGTAATATCTGAAATTTAACTTGTTACAAGCACAGGGGCTTGTCTCGAGGCGTCGGGCAAGCCCTCCGATGAGTGTGTACTGCTTATTAAGAGAAAAAGGGTGGTCGATTTTGATGCTACCTGAAATTTGTAGAAAATGATTGTTAGATATATCCAGTAAAAATATATGAAAAATAAATTCAGCAATGACATTAATTTAGTTATGATAACATCACTTACAAGTATTTATTACAGGTCGTCGAGACCATTGTTGCTTGATTTATAGCAAAAACGTTGATTTGTGCCTGTTGATGGCCTTGCGCCTTTTTTAATAGATCTCATACCTTAGATGCGTATCGTTTCAGAAAAAATCCCAGAAAACCTAACATATTCTACCATACCGTGCGCCTATCCATTTAGCAATTCAATAGTAAACTTTTTCTTGAAAAAATAAATCTTCCAGATTTGTTTAATTTCCTAGCAGAAATTGCCTGCTCCCCCCCCCCCTCCGTCCCATATTCACGATCACCGGGCGCGTAAGTGTGTAAGGAAGTGATTAAAATGCAAAACACGGCAATTTTCACCCTCAAATAGTTCAGAAGACAACATAATCGTCGATTTAATTCGATATATATCACCCGCTCACCTCAGATATCAATTACATGTCATTTACCTATAACACTACTAAGTACTAAGTATTATAACCAATAAAAATAGAACCATGAGATAGAAGAAAAGAACTTTAAAATGCTTTTTTTTATTTGAAGCTTCTTGCTGAATTTTGAAGGATGCATCAACTTTTGTAAAATTCATTACAAATATTTTTTGGCTTGTTTACGCCACCCCCCCCCCCTGACTGAAAGCTGGTGTATTGTAAAGTGTATATAGACTCGATGCTCTCTTGGATTCAGTCACATGTACTGCCATTCATCCATGGGCAGATCCCAGATAAAATTCTCCCTGCGGGGTATGTCTGCTGCGTTCTTTGGGTATCCAATTAGTTTTGAACTTACTCATCGTTTAATGTTATTGAATTGAATCATGTGCAAATAAAACAATTGGGATAATATATTATCGGTTCCCTAATCCCTACCCCTTCTAATAGAGAATGTACGGTGTACATGGTTGGATAGAAACGGACACATTACGTCATCGATCAACATCTAGGCTTTAATGATGAAACTTCGAACAGGTGGGAAGTATTGGAGTATTCACAGGTGTTCTTTTATGTCCTCACGGTAAAGCCTAACATCAATACTTCTATCGGGGATTGATCATATTTAATACTTAACATTCATATTCCACCAACATCAAGTCTCAAAGTGTTACCTTAATGATCACTGTATTACTTTCATTGCGTAGCTCCCTAGAGAAATACAGAATTTCCAATCCCCAATATTCAATTGATTTTCGATCGAACTTTATTCTTGGAGATCGGCAGGGTAAATAAATGAATACGTAAATTAGGAGAATATATTGACTGGAAACCAACTGGATATATTTACATTATACTTTGATGAGATTATTGGCTAAGGCCTACCTGGACTTATTCTGGTTATGAATTAATTTATATTATTCAGGTTAGAAAATTTATTTTTGTTTTACTTATGACTTAAATTAGGAAAACATAATCTCTGAGAAAAAGCAGCAATATTTGAATCATAATTATGTCTCGGATCATCACTTATATATTCCGAAGAAATAAATGAATATTAAAATAAACATGGATATTAAAACATAGAAACTATTTTAAATGTTACTATAGGAAATAAAAATACGATACAAAAGTGACATTTATTATTACGGATATATCGAAACGGTCAGAAGTGATCAAACGCCATGGCAGACAGAAGTCGAGCGTCGATGGACTCTACGAGCTCAGAGGGAGCGGCCAGTATCAGCAGTCGGGGGAGCCGCTCCCATAGTCTCGCATTCACCACGCGTAACTCCCTCGCCCCCAAAATGTCCATGGCCCCGAGTAATTTCAGTAAAAGCGAGAACAAAGTCATCATAAACGTTGGCGGTATCAGATACGAAACGTTTAAAACAACTCTGAAAAACATCCCAGATACCAGGCTGTCATGGCTGACTGATTCTTCGGCCGGTAGCAATGATTACGATCCGGTGTCGAAAGAATATTTTTTCGATCGCCATCCAGGTATTTTTAATATGATCATGAACTATTACCGTACAGGGAAGCTACACGCGCCAACTGATGTATGTGGCCCATTGTTTGAAGAGGAATTGTCATTCTGGGGAATTGACGAGAAGCAAATCGAACCATGTTGTTGGATGACTTACAGGTAACATTTACATAAACTTTATACGTCCACAAGGTGCGATAAATTATACTTTGCATGCAATTTTGATTCAAAGTACTATACATGACATAGCCGTAGGGACCGGGGGTTCGATGCGTTCGGACGAACCCCCGGTCGGGATTTCTCCCAAAAAAATATTTGTGGAAAAATTCATTGCAATAACCAGAAACATATATTCAATTTATATGACCAGTAGGAAAAAATAGTAAAGGAAGAGGTTTGAGTATTGGCAAATATCCCTATGGTCATAATGAATCATTCTTAGGTGTAACATGAAGAATAGAATGCTATAATACTTTGGAAAATATTAAAGTGCTGGGGCACACATAAGCTGAGATAGGGATCATTTCATGATTCTCGTCATTAATGATAAAATCAGCGGAACTGTGATAGAAAATAAAATGTTTTCAAAGTTTTTTATTTTCAATTCAAAGAAAGCACAACAAATAAGTTTTTCAGCATTATTTGTTCTTTATTTGTTGCAAGGCATTGCAATTTAAGAGAGATGTTTAATGTTAGAGCCTACAGAGCACAGTGGATATTTTGTTATTTCAATTTTTTTTTTTAAATTTCAGCCTATGTTTCATTCCATTAATACAATACTATTTGTCATCTGTCACTTCTATCGTCAGTACCAATTGAGAGTATTCGTGCAGCCATTACGACTTTTATTGTGCGCCATGATTAAATAAGTATTACATTCTTCAAAAATATTTGCTTTTGAATATACTAGTATTCAGAAACTAACTGTAAGTTCATGAGGTCATTATGAACTCCTCTATTACAAAATGAAATGGCAGATAAAATTATTTTGATTTGGATTCTTTTCAAAAATCATCTAAAAGTGTGGGAATAGCATGCCAGAATTTGACATAATGTATCTTTGAATGATGAATTGGGAATGACGATTTTTCAATGGTAGCTCGTTAAAAAATATGTTCCTTAGAGATATGTATATGTAATTTGCCCTTTACAAAAGTTGTCTCAATGTATGCTAACCCTTGATTTGGATTTCATTGAACAATTAAACAATTGTTATATAAAATGTATGATTTTGCTACCAGAATTCAATATCTTTCAGTAAAAGATTCACCAAAAACTATTTCAATATAGAAAATCAAATTGTTGCCAAACTTTTGGAGGGGTGTAAATTGTATGTACAAAAAAACTTTTATGTGAGGTACACCGATGAAGGGGGAGATTTGTGGATACATAAAAAATCGAACCCCTGGTCACCAATTGCTGACTACGCCACTGCATGAGTCCATTAAATGCGATTCAAATATGCCAATAGAAGCTGTCCCAGCCAATCAACTTAGAGCATTTCAGTGCATTAATTCAAAGTATATGGTCAACTGAGCAGAAACATTATTATACAGTGCATTATGGTTCCATAATGAATTTAGCAACACATTATTGGTAAAAAATGACGTGGCGATTACATACACTCATTGTCTTCAATTACCAATATAACAAGGAATGATACGGGATTATCTATTCTTAAATAGATATAGAACAAAAATGATGCTACTTAGCCTATCCGAACTAAGAGATGAAATACCTCAAAATACCTTTAATCTGCGCTCCCTTGGATCATCAAATCTAAACCAAAATACCATGATATCACATCATATTTTATCATAAATAGCATATGGGGGGGGGGGCAATAATTGTCTAAGTACTTTACTCTCTCATGAGCTATCCATTTTTGAATAACCAAAGCACAAATAGAGCGAGTCCAATTGCTAAATATACTCTATGTTTTGTATTAGATGTCAAATGAACTTGAAATACGATATTCTAATTTACAGAACCCATAGAGACGCCGAAGAGACGCTGGCGGAGTTTGAACAGGATATGGAAGAAGAGGACGACGACGAAGACGAAGACATTGCGGCGAGATTTGGTTAGTGCAATGACTTCTTTATTAATTTTACCAAATATATTCAAAAGAATTAGTGTACCAAGCATGAACAAAGGTCAACATTAGACACACATCTTTAGCTCGTTACAGCTCCAATGGAAGAGTACTGGGACGGAAATCCAGGGATCCGGGTATCTTGCCCGATGAGGTATTTTTGATTTTCTATTTACAGGCAAATGGGTATGGAAACGTCATGTGTATTTCTATGTCCCAATTTGCCTTCTTGTGCGTAGGTCCTAATTTTAGTGATTTTATGTGCATTTGTATGTCCCCTTTCTAACTTCAGGAATCGAGGAAGTGATAGAAGAGGACCTGACATGGTGGCAGCGGAACAAATCTAAACTTTGGAACCTCCTAGATGACCCAGGGTATTCCAAAGCCGCGCAGGTCATCGCCTTTATCTCCATGTTCTCTGTCATCTTTTCCATCATTTTGTTCGTTTGCGAGACGCATTTATTGTTCCGGGTCCCCAGTAATGAGACGTTCCATGCGGAAAACAATATAACATGGGACAGAAACTGGAATAACACAGAGAAACGGTTGTATACGAAAGCCCACCCTGTACTGGACTATCTAGATTACTATGTCTGTACAGTTTACTTCACACTTGAGTTGATCATAAGAATAATAAGCTGTCCCGACAAAAAGGTATTCTTCAAGAGCGTCACAACGTGGGTGGATATCATTTCCATTGTCCCCGTCTATATAAACCTCATCATAGTGACTGTAGATTCCACTCTAACCGAGACGCATCCTGCAGTGATTGCCTTAAAGGTATTAAGAATCGTTCGTATTCTACGGATAATGAAACTGACAAAGCATATAAGCGGATTGGTGATTCTGGTACACACAATCAGGGCCAGTTTACAAGAACTGCTTCTTCTCATATTGTTCATCTGCTTTGGAATGTTAACATTCGCCTGCTTGATTTATTATCTCGAGCAGATCGACGAAGATCCTCAAAACTCGTTCACGAGTATTCCTATAGGTTTCTGGTGGGCAATCGTTACCATGACAACCCTAGGTTACGGCGACAAGTACCCGCGCTCCGTCTATGGCTACATGTTGGGAAGTATCTGTTCCATCTGTGGTGTGCTCGTCATCGCGCTACCCGTTCCCGTCATTGTCAATAACTTTGCGTTGTACTACTCCCACGCCCAAGCAAGGCTTAAACTGCCCAAAAAGCGGAAGAAATATTTAGTGGGCAACGATCTAAAGATGGAGGTGGCACCAGTTGATGATGACATGGACTTAGATAAAACCGATAAGGACGACGATTCAGTGCTGTCTATTGAGCCGCCCAAGAAAATGTCAGACCTACTACGGAAGAACAGCAATGGCAGTCAAAACAGTGCAGATAGTGGTATAGCAAAATCAGGTTCGATACATGAAGAATTTTAGTATAATCCTGCGATCTGGTAAATCTATGCTCAATGAATTAGTAGATTTGTAACGACATATGTGAATAGAAATTAGATGAGTAAATATGTCTGGGTGAATCAATAAGAACAGATTTTACAGGATAACAGTCAATGTGCCAGGAAGAGAGTCAATGTGTCAGGATGAGAGTTAAAGTGTCACGATGAGAATCAATGTGTAGAAATTATAGTCGGTGTGTCTGGGTAAGAGTCATTGTGTCTAGATGAGAGTCAGTGTGTCAAAATGACAGTCAATGTGTCTGAGTGAGCGTTAATGTGTCTGGGTGAGTCTATCAATCTGTTGATGCGAAAGTCAATGCGTTAAAGTGACAGTCAAAATGTCAGCTTTATAATCAAAGAAGAGAGTGGATGAGTCAGGATTAGAGTCAATATGAGAGTCAATGTATAAGGGATGAGAGGCAATGTGTTAGGATGAGAGTCAATGTATAAGGATGAGAATCAATGTATAAGGGGTAAGAGTCAATGTATAAGGACGAGAGTCAATGTATAAGGATGAGAATCAATGTATAAGGGGTGAGAGTCAATGTATAAGGACGAGAGTCAATATATAAGGATGAGAGTCAATGTAGAAGGATGAGAGTCAATGTATAAGGACGACAGTCAATGTATGAGGGATGGCAGTCAATGTTTAAGGATGAGAGGCAATGTATAAGGGACGAGAGGCAATGTATAAGGGACGAGAGTCAATGTATAAGGGCCAATGTATAAGGGATGAGAGTCAATGTATAAGGATGGGAGTGAATGTATAAGGATAAGAGTCAATGTTTAAGGATGCAAGGAAATGTGTCAGGATGAGAGGCAATGTATAAAGATGAAAGGCAGTGTGTCAGGATAAGAGTCAATGTATAAGGGATGAGAGTCAATGTATAAGGGTCAATCTAAGGGATGAGAGTCAATGTATAAGGATAAGAGTCAATGTTTAAGGATGCAAGGAAATGTGTAAGGATGAGAGTCAATGTATAAGGATGGGAGTCAATGTATAAGGATGAGAGTATTCTGTACAATATCAAGTTCATGTCTTTTTATTTCTCTCTCAAACAGTTTAAAACAGAATTTGAGTTAACACTACCATAACAGCATTCTCCTCGCAGGTGTTGTCAAATCAATACCAGGGAGGAAATACTAATAGACGAGTAGGGATTTGCAAAAAATAAAATAAAAAAGGATCGACTGACCCTGTTGGGTTTCTTGGTATTTTTGGAAAGCTGTGCATCACCACAACGTCTTCTACTTAATAAGAAGTTCTGAAAATGGTCCCGTTGCCATGGAAACGGACGCTGAATAAAATACCCGCTGTTAACAGTATTTGAATTACCAATAACATGTTTTGCTATATAACTATTCCATTTCTTATCCGTTTTACATAATCTTGGTACCAAATGAAAGCATGTTGAGTGCCCTTTCAGATAAAGTATAATTTATGCAAATCAGCTCATTTGCATATCTTCTGTGACGTCATAATTGTGATTTTTCCTAATATTTTGAGCAAGTTATTAAAATACATGTTATAAATACCCCTTTGAATTAAATAAGTGTAGTAAAGTTGAATATATTCATAAAATACAAATGTAGGAGAAACAGGCTTTATTTTGATATATATAACATATCTCAATCCGTTTAAGCGATATAGCCTACGTCCTTTTAATTAGTACATAACTGGAAAAATAACAGCAAAAGTAGACCTATTTTATGGTACAACTTGTATTTTACAAAATATGAACTAGACTTATGTAAATTATGGGGGGTTGAGACGGTAAACGCTTATATTAGCAGGTAAATCTCAGACCATACTGGGTATCTTTAGAAAGCTAAGTCTCTACTATATCTTCCACACAATGAGAAGTTCTGAAAATTGCGCCGTTGCCATGGAAACGGACGCCGATTAAAATACCTGCTATTAATAGTATTAATATCACCAATAACATGTTTTATTTTATAACTTCTCTATTTCTTATCCATTTTAAATAATCTTGGTACCAAATGAAGCCATGTCGAATGCCTTTTCAGAAAAATTATAATTCATGCAAATTAGTTCATTTGCATATCTTTTGTGACGTCATAATTGCAATTTTTCCTCATATTTTTTAGCAAGTTATTAAAATACATGGGATAAATAACCCCTTTAAATTATATAATTGAAGTAAAATTGAATATCTTCATTGAACACAAATGTAGCCTAGACAGACGTTATTGAGATATATAGATCAAATTTCAATCAGTCTGGGAGATATAGCCTCCGTCTTTTTAATTAGTACATAACTGGTAAAATACAGCAAAAATAGACCTATTTATGGTATTTTACAAAATATAAACCAGTCTCATATAAATTATGGGTGCTGAGATGGAAAACGCTGATATTAACAGGTAAACCCCAGACCTATTGGGTCTCTTGGTATCTTTAGAAAGCTAAGCATCTTTACTCAATCTTCCACATAATGAGACATTCTGTAATTGGTCCCATTGCTATAGAAACGGACTAATAAAAACAAATAAAAATTATACACTAGGTATTGGCAATATCGTGATCATGAACGAAAATGTTTGTCTCATAACTTTCCTATTTATTATCCATTTTGACTAATATTGGAATCAAATGAAAGTTCGTTATTTCAGTTACATAATAACATGCATACTGTCACCACGACAGCCAAGGGCTTCAAATATGTTGTGCCTACATGGCTCATACATGGGGCATCTTAATATAAAATGTTCAATTGTTTCAGTTTCACAAAGGTTACACAATATACAGGGTGTCAAAAAACAACGGCACCCCCCTCTACAGCAAAAAGTCCTGAATATTTCATATCATGTCATACATCATTTGAAAGATAATTTAATTCTGGAGTTACTCCTCAAATTTTCATTTATTTAAACTTTATATTAAAAAAGCTACATTGTTTTTAAGTTTGCTACTTCGGTACTTTGTTTGCTGCTCTGTTACTGGTTAAAGGTCAAATCTTCAGAAAGTGGAATATGAAAGAATTAGCCCAGATTTCAACTGCACTGAACATATGGGTTCAGTTCTGAAAAACAGGGTATAGGAACTGATGGACGAAGAGCCTCTTGAAAAAAGAGACAATGAGGATGTATTTCTGAAGAATTTGAGGAAAGTGCTTAGAGGATTATGCAATGCTACACATTTATCTGAATTTCTATTGAAATCATATCCGTCCAGATAAGCTGCTGTTTGAGCAGCAACTGGTGGTCATACCAACTACTAAGAATCAGCTGTAAATCTGTGAAATTATATGACATAAAGCTGAAATTTCTCAGGTAACTCCAGAATTAAATTGTCTTTAAAATGAGATATGACACACCATGTAACATTTAGCACTTTTTGCTGTAGAAGGGGGTGCCGTTGTTTTTTGACACCCTGTACATCGTTTTGAACCATTGAAGTTGTTCGTATTTAATACATGGGCGTTACATACCAATTGCATCATAGTTTTACACTGGCTTTGACATTTGGGAAATTTCTGACAAATCACCCACCATATGCAAGGTTTTAAGTCTGTGAAATAGTCACGTAGGTATAACAGTTTGCCATAACATGAGCATTGCAAGAAAAATTGCCTGACCTCGACGGATCTTAGAGCATTGACAATTTGCAGTCTCCATGACCGCTTCGACGGAAGATATCCAGAGTCCAGCGCATTTTTAACCAGATTTTCAATTCCTAGCATTTTGGTCTTAAGAAAAATGCGCCGGATAGGAGAGAAAATATCGACTTGGTTGCCATTGTAGTACCCCCTGTATATTTTATCAGGGGGGTATAAGAAATGCTCTGTAGAGAGTTGCCCAATTTGTGTAAATTTGGAAATATTTGAGCAATTGTGTAAAACAATGTCATATCTTGTGAAAAGTGTTCAAATTAGACAGGTTAATTTTTCGAACATGAGTGTTCACTATTCGAATTTGGAGGTGGTCAGATTTCAGGATATGCCTTCGATTGAGGCAGACTAATACTTTTCCTAAAATACCACAAAATATATGTATAGTTTGGTTTATATCACTCAGGAATGAATAATTGAACTATTTAAAGAGGTACATTCTATATTTCCTATCCTGGTGGAAATCTACTCTATTTATCAAAATGATGACGTGTTGAGTTACATTCATCATATCAATATGGAGATATGACAGGTTTACTACACTTGTTTAATAGAAGAGGATTTATGACATATATAATAAGTTGATAAAAATGGTATAAAAATATCAAATATGACGTCACAAAGGCTATGCAAATGAGCTAATTTGCATAAAATTGTAATTTACCTGGTAGGGCCTACAATATGCTTTCATTTGGTACCAAAATTATTTAAAACGGATAAGAAATGAAAGAGTTATACAAAGAGGTTATTTGTGATTTAAATAGTGTTATTAGCAGGTATTTTAATTAGTGTATGTTTCCATGGCAACGGGACCATTTTCAGAACGTCTCATTATGTAGAAGATGTAGTCGAGATGCTTAGCTGTCAAAATATATCATCAGGGTCTGGGGTCTACCTGCTAATATCAGTGTTTTCCATATCAGGCCCACATATTTTATTTAAGGCTGGCTCATATTTGGTAAAATACCATAAAATAGGTCTTCATTTTGCTGTTTATTTTCCAGCTATGTTCTAATTAAAAAAGATGTAGACCATATCATCTAGACCGTTTGAACTATGTTCTATATATCAAAATAAAGCCTGTCTGTCCCATATGTATCTTCTATGAAAATATTACATGCTTACTGCGCTTATTTATTTCAAGTCGATATTTATAATATTATATTTTAATAACTTGCTCAAAATATTAGGAAAATGGCAATTATGACGTCACAAAAGATATGCAGATGAGCTTATTTGCATAAATTATACTTTATCTGAAAGGGCATTCAACATGCTTTCATTTGGTACCACGATTATTTAAAATGGATAAGAAATGGAAAAGTTATAAAATAAAACATGTTATTAGTGATTTAAGTACTGTTATTTTAATCAGCGTCCATTTCCATGGCAACGGGACCATTTTCAGATTTTAGCATTATGTGGAATTTGTAGTAGAGATGCTTAGCTTTCTAAAGATACCTAGAGACCCAGTAGGGTCTGGGAGTAACCTGCTAATATCAGTGTTTTCCATCTCAAGCCCAGATAATTTATATAAGGCTGGCTCATATTTTGTAATGTACCATAAAATAGGTCTACGTTTAGCTGTATATTTTCCAGCTATGGACTAATTAAAAAGGATGTAGGCTTTATCATCTAGACTGATTGAGCTATGTTCTATATATCAAAATAAAGCCTGTCTGTCCTACATTTATATTCTCTGAAGATATTACACTTTTTACTACGCTTATTTAATTCAAGGTGGGTATATATAACATGTATTTTAAAATTTGCTCAAAATATTAGGAAAATTGCAATTATGGCGTCACAAAAGATATGCAAATGAGATAATTTGCATAAATTATACTTTATTCGAAAGGGCACTCAACATGCTTTCATTTGGTACCAACATTATTTAAAACGAATAAGAAATGGAAAAGTTATAAAATAAAACATGTTATTGGTGATTTAAATACTGTTAATAGTAGGTATTTTAATCAGCGTCCGTTTCCATGGCAACGGGACCATTTTCAGAACTTCTCATTATTTGGAATATGCAGTAGATATGTTCAGCTTTCCAAAAATACCAAGAAACCGAACAGGGTCAGTCGATCCTTTTATTTCTTTAAATAAGCACTTTTTGGCAAATCCCTACTCGTCTATAAGGTATAGCATATATCCATCTCTTCCACAACAAACAAATAAAGGACATGATCAATACAGGCAGTCAATATACACAAGTAATCAAACAAATAAGGCTGAATATATCTTACAGAATTGCATTGATCCAAGGGCAAAGCCAGGCCTCACTAAAATTTTGCAGAAAAATATTTATTCCCAATTTTTTTCAATCGAAATTGTGAAGTTCAGTGGATTGATTATCCTATTTGGCTTTACTTTCATGATCCTCACTTCAGAACAGTTAGATATACTCATGATACTGACTGTGCTAATTATTCAAGGAAAATTGCACTTTTGTTTGTGATTAGGACAAAACAAGTATCTATTATACTGTTATAGTTTTTTTTATTATTATTAAAGAGAGAATCAGATATAGCGAGCAGGCTAAACAAAAAATTGTTTCAATTTTAAAATATTTTTGGCTCATGTCATTCCTTGTCATGTCTATTTTCTAAAAATCACAAAAGTGCATACTTTATTCAAGGAAAACTAAAGATTTTTACAATAATGAATTATTTTTCTATAAGAATGGTTACCATTCTTATTATTTGGGAGAATTTAAACATTTTTCACCCATTTTTGCACCTTGAATCATTAATAACTTCACCAATTTATAACATATTGTGAATCTTTTGGGAGATATTGTTTTAGATATTGTAAGGAATAGATTGGTAGGTCAATTATACAAGCTGCTTGTAATTTTGTCACCCCCTATAGATCTGATTCTGCCTTTAATAACCATAAATATGTATCCAGTGATATTTTTCTTATTTTATTCATTTTTGTATATGACATAAGAAAAGACAGAATATTCTGAGAAAAAGATAAGGGTTTGATATTTGAATGTGAAAAAATAAAGGTATGTGCAAGTATTTAAAGCAGCTAACATTATCTCAATCTGAAAGTTGTCAAGCACACTGGTGATCCACTCGATTACGCTGGTTACCAAAACGGTTCGTTTTGGTAACAAAATGTCGGAACATCGAAGGTGCGATTTTTCTCTTTTCCTTATTTTACACCTTATAGGCAGAATTCCCACGACATTTTTGAACACAAACGTGTATCAGTATCATATGTTTAAGAAATTGTACATTTTAACGGTCGTTTTGGTAATCAGCGTAATCGAGTGGATCACCAGTGATGCAGCTCTGCCATAGTGTTCTTTGCCATTTTGAAAAAATATTGTTTTGACAACTGTGTTATCATCCTAACAGTTACTTACATCAAAACTTTATACCTGTTTCTGTTACCATGGAGAACTCTGATTTAGCATTTTGATTGGTTAAATTAGGATATACTGCATTCTGATTGGTTATTTTGTGTTTCAGTGACATCTATGCCCAACCAGGCAAACAATTCTAAAGAGAAAAATGTCATCAATGATCCAAAAGGTAAGAACAAAAATACTGCATTTTCAATCATTTTACCTTGAATGGAGGTACCAACATATAAGCCTACGTGGCATACATATAAACATCATATAATTCATGGGATTACACGGGATATCGCTTTTCAAGGGTGAATTTAAGTATTATCCGTTATAAATCGTACTATGTTCTATTTGTTTAACCATCATAGCTCTTTTTAGATATGACTATTCACATGTTAACCAAATGATTCCTTGTGAATTTCATATGAAAATATTGGACTAGGCCTAATTTCGCAAAAATATTGGTGAAGAATATATAAAATGATTAACTAGTTCGAAAGTCACCATAACTACAACTGAGTTAATATATCCCATATTTCAGGAATAAGTGTTGTGTTTACGGATGAGCAAACAAAGGAGCCTGTTAGCTTCCGGAACAAACCCAGAATTCCCCCAAAGATAGCACCCATGATGATCCAGCTAGGGGGGTCAAGATCCAATAAACCAGGTGGAAAATCAGACAAATCTGGGGGTAAATCGGACAAATCTGGGGGTAAAACCGAAAAACCTGGGAAAGCAAAAGGTGCCAGTGGTAAATTAATCTTTAAATACGTATTTAAAATATTCTCAAAATGATGAATTTTATATGGCATATTCTTGTCAGTATTTAACATTGACATCAATGGACAATTTTACGAAATATTGAATTCATAATGAAGTAAAATCTTAGGAAATTCAGACCTTGTGAAAATTGGATGAGTATTTATCTATTCTGGAAACCAATATTACAATTAACTGTGTTAAACCAGGTGACGTCTCAGATTGAAGTCTAGTGAAATTTATAATGTTCATATGGAAAACAAGGGTCAATAATTCTATCACTGTAATTATAACAACCATTTTTACCAATGGCAATAATTCTACAACCATAGATGAGCCTCGATTTGTATTTCAACTTAACATTGTCGTTCGTCAGTAAAATATATTTGAAACTGAGATCAGATCCAATCCAATCCAGTGGTAAAAGATAAAAGTGCACCATGAATTAACAAATATTTTACTCTATATATTGTACTTGTAGATGACGGTGGAATGACAGTCAGTTTTGGTGGAGGCGGATCATCAAGTAAATTCAAGAAATCCTGATACTAAGACTGCTTAAAATAAAGTGACAATTTAACAGTTGTCAGTGTGAACTGATTGTATCATAAAGAATATTGAAAATTCTGATTCAATAGGCCTACTGCTAATGTTATGTGAAAGTACTAGTATAGTTCTTCACTGGAGTAAAATCCAGGGCCTCACTGATCTGAAGATTTATTCTAGGGTTAACCCAAGAATCAAGTCTTCATGAACCCAAATGAATGAATCTCAGTTTCGTTTAGACCAAGCAGAATGAATTTTCATACACTCTAGAAGTATACTGATAACATTAAAAATATTTTATATTATAAATATAGTTTTGTTTTCCTATATATTCCATTGTACATACATGGGAAGTGTAATTATATGTAATGTATTGTGTATGTATATACAGATTGACTGTACATGAAATATGAGAATAAATGCATTGCCATGACGATAAGACACAATTAGTATATTTCTCTTGTTCCTACAACACCTTACAGTAGTCCCTACTTTTCTCGAAAAGTTGAATACAAAATTAGGAAAATGTTATTTTAAAATTGAACTGAAATATATTTTTTTTTAAATCATTTCATATGTAAATATCCATGTACTTATATAGCCTATTTTGATAATTGTGATCATGAATAAATTACCCCCAAAAATTATTCTCATGCCAATCTACCTTAAAATCAAATCATACTATTACATCAATAGTACATGAGACAGATCAAAACTTCATTACTAAAATAAAGTTGGACATGAAATTATTGTGCAGTATTGATTCAAAGTTTAAAGTAGTGTAATGAATGATCAGTCGGGTCTCTATCCATGAAAGCTTAAGGCCCCCTCACATATGAACGAATCCCCAAACACAGTCTTGCGATGTCAATTCTGGCAGGTGGGAACGTGTACATACAAACCGAAGCGCATCTTTGCGCATTCTTCTGAATCTTTCCGAAGGGATACTTACACATACGAACACCTCAATGATGTACAACGTACACATACTAATGGGAACGAATTTTACTCGATTCCTATTCGCAAGACTGCATTTAGTGGATTCGTTCATATGTGAGGGGGGCTTTATGAACACTGGAATAACATTGTTTCAATCTTCATTACAATGTTTTTCTTATGTTTTAGGTGGACATTACCTCCTCTATAAGCTATCCTCAATGCCCAAAAAATTGATATTTTGATCCAGTTCTTTATTATCATCTTCTGCTTTGTCACGTTTTAAGAAGAACATGAACTACTAAGAAATTCATGTATATCAAGTCTGTCAAACATTTAGTCTGTTTTTAATAAAATAAGCCTCAATATATTTCAAAGGATATTAGCATCTTCCCAGGAACCGAGTACCAGAATATGCAAGCATTCAAATTCTCAATAGCATGATCTGTTCATTACCAGTTTCGACTGAATCATCCTGATGAAATAAAAGTATTCAATCTTTGATAGATGGCGCTCTGTATTCTTGTAGCTCTTCATAGTGCCGCCTGGTGGAGATAAGTTTTACAAACATTGTGTCGACAGCCTGGTCTCCTTCTCCTTCCGCCCCTACTTCAACATTATTATTGTTCGCCTGGAAAAATATTAATTTCATTTTATTTACTTTACTTTAGTAATTAATAATTCTGAGTTACTTATTGCCATTTGAGATCCATGTTGATCATGTTATTTATTTATTTCAAAAATGTTTGAATGACAGAATTAGACGGAATTATTTAAAATACGTTTTTGACCTCCATCCTTTATATTTACCTTTGAGGTAATATCATTTTATACAGGGCTTGTGGAGTTACATGTACTGCATATAGATTCATTACAAAGCATAAAAGCCACAATAATTATTATTTATGGACAAAGGATTTACATGAAGACATACCAGTTGTAGAGTAGCTAAGAATAACCTAGCAATCTCGTATGACTTTTTATTTTTGACCATATTTCTGAATGGGATTTTTGAAGCTTTGCCACTGAAGGAGTTGATGACTGTTGACCCGTATGTATGGATGTCGTATGGCCCATGTTCCTCCTGGAATATAAGAACAGTGTATTTATTTTGAGAACTCCTGAACCAGAGATTCAAAATTACTTTGGAAAATGTAAATCTCAACTTTTACTTCTTATATTTGAGAACAGTAGCTCTAAAGGCTCATCAAAAAATGAAACAAGACACACAGTGATAAATATCGCACTTTGAAGAGCAAACTGGCCACCATGCAATTTACGCAGCATGGCCAAAACCTAATCAGACCTTGGCACTAGTCTGCTCTTGCATCTGTAAACATTTCAAGTTGACAAGGTTAGCGGTTTTCCTGCAATTTTGATGACAAGAATTTATTTGTAGTCTTGAACTTTGGGAAAATTTAGATAACATCGTTTGTGACCTAATTTGATGACCTTCGACCTTGAAAATTTCACTTTTTCAGACCTCAGTACGTGTTTTGTAATTAAGCTGACCTAAATTTAAATCCAAAATATCAATTTAGAAAATCAACTTTTTTGACCTTTTCAAGGTCACTGAAGGTGAATGAAAGGTCAAATCTGAAATCTAAGGTCAGATTTGAACTTCTGTGAACTTGTAGATGTTTAAAAAAAAAAAAATTGGTCAATTTGGAGGTGGTTGAAAAATTCAAAATGGCCGCCAAATTGAAAAATTCAAAATGGCCACCATGTAATTCAGCCAGCATACCCAAAACCAAGATCTTGGCAATAGTCTGCTCTTGCATCTGTAAAAATTTCAAGTTGAACGGATAAGTGGTTTTCCTGGAATTTTGATGACAAGATTTGTTGAAAAATTCAAAATGGCCGCCACGTAGTTTACCCAGCATGCCCTAAACCTAATCAGATCTTGGCACTAGTCTGCTATTGCATGTGTAAAAATTTCAAGTTGAACAGGTTAGCGGTTTTCTTGGAATTTTGATGACAAGAATTGATTTGTAGTCTCAAACTTTGAGAAACTTGGATAACATCATTTTTGACCTAGTTTAATGACCTTGACCTTCGACCTTGAAAATTTCACTTTTTCAGACCTCAGTAGGTGTTTTGTAATTAAGCTGACCTAAATTTAAATCCAAAATATCAATTTAGAAAATCAACTTTTTGGACCTTTTCAAGGTCATTGAAGGTTAATGAAAGGTCAAATCTGAAATCTAAGGTCAGATTTGAACTTCTGTGAACTTGTAGATGTTTTTAAAATAAAAATTTGGTCAATTTGGAGCAAGTTGAAAAATTCAAAATGGCCGCCAAATTGAAAAATTCAAAATGGCCACCATGTAATTCAGCCAGCATACCTAAAACCTAATCAGATCTTGGCAATAGTCTGCTCTTGCATCTGTAAAAATTTCAAGTTGAACGGATAAGTGGTTTTCCTGGAATTTTGATGACAAGATTTGTTGAAAAATTCAAAATGGCCGCCACGTAGTTTACCCAGCATGCCCTTAACTTAATCAGATCTTGGTACTAGTCTGCTCTTGCATCTGTAAAAATTTCAAGTTGAACAGGTAAGCAGTTATCCTGGAAATTTGATGACAAGATTTGGTTTATGTCCCGCCCGCCCGCCCAACAGCACAAGACGACGACAATATAGCACTTTTTCAAAGTGCGATAACAAAAGCAATATCAACACAAGTTGTCATTCTACTGCAAACAACTTCAAATGAACAATCTCTAACTCAAACACAGATTTCAGTCTCATCATCGTAATGAAACAGATCCAAATCAAATGTACGGCCATGGGTTCACTTTACCCATGACTCAAGAAATTAATGATTTTTCAAGATGTTTATAAGAAAATGATTTTTTAAGAATTTTTTTTATAAGAAAATGAGTTAACAAGCAACATAACATAAGCATGAAATAAGAATCACTGACCTCCTCTTGTAGCTTTGGTAATAAATTATTTTCCCACTCAGAGACTCTCTTAGACAGATCAGTGTGTTGTGCATACATCTGGGCACTAGCCAAGAAACCATCCTTTAAATACATATACAGGAACATTTAAGGATTAATTTGTATAATATATGTTTTTTATTATGCATTAAATAAAGTATACAAATTATTAGATTAAAAATGAAATTCTAATTGTCAACTGAAAAAAATGATGAGTAGTTTTACAGGTTATGGAAGAATAGTTCAAAATTAATTTTTGTAAAAATTATGTTGAAGTGACATTTCCATTTAGTTTTTAAATTTTTTTTTGAAAGTGCAGAACTACATTGATGTAGTAATCTTACCACATGGTGCCTAACTAAGTCCTCATAACTCTGTACTACTGGACCACACCTCTCTATTGTCTCTCCCAGATCTAAAACACATAGCCTTACATTGTATATTTTTTAACAATACAACACACCGTAAGCTGGGTGCAGGAGCACAGTGCATTATAGCTGTTTGCCACACTCTAATTTGGGGTAGGAATCATACAAGTGAAATACAGGAAGATCCAAATATGAAACCTTTCAATTTTGGAATAACTTTTTGGGGTCACCCTGCAAGGAATAGTTTTTCAGAGTAAGGTGTGAGTTGATTGAACTTATACAAGTTCTTACATTGACAGTATAGTACATTCGAACATGACTGTATTCACGCCTTCTATAAACTGTAAACAAAGTCAACATTTCACGCGGGGTATATTCGCGAACATTGCCCCTGGCAATACGTGTAAAGTGTGACATCATAATGGCGGACCATAATGAATATTCGAAACATTTTGGTGAGTTTTCATGTTCGAATCGTAATATAGACCTCAGAGCAGGTGTAATATAGTCGAATACACACCTTAGGGCTAGGCACAAATGCTTTCGAACCCATCACTCCCTTCAGTCGTTCAGGGTACAGAAAACGTTTGTGCCTAGCCCTGCGGTGTATTCGACACTATATTACCCCTGCTCTTCGGTCTATATTTTTCTTAATTATATTAAAATGAAATGGTTTCAACTCTAGCTGATGCAAGTTCTCGATCCCTTGGCGCTCTTATTGGAAAATATTACTCTATTAATGGACTTCATTATTCGACATTCACAAAGATGTATTATGCATCCGTTATCCCCATCATGGATTACGCGGCTGGAGTTTGGGGCTATAGAATACGACAAACCAAATACTGTCCAAAACCGTGCCATAAGAACATTTATGGGCTTAGGGAAATATGCTCCCATTCCGGCTATGTATGGAGATATAGGCTGGAAACCACCATGTGTTAGGCACCATGTTGAAATGGCTCGTTTATTCATCCGACTTAGTAGAATGCCAAGAACAAGAATTACTCGAAGAATATTTGACTTTGACTATGCCAATGCTGAAAAAGGCCATAGAGGATGGTGTAAAGAGGTTAAAGATATATTTAAAAATTCTAACCTCTTAAACCTCTATAATGAACATTTCTTCAATAATTCAAGTGCAAGGTCAACATTAAAAACTGTAAAAGATTCTGAAATGAATCCCTTTATACATAAATGGACAGTTCAAATAACTTCAATGCCAAAGTTACGTACATATAAGTTAATTAAAGACAATTTTGGTACAGAGGATTATATAAAATTATTTTTATCAAGGAATCAAAGATCTGTTATTGCTAGAATTCGGTCAGGTACTCTTCACCTGAACATAGAAACTGGTCGATATAAAGGCCTTGCTGTTGAACAAAGACTCTGTGAGGCATGTAAATGTGGACAAATAGAAAATGAGAAACATTCGTTTTCTCCTAGAATGCTCTTGTTACAAAGATTTGAGAAAAACTATAATCAGACCCCCAATGGTTCATGATAATCAAGATTTACTGAAACATCTTCTTTCAAATAAAAATTGTGTAAAACTTACAGCAAAATTTATAATGTCAGCGCTTGAAAAACGACAAAAAATTGTAATTATATGTATATGTATTTGTATAGTGCCTCATAAGCCTGATAAGGCTGGGTGCCGATTAAGCTGCCTGGCACTTAAATAATAAATAAATAAATAAAAAAAATAAAAATAAATATATTGATGCCTAGTTAGTAGTTACCTAATGGTTCCACTCGCTCATGAGGGTCAGTTATGTCTCCTAGCAATGCTCCTATGTCATCGTCTCCATCATCAGAGGGGGCTCCAAAATTACCATCGCCTGCAATGCAAAATTTAGCCACTGTACTGCTTGAACATAGGAATATATTTATATGACCAATGTTTTCTTCTTGTCATCAAATCCTGACCGAAGAATATCAAAATATGCCAATTTTTATAATGTTTCTCATTTTCAAATGGGTGTCAATTGTCAGTGGGTTTCCAGGTGCATGGGTGAGTTTTCAAAATCTTTATTGGGTTCATCAACATTGTCTTCAATGCTTTGAATCAATGCTTAATGTTGAAACTTACCTGCAACATGATCTTCTTCCCCTTCATTATCCTCTCTTTCTTTATCCTCAGCCTCGGCTAACTCCTCAAGGCGATCTTGAGCAGCCTGCAATACACTTGTTCATGTACACACATTTTGAAAAAATGAATGATAACAAAAGAGAGATAACAAAAAAGAACATTAATTTATGAGGAAAAATAGAGAATTGCAATTTCCTATTGTTTCAAATCTCAAAATATTGCCCCACTTGTTATATCTAATTTTCTATGAAACATAATTTTTGATATAAGCATCATCATTTATGACATTATATGATTTAAACAAGGGATTAACATCCAAAATGTCACCACCTGCCATGCGTTACAGATGCCAAACTTTGAATGCCAACCAACTGCTGCCACAAAAAAGTTGGAGATCAAAACAACATGTCATCACTTTTGGTGGTGACATAACAATCAGAGCAATAGTAGCATGCAATATGTACATGTTTATTTCAGAAAATGTAAAAAAACAAATATGTCATAAACCATGAACTGAAAGTACATTTTGTCAATTGTATGTCTTTGAGATTGAGCAAAACAATCTTTCAAACAGATACAGAAATAGCAATTTCCGTTAATTGCAGGACCCCTATTGTATTAAAGATGGAACTAAAATGAAAACTTTTTCACTTTACCAGTTTTTTACGGTGCTGTTTTAGTATTGCTTGTCTCCTTTTGAACTCATCCCAGTATAAATCTTCAAACTCGGGAAATGTTGGCCGCTTCAGAGGATTCTTCGGAAACTTGCTTCTCTGAGCATAAACTAAAATAGATGTATAAAATAAATAAAACACGAACCTGTAAAAATCGCTACAGGGATTTCATTACAATTTCTGACAACATGCAAACTGATTGAAAACAACTATCAATGTCATGCGATATTACAATTTCAACATAGAAACAGTTTCTATTAATTCTATATTGTTCAAAACAACTGACGATTTGTAGCTTTACTGATTTTTATATTGTTTTGTTTTTGATTTTTTGTAATTTTTATTTAGAATAAATAATTTCAATAAAAAAAGAAAATTGCCTGTTGCTAGTGATGCCCATGTAGTACAAAATCTTTTTTATCTCAATGGGCATCATAAGAAATTATCATCTCCCAATAATCTCTTAGATATATGATTACCAAATAGGCTAAAATGGGCGCTTAAAGAGTCTCAAGTTAGCATGATGTGTGATCTGCTGTACATTCATTCAATGTAGTGAGGAATTAACTATAACGCTTTGGAGCCATGATTTTTTAAAAAGTGATTATATTTCAATTAGGGCACCGAACCCTCTGTGTGTGTTTTACTCCATTGTCTTATTATTTTTAAAGGGAAGGGAAAGTTTTGTCCCTTAAACTTGATAATAAGTTAGAATAAAGATACATCTTTCAATCCAACTTCATTTTATTGTTCTATCATTATCCCCTTAATTGTTATTGAGCCCCAGGTTTTGCATTGGAACTGGACCACGGAGCTGCCATTTCAACCGTAAAGTGGTTCTTTACGACATTGTTATGACGTCATTGATGCCAGATTGATGCCTTGGCATTCCCAAAGTTTTGTGGCGCCATTTTTGAATCAAAAAATAAATGCCGAGTTGTTGCCATTCCAAAACCAAATAAATCATTTTAAAGGAACTAAAATAATACGTATATACCACCCATAATAAAGAACGATTTCAATAGAATATTAACGACGGCATTTTCGGAATTGCTTTTTACCTATCTAGACATGGAATGTAGGTTACATTTATTCGTTATTTACACTTGAAATAATCTGGGATTCGTGACTTTTTAACTTTCATTAGGTCTAGCGCTAAATGCGAACACAGAATGCTTATTCTATCAGGCAAATGCAAATTATTTTAATAAAACATAATAAAATTAATTCAACCAACCCATCTTGAACTTCCAAGAATGCAATCCCGGTGATGATTTAATTTGCTAGTCTCATTACAAAAATACGTGTTCGTACTTTAATATTCATTGCATTTATGTTTATCTTTAACACAAGTATTTGCAGAAAATTTTAAAATTGAATTTTAGAAACGTATTCAATTACTATCATGGATTCTTAGCCTCACGTCACATTTTTACGGGGACCGTACGTCTATCATTTCTGCAGTAAGTAAAATTTCTACGGTTGCCTTAGTATTTCTGCAGTCAGATAATTTAGCAGTCACATTTGCTAAGATAGCGGCGTATTTTGATTATGAGTAAAAACAACGATTCCCGTACGGCTGTAGGGCGGCCCTACGATGTGCGTAGTTTTTCTTGAAGGCATCCACAAAGGGTTCTATGGTTCGGAAAGGTCAATTGTACCCTATGAAATCCAAGCGCAGCTGCAAGTCGACCGTGAACCCGACGCACGGCCGCCGTGGGACCTACGGTTTGGCTGCTGCTTGTTGATATCTACGGTGACCACAGGAAAGAAAAAGTTATAACTCCGACTCTACGCCCTATAAAACTTGATATGCCGTGTACGTAGACCGCAAGGTGACCTTAAGGCGACTGTAGTTTTCCTATGTTTGCCGCAAAAATTTACTGATTTCAGGGAAATACGGTCGACGTGCGGTCGCATTGAGCAAATGTGACTAAAGCTTTTAAAGTTCCACTTAGTTTAGAGGAAACGATATGGAAAAACAAAAGGTTGTATACCATTAAATTGAAAATCATTATTTGGAAAAAACTTTAGAACTGTACTTACCACGGATGTTATATAATTAAATTAGAGCTCGAAATCAGGAATAAATATATATTAAAATAAATGAAATATCTAATTGGCCCCATCGTCTCCCCGCATCACTGAATGTTAAACATTACGTATTATTCTTTGAAATATGACAGTGGCATGTCCTTGTAAATCTATTGCCAAACTTAATATTTAGGAGATTGACATTCACATAAGTATCATTTAGACGACGTCGATTTTTCGTTTTTGTTTGCGTTTTTCATCAGAATTTAAATGATTAAACACTGTAAGGAGTTACTGTTTCATTGGATTTTACTACTTTTCGTTTTATTTCTTTCATTCTCCAATATCCACCTATTCATATTTGAATAGAATACTACAGATTGAAGAAATCTACCATTATGATTAGGTAAGAAAGCAATTGCAGCAGTTTGCTTATTTGCCGACATATACCTTATCAATATATAAAATAATTCTAGTGGATATTCTCAAGTGGAATATAATGCGATGACTTTTCAGTCAAAACCAATTAAATTCCGAATCGCCGATATCTCATAAGTTTAGTGATTTTTCTACCTAGCCTATACTATATCACATTGGAGAAAATAAATACAAACATTTGAAAAAAGACATTGCAACAATTCAATTTCTATGAAGAATATACTGAAACAACCTCTCCAAATATATAATGATATGGACATGAACATGCAGCAACAATGTTAAGCGGACAGAAATAGTTATAAAATAGCAGTGAAATGTGTTCTATTTCTGCGATCCGAGTATGACGTGCGACACTTCCCAGGCATCAATTTTAAGGCATCAATGACGTCATTGATACATAACAATGGTGGCATCCGCAGCAATCCAGATATGGGTACTTTGAACTTGAATTATATATTAGTTCAAACACGATATGTCCAATGAGGGAGCTGAAGTGATAGATGATGGTTATAAGTAGTCAGCGTATAAATTAGAACATGAAACTTCGCATTCCCTTTAAATGGATACTTACATTCTCTTTCTATGAACTGGTCAATGGGTTCTAACTCTTTCATTTTCTGTGGCGATTTCTTTCGTTTCCGCTTTGTTGTGTCTGTTTCCAGGGAGGGTGGAATCTTGAATGGTCTCCCTGGTAACAAAGATAATATAACAAGATAAGATAAGATCTTGATAAGATAACAAGATAATATCAGCATTTGCATTTTGTAATCAATGAATTTGATTTACACTTGATCTTTAAAAATGTTGATTTGGAAATGGCCCACAAGTCCTGAACAAAGTGATATTTTAGGAAATTAACATTTTTGAAATAATATTTAGATAACTTTTAGAGAAAGAGAGTGTCATTCCATTTACCTTTTTTAAATGGTTTTTCTTCTATAGTAACTTGATGTGGGTCCAAGATTTGCCATGGGTTCACATATGGTTTGACTGGGACTACTTTCTTCTTCTCTTGTCTCTGTACTACCTCCTCTACAGGGGCTATGGGGTTCTCATCTTCTAAATCAGGGGGACCCAGATCCATACCGCCATTATCCTCATCCACTGAAAGGCCAATCATAAAATGAAATGTAACACATTTTGCTGAATAAATGTAAAAATACTTCACAAGAGATATAAATATATATCTCAACAATATGGGAAAATACTGAAACATTATCATGTATCAATTGTTTTGAGGTGGGTTTAATGTCTTCAAGAATTTTTTTAGGGCCTGTTATAATGAGAAACTGCAAGGCCTGCGTTGGCTCTAAATCAATACTTACTGCTTATATCTTGTGGTATGCCCAATCCTTCATCCTCCATGGCTTCCTCTGCTTGACGAACCTCTACAAACACCAAATTTTGCATAATGATTCATTCAAACAAGTTGTAAACCTGAACTCAACACGTCTCAGATTCATTTTTTCTTTTTATTGCGAGATAATTACATTTTACAATTTAAAAACCATTTCAAATACATTTATATGAGCTAAAATAATCACAGTAAGGAAGTCTGGATGTTCCCATACTAAGTCTTTTTCATTCTTTTTTATGAGAAAATGTAAGGAATCTCTGCATACATTTATTTGTTTCAGCTATTAAGACTGACGTTTATAAGAGCCGTATTTGAAATAACTTATAATGCATTTAAAACTTGTCAACATATTTCAATTGAAAATGCACTGAAATGAAATCCTCAAAATTGTCTGAATTATGGAAAAAAAGAAATGGAATTTTTTTACATTTGAGGGGTCATGAATCTAATGCTAAGTCAAAATTTATCTGTATACCTGGTGGAATGGGGGGTTTGGTAAAAGGTGTTGATGTAGGTAAACGATTGAAGGAGTCATCCAGGAACGACAGATGTGACATGTCCAGCAGCATCGTACCAGTAGGATGGATATTACATGTATTCATTTTGAAGTCATTACGACTACCTAGGATTTCACCTGTCCGACTGAAAATACATTTTCTACTTGTGATGCGATGTTCAACATAAAAGAAGTTAACTGTTTACTTCAAAGTTTTACAAGAAAATTAATTTGGATCTGACTAAGCTGTGTAACTATGCAACGTGATTTGTAAACAGAGGACAAATTAATATGAATTTGTCAAGATTAGCTAAGCATGGAGGCTAAAATGCTCGTGTAATGTTCATGTCTGGTTAGTATCTTGGTTTTGCATGCTCTCATAAAATTATTTCATAATCATGAGTATGGAAATGAAGCTGTCTATGTTACTTTCTTACCTAAGCAATGGATTTGCTCCCTTTTCCCCCTCTTCTAAGGGAACTAAAGCCATAGGAGTTCTAGGCACCACATGCACTGCATGAGCATCATGCTCCCCAATGTCATTTTTCATATCAATGTTATTATGTTCCTTAATGTCATCAAGTGTCAGGAACTCCTCATCTTCATCATCCTTTGTGTGAGGAGCATCAGCATCTTTGCCGTCAGCATCCACTGATGGCCCTTGTTTCTGAGTCCTGGAATAAAAAGGCCACGCAATCTTTAGATCGTTACACCAGGGGAAAAGGCAAAGTTCAATGAATATATTAGTTAATTGAGGTTAGACTCGGGTATTACAGTATCTGTCAAATGATCAAAAAGTGAAGAATCACAATTTTGCTTTTTTTAATATGAGTACCCAAAACATATTTAATATTTATGATAATTTTCCCTGAATTAAGTTTGACTTAAAGTTATATGGAAAATATTTAGGTCAATCTAGCAGAAAATGGATTCTTCAGCACTTACTTTTTATTCGCTAAGAGATCAAGAGCTTGGTAGACAAGACTATACAGGTACTCAACCTAAAAACAGAAAAAATGGTTTGATTTGGGCAGCCCTTTCACTTTCACCTAAGCAAAGGTAGTGAAACTCCAAAAGAGCAGGTGAAAACTAAAAACTAAAATGAAAATATACGAATATAAAATGACCAAACAGAGCTCTACAGGAGAGGTAAGGAAACACTCATAATTCAAAATGAAAAAATAAAGTGAACTTATACAAGGGTCGATCCAGATATTCTGATAAAAATGCTCTCCTTTTTTGATTTTTGGGAGTTATAACATCAAACTTGCACAAAATTAGGATAATTTAATTGCTCTTAAAATATATAAGTTTAGTCAACATACGGGCACTAATGCGTTGCTAGGGTAAAAAATTGGTAACCATGCAAACGGGACCTGGGACAAGTAGCTTTTCTGCCTCTTCATATTTTGTCTTAACATACTTTTATATCCATTATGACCCATTTTAGATTCAAATATTCTTCAATTAGCATTTTAGCAGGTGCACCTACAATCAATTAAGTGTTTTGTGACATCACAACAGACAATTGTCCATTCTGAGCAAATAGAAGCTGGCTCCAAATTCAAATCACTTGAGCAAGTTTGCAGGTATTGAGAATCCATCTGAGAAAATGAATAAACATTGCCCTGTCAGAGATCTGACTGACTTCATCCTCCACCACGATAATGCCCCATCTCATCAAAGTGAATGTGTGCAAACTGCTATTTATATCAGAGAGAGAGCATGGGTATGGAGCTGCTCGGTCATCCCCCATATTCCCCTGATTTAGCGCCATTGGATTTTGCGATTTTTGGGAAACTGAAGAGTGACCTCAAAGGCAGGCATTTTCATGATGTCAATGTGATGAAACAGGCAGTTATGGGTTCCCTGCACACCAACTTCCCTGACTGCAATGATGTATATACTCGCTGGGTTGATAGACATAGACGATGTGTGGCTGCACAGGGACATTATTTTGAGCGCATGCGTAAATAAAGGACATAATAGTTGATTAAATCAGTCTGTGAGACTCTTGATTTTGTAGCTAAACCTTTATTCTAGTTTTATTGTCCCAGGTGCCGTTACCATGGCAACGAAAAAGTTCTCCCGTGAGGAGAGTTATAAAGGAATAAAATTTATATTTTTATATCTTTTGCCAAAATGAATTATCTTTTGTCTGTTCAAATTACAAGTAATAACTTCCAAAAATAAAGAAATGAGAGCATTTTTATCAGAATATCTGGATCGACCCTTGTATAACTGGTTTTCAGTCCCTTTAAGACCAAACATTAACCTAATGGTTTATAAAAGAATAATTTGTCCAACTATTCCTCGTAAATATAATGTTGACCATTTCCCAAATTTTCTGTCATCATCAAGAAATATAACTTGGTGAAAGATGGAAGTCCAGTGAATTGTTTAATATTCTCAATGTACCTTTTTACTGTAAACACATGCAGAACCTTGAATCACAAGTGCAGCCTCTGCAAAGTTTAATGTTGTCAAACCATCATCAAAAGTAATTCTAATTGTGTCTATCTGGAAACAACAAAATAATGAAAATATGATATATTTAATTTAGTGACATCTTTTTAAGACATATTCCACAATAATGACTAATCATCACATACAACTTTAGCACTGGTGATCCACTCGTTTACGCCGAATGAACCGTTTTGGTAACAAAATGTCGGAACATCTGAAAGGTACGATTTTTCTCGTTTCCTTATTTTACACGTTGTAGGCAGAATTCCCACAACATTTTTTAACACAAACGTGTATCAGTATCATAAGTTTAAGAAAGTGTACATATTTGCGAACAAATAGTTCAGAAGACAACAGAATCGTCGATTTACTTCCTCATTTAAGTTACATAAACGGTTTGGGTTAAAAGTGCAGATCTTAACTGTTTTTCGAAAAACCGTTTCTGTAACTTAAGTGAGGAAGTAAATCGACGATTCTCTTGTCCTCTGAGCTATTTTTTAGCAAACATGTACATTTTCTAAAACATATGATACTGATGCACGTTGTGAGAAAAAACATCGTGGGGATTCTGCCTACAACGCGTGAAATAAGGAAAAAAGAAAAATCGTGTCTTCGACGTTCCGACATTTTGTTACCAAAACGGTTCGTTTTGGTAACCAGCGTAATCCAGTGGATCACCAGTGTTTAGGCATTATAAGCAATGATTACCCAAATAAAATCCTCATTTTAGTGTTTAATCGTGGAAATTCCTTTTGGCAAAAGAACTCTCAACGCTATTGCATAGTTGGTCCTAAAAGTGTTTGTTTTTATAAATTAAATCTAAAATTGAAATAAATTAGACAATTTAAATCTACAATAGACAGGAGAAGAGCTGTTCATATATTTTCATTTCTATATACTATTAGTTTATATAAATTCTTACATCCATGTCAGGCATACATAACTTACCTCACCAAGATATGAGGTCAAATCTCCAGCAATGTCTATATCCCAGTTCTTTGTCAGGTCTCTGATTGGCTGGAGCAGGTGGCCGAAGCGCTGCTCCAAATCATTGCCCTGAGACATACCTAGACTCTATAGTTGGCAACTTTGCGCTTAGCCGATATATACAGAGCTAGAGAAAATATAAAAGACACTTGAAATACAAAAAGAAAATATGGTTTCAACAATAAACAAGAATATACTTATAATCATTCCATTTATATTGTTTTCATTAAATGTTATCACTCTCACTAGCAAAACGTTCAAGTCATCTTCACAAAAATATTGACCTTGTTTGTTTAATCAAGTCTCACCATTATACATGCAATTCTTTTAACCTTATTGACAAAAAAAGATTTCCTATGATTTCCCAAGCGTTTAAAAGGCCTCCAGATGTTCAGAAAACTTTGAAAAACACTTGATAGAGAGCACAGATTCATTTAGTTACATTGTTGAAACTAACTTATTGTAAATATTAATTCCTCATGTTTGAAGAGCTCTCATGAGAGGTATAACTTTGTCTACATCCGGGTTCTTTCCCATTGGATTACACAGGAGTGCGATTTTCAATGCTGCACTAAAGCTTTATTAAACATTTATGTAGTGTTGCATTTGCACAAATGATAGATATGTATGATATTAAGATATACAACAAGGCTTTTTGAACTATAATCCCCAAATCCGAAGAAATCTTTAGTTTGAAATGCTGTCCAACTCCAGTGACGTCACTGATTTCCCACAAATTGCTCAGACGCCATTGAAGATCGAAAAAATATAAATAATGTAACTTTGAATATCAGATTATCTTTCTGATTATCGAATAGATTGGATCATGAAACTATGCTCGAGCGCTGGTGGAATATCGGAGGCTGAGAAACTGTCATTTTTGTTTCACGCTAGTTTTATCAGAATTTGTTGAAATTTTGTTCGAGTAATCTTTCGCCAATATGATGTTATACAGTACATACGCTATGATGAAATCCTCGACCAATGAAATTAGCGGATCGTGACCTTTGACTTTGAAATCTCCGGATGTTTCGTTAAGAGTAATCGACTCGTTCGGCGGGCCAATGAAATTGTGTCCCTTCCAAAATCCAAAGCGATGCATCATGGGAGATATTTATGTAAATTACCATCTGAACTCTTATCGCGAATATGTCTATTGAAATTATAGGTGCATTCATGCACCCTCTGGGTCTCTGAGGATCGTGTTGGCCCCAGGGGTGCATAACGTGCAATGTAAATTTATCAAATTTAAGAAATGCTGAAAACTCCGGATTTGATGTTTTTGACTTTTCTCCCAAGATCTTACCTCAATCTTGAAAATTCTTTCACCACTGGATAGCGGGACCAAAAATCTTCAAAATGAACCCATAAATGCCTCGCTTTATTACAGTAATTATGTGTAATCGTTGCAGATAAGACGAAATTGCATTTCTGACCGGTCTTCTTGACATTTTCGCTGACCTAATTTCAAGTGCGCATGCGTTGCATAAATCAGTGTGATGATCACGTGACGTGACGTAATTTGATGATCACGTGTTGTAATGTTTTCCAATAACCAGTTGGTAAAACTGCTATAGTGGATTCTTGATTCAATATGTTTTGTTATCACGTCTTGTAACTGTTCTGGCTTCAAATCAAATCCAAACTTTGGTTTTATGTTATGCGAATAGAGATCATTGATTTCTTCCATCGAATACATGATGGTCGAATGAATGATATAAACTCTGTATAGTTAAATAGATGGCAGTAATATTCAATGGCTACTCTCGTCAAATCTCGTGAGAATAGAAGCCGCCATAAAGATTTTGTGAACAGTAGCGACAAACGGCGATTTTGCTACAAAATTAGCACAATTCAACCTTCTACAACCACAAAGCTATGGTAATTTTTTGTATAAATCATCAATGTATCCATTTTGTTTATATTTCTCTGTAAATGACGCAGAGATTCTAAGCAGAAGATTAAAATAAAGTGAACCGTCAAAAATAATCAAGAAAAACTTAGATTGGCATGAATTTACAAGGATAAACACCGCCTCTAATGCAAGTCCTTACGACAATCCAACGCATTAGAGGCGGTGTTCACCGTCTATTGAAATTATTGAAAATCATTGCTGATTCTGACAACTACCAGTTTTGGGCATTCTATCATCTATTTGAATGATGGTAGACGAAACACAGTGGTAAACTGAAGGTATTTTTTCTTGCTGTCATGTCTGTTATATATGTAGACGTCTTACTCAACGCAATCATGGTAATAACTGAATATATTGAAATATTTACTTACTTTTCTGATCCCGCCATTTATTTCAGAAATTACAACTCTTAGAAAGACAACCTTTCATTGGTCAAAAACAGGAAAATTTTAATGAACCAATCAAATCAACGGATACATAAAAAATAGTCCAGTCGAATATAATATTCCGCGTTCGTAGAATAATACTTTTCCCATCATGTAACACCATTTACGTCAGATAAAACATCATAGATATGATTATAAGATCATAAGACTGCTATGTAAATTAATCAATATAAATTTGTAGACTTTTTTCAACACAGTTTAGAAGAATTATTTTTCTTGTCAAGGGTTCAGAAAAAGGTGCTCTTCGCCCCACTGATCAATTTTTGGAGAAAATATTGTCTCTAATATTTGTGCTATTTGCACTTTTTGTGGAGGTGAACCATGGCTAGTATTGGCATGACCCGTGATCTGTTTCTTTGGTGGATGTCTGGAATATATTTATGCGCATTTGCATCTTTGTATATACAAATACCAGGTAAAGTTAGCTATTAGCCATTGTTTCTAGCCAACTTCTAGAGACTTCTGAACATGTGAATCTGTTCAGTGCTAGACGGTGAACACCGCCTCTAATGCGTTTGATTGTCGTAAGGACTTGCAACACGATCCTCAGAGACCCAGAGGGTGCATGAATGCATCTAGTTCAGTGCATGTCAATATTGTTTTGTATGTATGTGCATTTTGAGAAACCACACAGTGTTATACTTTCTAGAGTAGATCTAAATGTAGATCTAGGATGTACTGAACTTCAGCTCGCCACATTTATATACGTTACATTTATTGGAGAAGCTGAGCAAAGAACTATAACCCTGCATACATGTACAGTTCATTTTATATATAGAGGATATAGTCTAATCGCACCCCCTGACTAAGAGCTGGCTATGCCCCTGTGTACCATAGGCATAGCCAGGGGGTGCGATGGGAAATTTAGCGATCGCGATGGGTGATGGGTGGATACTGTGCTTATGCTACATGGTTAATGAACAATTACAACCCATGTCATTGTTTTATTTCATCAGTTAAACCTAAAAAATAAGAAATCAAAAGATCATTGTGCAATAATATGTAAAAAATATATTCCTATTGTACATAAATCACAATTGTATATCATGGATTGCTTCTAGTTTGGCTAATAAAGTATGTGGCCTCTTATATTTTGATGCTTCTCTGCCATAGTATTTTCAAAAAGATGAACATGGCTTTAAATTACAAGAGATAGGCTTATTGCACATAAAACTAAATAATCTGAAATATACAAATGTCATTTTTGTACAATATGAATAAATTTTTTTGTTCGCCAATAAGGGGGGGGGGGGTAAGATCGTGGCATAAGCAAGGGAAGATTTGTTTTGAATTTCTTCTGCTATCTAATTGTTCAGTCAACCATGAAGCATAAGCACAATGTTCAACAGAAAATAGAGGAGTGTCAAAACTAATTATTTTCTGCTAAGAAACACATTTCAGAGTTCAGTGGATCTTCAATATTTTGGTCTCAATATTAGACCATCTTACTTAATCAATACACTATAAAGCAGCAGACAACTAATCTATGTTGTGATTTGTTGATACATTGAGCTCTTCCCCTTATGGATTGGCTCTACTATTAGTGCACTACCCAGTCTTTTTAACAAACTCCTGTGTACTACCGTAATCAGTAATGGTAAACTCTTACTTCCATTCCTAGACTCATCCAGAAACGAATGTTAAACTTTCTTCAATATTTAATATAACTTTCTCACCAGACATGGTTGACTGATATGTCAGCAAATGAAATGATCATAATACATGTTTCAGGCCTTTACGGAGACAATGGGATCTTGCCAGCAAAGCTTGTCGTCAGAGATAGTAAGTTAATTTTTAATTTTATATTTTTATGGTGTGAGCATGACACACATATATGTTTTGAAAAACATTCATTACATCTTTATTAAAGCTGTACTATTTTGTACATTTTTTACAGTAGAATTTGATTAAAACCTAAAACTTTAAGGTGCTCCATTTAAAGTAACAATATGAAACCAATGACAGCTTTGACTATTTTTACATTTATTATTTTACTTTAATGTCGAAAAGTGGTTGATCTTTAACATTTATTGTTTCAGAAGCAAAAGATGTGAATGATTTCTTCAAAGGGAGCCCAACCCTGCTGAGTCTTACTCCCTACTTAGGTCTGACCACACAGCAGGGTATGGAGTTCCTGACATTTGGGGGCATCCTCGTTTCTTTCCTGATGTTCATCTCCAAACCTCAGAGAAGTTGCGCAGGATTCTTCCTGCTTTGGGCACTCTATTTCTCAGTTTATCAGGTAAAGTTACTCTACAATATGCAAAGTGCCTCAATGCATTAACTATTCTATTTTGCTGATTGAAATAAGTTATTTTTTAAAAGCACATTACAAACAAATACATGTACATGTATATTGTAACATGAAAGGTTTTAATACATCCTAGACATTTTAATTATATTATTTACTTGTGTTTATTGGTTCAAAATAGTTAATGTTTTTGAATGGAATATTTTGTATTTGATTTTGTTGTTGAATAATTATGAGAATTGGTGTTTTTCAGGTTGGGCAGACTTTCCTCTGGTTCCAATGGTATGTATTTTTGAGAATCATTATTTAAAAATATGTATTTAATTTTTTGTTGGCTTACACCTTATGGATTATCCACTTGTCTGTCCATCTGTCTGTTACCCTTTGCATTCATTATCCCATCGAACGAAGTTCGGAGGGATATAGGGAACGCCTCCGTCCGTCCGTACGTACGTCTGTACGTACGTCCGTCCGTCCATCCGTCCGTCTGTCCGTCCGTCCGGGCAATAACTCAAATACGGTTGGCCAGATTTTGTTCATATTTTGTACACATATACCCTATGGGGTTAGAAGTTCTGCTCGAAAGCCGATTTTCAAAATGGCCGCTCATTTCAAAATGGCGGCCATTTTAGTGACGATTTTACAGTAATTTAGGTGCAATATGTAAAACTGTAATAGCAATATGTTTTAAATGTAAAAAGATTATAAAGGACTTTAATAATGCTACAAATGTAGATATTAAAGAAGCACATGGCAGCCATCTTGAAAAATGGCGGCCTTTACTCGTCATTTTACGATTTTTGCTGTAACTCAAAAAGTAGTGGAGCGATTTTGTTCATATTTGGTATGTGGATACTATAAGCATTGCACACTGTCTAAAGACACTTTTGGTAGAAGGCAGCCATTTTTCAAAATGGCCGCCATTTTAACGTATTTTACTATAACTCGAAAAGTAGTGGAGCGATTTTTTTCATATTTGGTATGTTAATACTATAAGCATGGCACACTGTCCTATGACACTTTTGGTAGAAGGCGGCCATTTTGAAATTTTTTTTGAAAAATGGCCGCCATTTTAACATATTTCACTATAACTTGAAAAGTAGTGGAGCGATTTTGTTCATATTTGGTATGTGAATACTATAAGCATGGCACATTGTCCTATGACACTTTTGGTAGAAGGTGGCCATTTTGAAAACAATTTTGAAAAATGGCCGCCATTTTAACGTATTTTACTATAACTCGAAAAGTAGTGGAGCGATTTTGTTCATAATTGATATGTGAATACTATAAGCATGGCACATTGTCTAATAAAACTTTAGGGAGTAGTCGGTCATTTTGAAAAATGGCCACCATTTTTATGTGTGTTATTTTACAAGCATGTGTGCGATTTTTCAAAAATTTTAGAGGTGGCTACTTAAAAGCATATTATTTCTTCTGATGACAACTTGGCTAGTGAGCAACCATTTTGAAAATGGTGGCCTTTCTGGTGTGTTGTTTTATGATATTTGCGCTTCGTTTGTAAAAATGCCAGCCATTTCTGTTCGATGGGATTCGCTACGCTTTGGCGTTGCCGTTGTTCTGGTTTGGCTTCACTTCTTAAAAGAGAGCTTCGTCTTCACTCTTTCAAACTAAAATAAACCTGTGAACTCACCGCACCAATCAATGTTCTTCAGCCAAATTTGACCGACGTTCTTTATATGGTCATTCCTTCTGACGTCATCGTTTAGCCCGGAATTGACTAATGATATGTGCATATTTAGTAAGAACGCATTTGGCGTATGTTTCTTCAAGCTCGCTGATTGGTGGAAGGTCAGCGCGTAGGTCAAAAGTAATTTACCCAAACTGTCACCGGTACCCGTCGTGGGGGCGGGGCTACTAAACTGTAATATGGTCTCTACTAGGCAGAGTGTAGTTTAACTAGACTCTGCACGCAGGGTATCTGTCTGTACATTCATCTGTATGTCTTCCAAACTTGAGAACAAGACAAATGAGAACTGCCATTTGTTCAATATACAGAGTTGTTCCACTTTCCAGAATTATTAAGTGCATATAAACAATATACTACTGTAGTACATGTACTTATCAGTGAATCAAAACAAAGCTATATTATTTCATTTCAGGGACATATTACTTCTTGAAGCTGGCTTCCTTACAGCATTGCTAGCCCCTATCAATATAAAGCTGTTCCGGTGGAGTGTAATTGGTTATAACCAACATGATCATGTGACGCTGTGGCTCGTCAAGTGGCTTCTCTTCAGGCTCATGTTCGCATCTGGTGTCGTCAAACTCACGTCACATTGTCCAACATGGTGGGGACTAACAGGTACTAGCAAATACATTCTTTCTGAGTTTTAGTTTTTTCATTAACACAGTTATATTACTATTAAATTCTTAATCATGACCCTCTATAATTACAACCCCTCTGATAATCTTTATTTATTGCTATTATTAAAAAACTTTTTGATATTTGTTGATTATCTGTTTGATGTAATAAATATTTCCTTAAATTGGAATTAATCATTGAGCATTTTAATTTAACCAGAAATGGTGACATATTGTTATAGTTCCAAACTCTCTCTCTTTTTTGGACAATGTTCAGCGGTTGGTGTTTGTAACAAATGACAGGTGGTGAAATTTTGCATGTTAATACCTCATTTAATACTTTGTACATGTAATAAGCCACAAATCTGAACTTGGATTTATGTTTTTCAGCTCTCACTTATCACTATGAGACTCAGGTGAGTATTTTTCATTAAAGTTTTTCATGTGTGTAATATTTAAACTAGTATTGATATACGTAATTTAACAAAGGATGGCTTGGCTATATTCACTATCAACATTATCAACAGTTCCAACCCATGTTATGGGCCTATTAAACAATGTTAAGAGCAAATGAATTTGAAATTCATAATTATGATGTAGAAATTTTAAACTTTTACTCCTGTTTGTATATACTCGTATGAATATGAAGAAAATGACAGAAACGTATCTTTTTAAAAATTGGTCCACCCAATGTTTCTTCAAATTCATGGTTTTTATGTACCTGTCCTGCATATTTTTCATCTTGTTCATTTTCAGTGTATTCCAACTCCAGCAGCTTGGTACCTTCATCAGTTACCCGAGTGGTTTCAGAAGTTCAGTGTGGTGGCAACATACGTCATAGAGATACCCATCCCATTCTTGTTCTTCGCTCCAGTCAGAGCTCTAAGGCTATTTAGCTTTTATTCACAGGTAAGTTTCATAATAGTAGTTTCATATGCTTCCCTAGAATTGAACATCTCCAAGCTCTTTTAATTATAGATCATTTTTTATTCTTACCTTTGTCTAAAAATCCCTTTTCTGTCTTCAAAAAGCTATTACATTATTTTCACATTCAAACTTTCATAAAATGCCTATATTGACCGAATTTGAGATTATTGAGATATGGTAGTAAGAGTAGACTATGCTGATTGGGATTTAGGGTAGTGATAATTTTTCAACTAAAGTTAAATTGCACCTGAGAAGATCCCTGCATGGGAAAAGTAGGCACGAACATGTTCCTAATAAGGAGTTAGGGATATGAAAACTTTATATGATAAATATGCTGGCTACAAGCCTAAGGTATTTCAGTCAGATTATAATTATCTTGCATTTTTATGTTTTGAAAAATGGAAATGCAATGAATCAAAAAATGATTAGAGATAAGTCTGGGACAAAGAGTTGAATCCAGCATAGAAAATCCATTAAAATCAAAAATGGGAGTATGGGATCGGGAATGGGGTTAAACATCTGTCCTCACCTGATGAATTCACTATTATTCCTATTTCGGAGTACACATATTTTCCATTTACATCAATGATGAAATTAACATTTGATATTTTCAAAAATCACAATCAAGCTATTGTAATTTTAGCAAAATCATGTTAATCAAAAGTAAAAAAGTGTGTTGTATTTTAATGGTATGTTATGTCTCTCAGACTGTCTTGTTTAGCTTTAAAACATTGCCAATAAGTAAATCCCTTCCATGGAGATAAGTAACATAAGCTGATATTGAAGAAAAATGATTTTGGTGCAAGATGTCATGTCGGATTAAAATGGCTAAATCCATAGTTCATAATTATGGTTATTGCCAATTGTATCAGATGCTGGCACAGTTTTGCCGGAAGTTTGCAAGAAGTAACTTTTGGCAATGCAGTATGTTAGAGTAACCTAGTAGGTGTAAGAAAATATAAGGTGATGGCCTTTAAAGTGGTAAAAACAATTTTCACGGCCGAATTGGACTTCAATTCCTGCGATTTCAGGGGGTACTATAAGACTATTTCATAACATAAAGGATATAGTTGCTATTGTTCTGTTTTCTACAGCACACATTACTAGTCCAAAGATGAATAATATCCTAAAGTTATAGGCCGATATCTGTATTAGTCTCAGAAATATTGCAATTAATAGGAAAAATATGCAATTTTAGTCATTTTTAAGTCTCGCGTATCTTATATTTGTAGCTTCCAGCAAAAGATGGCAGCTTAAATAGCTCAAAATTGTTTTCTAAAAACTAATTCAAGCTTTGTTTGATATTGTAATACAATTATAATAATGATAATGTACTATTTATGATTTTTAATATGACTTTATAGTACCCTACCCCTGGAAAGTGGGCGTGGTCAATGTTATCATTTTGCAGCATACAATTAAAAACTAATATTGATAGAAAGCAAATCAATGCATTTTTAACATTTTCACTTGTTACTTGACATTGTAATTCATTCATTACTAAAATATAGGACTCAACATATTTTATATATACGTTTTCAATTTTGTACAATGTACTAGTATCATGATGAAATCTAATAGGCTGGTTCATTTTCAGTGTTCACTAGGCTAATGCATGAAATGTAAGTCACAGTGTTTCCATATTACCTTTGCAATGAGAAAGTACCACGAAGACTACATAATATGAGCAGTTTCAAGGTCCTAATACTAATACTTACCGATCTATCGGCGTTCAAAAATAGAGAAAGCTGTCGTGAGTGCAGTTTTAACTAACTTTGAACTGAAACTGCTGCTTAATGAATATTTTTCTCAACATCTTTGACTTTTTTAGACCCCAAACATAAGATACCAAGACATAATGCTACCAAGTTCTGATATTGGAAGTTTCAGAGCTCTAGATCAAATATTCACTTCTGCATGTACTTTTAAAAAGAGGCAAAAGGACAAAAAACCTGTCAGATATCGTGAAAAATATGAAAGATGCACCATTCAGAACAATTTATCTCTTAAATGTTACTTTTATTTGACATAATTTCTGATTCTGCCTCCAGTTAGTACCACCAATAATACATATGAGAAGACTTTAACGTCATAGTAAGTGGAAGTACAGATCTATTGGCTTCTGAAAATGGGAAAAGCTGTAGCAAGTATGTTTTTCACCAGTTTTTCATCTAAGACTGCAACTTTCTGAATTTTCTTTTTACAAACTGCACAGTAAGACCAAAGACATTAAAGGAAACCTGGTCATTGTACCACCAATAATAAGTAAAAATAATGTGTTTACTTTAATTCCAAGGCATCTGAATTGATAAATAAATGAAATCAGTACTTTATTGTATTTTGGGACAAAATTCACTGTTTGAATGCTTAAGCTTGACATCACAGTATCAAGTGAAAGATACGTTGTTATATACAGCTATATATCACTTTAACTGACTTTACTCTTCAATTTGAAATATGCCTGGCCATTTTTAGAAAAATGCGACGGAGGGCAAAGAGGGTGCATGGTATAATTGGTAATTAAGCTCTTCTAGAGTTTAAAGCTCCCACAATTTTTAAAAACGAAATGGAGAATAACATGTGAAAGTATAGGATGGACTAATTGTTCCAAGAAAGTTTTTGAAAGTAACATTGCATGAAATATTTAAGCAAGAGATATGTTCCAAAATACTTTCAGGTAGAAATAAAGCTCCGTAATGTAAAAACAATGTATTCTCAGTATTCAATAATAACATTCTTTATAGGTTTTTTGGTCTTAAGCATATCAGTGATTATCCCATGGTTGCAAGGATATAGATCGAATATCACATGAAGATATATTTGATATGTGGATCAAGTTATAATATTTTAGCAAAAAGTTCACAAACCATCGAATATCACTTTTAAACTATCGAATATCACGTCTTAAAAAGTGATATTCGGTGGTTTGAAAAGTGATATTCGATGGTTTCGAATTTTTTCAAAAAAAAATTTCTTTTTACATTTTTTAATTATTTTCAAAAATATTAAAAAAAAATTTCAACATTTTTTCACAATTTTTTTTCAATTATTTTTTCAAATTTTTTCTCGAATTATATTTTTCACATTTTTTCAAAAATATCAATTATATCCACTCATGGATACAAATATCTTCACTCACTCGCTGCGCTCACTCATGAAAATATCAATATCCACTCTTGGATATAAATGATATTTTTTCAAAACCATAGGATATTCCTATATTATATCAATTCGGATGCTGAAGTCACTATAATACGAGATGTAACTCCTAGTAAGCACTTCAAGTTTCAGTTCTAAATAAAATACAGTTTAGTTAAAAAATTGTTAAGAATACATACATTTTTTCACAATCACAATTTCACCATTTCTGACTGTATTTTGCATATTTTTAGGTGTCAATGGTTCAATGATTATTTGATATACGGTAACCTCCTGAAATTACTGTCATATATATTTGGTGGTACAGTGATATGGAATCCTGTCTTTTGGGGTCTCACGGAATTCTTGTTTTAGAGAAGAAAATCCTGAAAGCTGCAGTTTAATATTATGAATTATAGGTGAAAATTGCACTTGCTACACTGCTTCTCCCATTTTTATATGCTAATAAATCTGTAACTACACTTACTATGACCTTAAGTCTACTCATATGTATTATTGGTATTACTAACTAGAGGCAGAATCAGAAATTATGGTAAATAAAAGTAAAATTTAAGAGATAAATTGTTCTGAATAGTGCATTTTATCACATTTTTTCGTGATATCTGACTGCATTTTGTGTCTTTTTAAGAGTCCATGTAGATATGAATACTTGATCTAGAGCTCTGAAATTTTCAATACCAGAATTTGGAAGCACTATGTCTTGATATCCTGTGTTTGGACTCTAACCAAATTACAGTTGTTGAGAAAAAAAATTCATAAGTAGCAGTTTTAATTCAAAATTAGTTGAAACAGCACTCAAGACAGCTTTCCTCATTTTTGAAAGCCGATAGATCGGCAAGCATTTACACCATGATCTTGAATCTGGGCATACATATTCTTAATGGCACTATCTCATTGCCCAGATATTGTGGAAACATTGTGACTTATATTCCATGTGATAGTAAGCAATGAAAATGGACTTGTTGCATTGTGGCGGACCCCATACAAAACAAACATAGGGGTATGGGGGGGGGGGGGGGGTTAAACGTTGATCAGTTCTGCTATTTTTTGTGGCTATTGGTCATATAGTAGATCATTTTGTCAAAAGGTAAGGGTGATTCGAGAAAAAGTTTGTAAATTGAAACAGCCTATTAGATTTCATTATGATACATTGTACAAAATTGAAATCGTATATATAAAATATGTAGAGTCCTATATTTTAATAATAAATGAATTACATTGTCAAGTAACAAGTGAAGATGTTTTATATGCATTGATTTGCTTTCTATCAATACAAGTTTTTAATTGTATGCTGCAAAATGATAACATTGACCACGTCCACTTTCCAGGGGTAGGGTACTTTAAAGTCATATTAAAAATCATAAATAGTACATTATCATCATTATAATTGTATTACAATATCAAACAAAGCTTGAATTAGTTTTTAGAAAACAATTTTGAGCTATTTAAGCTGCCATCTTTTGCTGGAAGCTACAAATATAAGATACGCGAGACTTAAAAATGACTAAAATTGCGTATTTTTTTCCTATTAATTGCAATATTTCTGAGACTAATACAGATATCGGCCTATAACTTTAGGATATTATTCATCTTTGGACTAGTAATGTGTGCTGTAGAAAGCAGAACAATAGCAACTATATCCTTTATGTTATGAAATAGTCTTATAGTACCCCCTGAAATCGCAGGAATTGAAGTCCAATTCGGCCGTGAAAATTGTTTTTACCACTTTAAAGGCCATCACCTTATATTTTCTTACACCTACTAGGTTACTCTAACATACTGCATTGCCAAAAGTTACTTCTTGCAAACTTCCGGCAAAACTGTGCCAGCATCTGATACAAATAAACAAAGTGTCAGTTTATGGATCTGTATAGACAATGTCACAACAGCACTATTTCTTGCAAAATAAAATATCACATTTTATTAGTCTTAAGTAGATAAATATATTGGTTCAAATAAACCCTATGCAATCATGAAGTTAATTGTAATGAAGTGCTGATAACTTCATTTTCTTTCATAATTATTCCTCTAAATATCTTTTCTCAAATGTTGCTCTTTGTCTTTTCATGTCTTTGAAAATAGTATTGACCCTTTTGTCACATTTTATTTCACTGCAATGCTATAGAGTAAATGGCACCTTGACTGAATGATGTTAGTTCTTGCATGATATCCTTGATCTGATTAAATAGTTCATGTGCACTTTGGGGCTCTGTGGTCCTCACAGTCGTCGATATGATATAGTCATACATGGCTGCATTTAACTTCCGTTCAATCAACACAACGCCATTTTCAATAGTTGCATATGTCAGATCTCTCCAGTCAATACGACTTTTGACAAAATCCTGTATCCGCGCAAGCAGTTTTTCAAATAGTCCATCAGGCACTTGAATTGGGAATGTATATGTGAGTTCTTGCTCGGTATGGTCACTAGGCAACTCAGGCGGCCATATTGAATCAAGATCATCAGGTTTTGGGTCCCTATTGTACCATGGGATCACCACTAGTGGATCGTATTCTGATTTCCTGACTGGCACCTCAGATTGAGGAATAGTGTAGCAGATATCCAACAGAGGCACAAAATCAACAAGTTCGTTAAATTCCTCATAGCTGAGTTTGAGATAAAACCAGAAGCAGTTCATAAGAGGCCTAGACACTTGTCCGAGAGTCAAGAAATTCATTTTAGCCTCTTCAAAGGTATCTACTGTGAACTGGCCCTTGCTAGCGAGGGTTCGGTTCTCTGAGAAATCCAAGAAGTTGTTGATGTTATGCCGATAGAGACCGTGAATGAGGTTGATAAGGAGCCTGGGTTTGTGGAAGACAACCATTCTGAGATGGTGAAGGTTTGGGAACCACATGATTTCACCTGTATCACAGAGGTACGTTAAAGCCCTCACTAATGTATCATCCTCGATTCCTAGCTTCACCCCACAGTTTCTAACTATAGGCCATGTGATGTATCGCTCCTTCAGATTCTTCATCCTGGCACCTAGACGATCCCATATAGGTGGCACTGGGTTCTGAGCATATGGGAACAATGTTTTATCAATAACGAGTCGTTCAACGTCACCCTCTAACTGAGAAACACCAGTGAGATCCTGTGAACAGCTAACCAGGCTGACATCAGGAATAACCCTCAGTGGGTTGTTGATAAGAACCTGGATTTTATTCTTCTTTTTTTGCAGTGTGCCTAAAGCAGCTTGATTGTTGGTTCTCTCAGCTGTTGCTAGTTGTCTCTCAATCTTGTTGAGCTCATCTTGAAGCTTCTGTGTGTGAGCATCTAGCTGTTGCTGTACCTGTTGCGTTACAGCCTCGGTTGTACTCTCAATGATTCCCTCATAGCAGAGATCTATATGGGTTCCCACTAGTTTTACAACTGCACCTGGGGTGTGCATGTGTAGCATATCAATCCAGTAGCCTATTGCTTCCTGATGACCTTGTTCTGTGTACTTTCGATGGTCATACACAAGCAGGATCAAGGCTTTGGGGTCCAGGAACATCGGGTGCATGATTTTGTATGTTGAATCACCGCCAAAATCAAACACTGTGAACCTCACATTATTTTCTGTCTTCCATTGATTTTGTTCAAGGATTGAAGTGCTATCATCAACGCCATTGGTCAGCATGGATTTATGTTGGATCAGGGTGTTAATGAGCGTCGTTTTCCCTGCTTGAGAATCACCAATCACTAACATTTTTTGACGTTTTAGATTCTTAATCGTTAGAATTTGAAGCTTTTTCAGATACTCAAATATTTTCAAATGATCGTCAGTTTTCCATATTTCCTGCGGGGGTGTAGTGAGTGGATTGTTGTGTAGCCATAGCCCTGTTTGGTGGAGTTTTCTGTAGCTGTGTGCTGAAGAGATATTTTCCAGCTGGAATAACTGCATGGGGAGCGACACCAGCTTATTATCTGTGAGGTCAAGGGTCCCGAGTGCTCTTAATTCACATATGCTATCAGGGAGCTCTGCTATTTTGTTATGACCCAACATGAGCCTTTTTAGCTTGCTTAGGTTGCCCAGTTTGCGGGGTAGAGTGGAGATTAGATTCCCACTCATTTCTAACTCCAATAGATTGATCAGTTTCCCTATAGCACTTGGTACATGTTCTATAATGTTATTGTTCATTCGTAAGACCTCTATTGTTTTTATATTACCAATTTCTTTTGGTACTTTCTTTATGACATTATTTGAGATGTCTAAGACCTTGATATGCTTCAAGTAGAATACAGCAGATGGCATGGTTTGGAAGAAATTCTTGTTCAAGTAAAGTTCACGGAGAGAAGGAAGGCACTTTTCGGGGAGATTGTTTATCTTGGTTCCTTCAAGATCTAAGAGTTCTAATCCAGGTAGTTCAAATAAAACAGGTGGGATATGCTCTGATTGGATCTGGCCTTTTCTGAGCAGGTTCTCCATGTATGAATCGATGCCTGCACAGAAGCTTCTATGGTTCATGGACAGTCGTTTTAGTCTCTTCATCATCTTTAACGTATCAGGCAGGCTCTCAATTGTGTTCCCCCAGAGTAGGATCTCCTCCAGGTCTTGGCAGTACGCAATTTCCGGGGGCAATGTTACAATATTTGTTTGTTGTAAGTTCAAATGTTTCAAATTTGTCAGTTGTCCTATTTCTGGGAATAGAATATTAAATTTGTTCCGACTGAGATCCAGTTTTAAAAGAGTCTTCAGTCGCCATATTGCTGGAGGAACGAACAGCAGATTACATTCTGAGATGGCAAAAATCTCTAAATCTTTAAGATTCTCCATTTCTTTAGGGAGCCCACCGTAGTCGTTAGGATGGTTACAGCGGATTCCATTTCGGCTGAGATCTATCCGAAAGAGACTTTCCATTTTGTAGACAGCTGAGGGGATTGAGCGTAGGTTGTTACTGGATAGATTAAGAACTCCCGTCAGACTGTTCCCTGAAATTCAAATATATAAGAGGATTATTACAGATTCATTATTAGAAACCAGTCTGATTATGTCAGTGCATAATCGTTAGCAATTTTTGAATAGTTTAATTTATATGAACTTATTTTGGTTATATCCATGTTATGATTACTTGTATGATCCAGTTCATCTTAAAAACACTATCTTTCCAATAGAGGCTTTATTTACCTATGAACAGTGATATTGGAACTGATGTCATTCCTTGGTCAGAGTAGTCCAGAACCTTCAGTCCACGCTCTTTCTGATTGGCTGATGCAATTCCTGTACCCTCGCTACTCCCTGATTTTGCAGATGCAGCGATTCTGACTTGTTTTGGTGGAGATTTTGACCTAGATTTCCCTGATTTTGGAGGAGATTTCGATCGGGAAGACCTGCCAGATTTTGGTGGGGATTTTGAGCGAGATTTTCCATCTTTCCTCCCGGGTGATGCGGATTTCTGCCGCGAAGCCCTTATCTGCCTTTGGGTTGACATGGCATTCCAGATCAGCTAGAAATACAGAAATAAGAATTGGTCAATTTTAGTGTTTGTTTGTTAGATGATTTAATTCTTAAAATCGCGGATTCGGTAGTATTGAATCTCTAATAAAGATGGCGCGAAAGTTTTTCCTTATAAGGTCAAAATATTTCCCATGATGCAGTTCGCGGGGGAACAAAATTTTTCTACCTTGTTTTTCCCCGTTGGTTTAACATGGGGATTTTCATACCCATTTTTCAAGCGATATTTTCGATCGAATCTCCATGCGATCGGAGAAAACAAACTATCAGAAACAATTAGTCTTTTAATAATCTTTATATAACATATATTTTTTTTCATTTTATTGGCTCCTAACGGGGTGAAAACAATGATTGAAAATGGGAGTATATTCCGGAAGAGAAGAAGTCACGTGACTAGTCGCCATATTGGAAAAAGCAATTCCATTCGACTTTCAACACGTTCATGCCAATATTACCGCACTACAAACTGTAACATCGATGCAACAACTGAATAAAAGTACTCATCTTCATATTACATTATAGAGTTACGTTGAAAACCCACAAACAACTGAGCATTTGACCAAAGAAGACACGTCGCTATTATCTAGGTCAAGTTTAGTGGTTCGAAAGCAAATCTTACATACTCGTTTCCGAATTTTGTTGTTAATTGTATAATCTTTTATTGATTAAATCTGGTATACTGACTATTAATTCAATGACAAAGAAGAAGAATTCCGATGGTGTCATTTTTTTATTTAGCTTGCGGGTGTAAAAACAAAATTGCGTAATTAATTTGATTTAGAACTTTCGGGTCTCACAAATAGCTACACGAAATGCATCGTTGAAAAATATTGACCAATCAAATTTTGTCCTTTTTGAGTACATATATGCACCATATATGCGAACGTTCTGATTCAAAGAGCGAACAGCGAAATGGAGAATTGTCTAGAAGTTATACCACTTGTTAATTTCTAGCAACATTTTATCAGTCTATTGCTGTGAATCTTTTTAACATAAAATTTGAGTAACTTTTTAATCATGAATATCATCACTTAGTTATCAGTATATCAATGACATTTAACAACCTAGAAAAGGCTTCATGTAGGTGTATTGAAACCTCCTCTATAATGGTTTATAATGGCAGAGTTCCGGCAATTACAATTCTTTTATCACCCTGAACGAGATATAACTTGGAAGTAATTTACACTCTTGGGAAATCCATGGCTGTATTAATTACATTTGTGTCACTACTATTGAACTAGCCTGTTAGAACAAAGGGAAATCCATATCAAATATGTCTTTTCAAATCACTTACATAGAGTCATGTTTTCCCCTCCAAAAATTACAGAGGTATTGTTCATTTTGGATTTTTTTCAAGTTTTTGAACGAAGTACATTTAATGTAATGTATCTGATTTTGTTGTATTTCCTTAGAATTGTATATCTATCTCATTCTGAAAGTCCTTTTCAGTTCTTATCCCTTCTCCTCATGATGATATTGGTAAAGTGGTATTTGTTTTTTTTGTGCCGAATAAGCACTTGGTTTCAGTGGTTTAATTAACACAGATTTGTGGCAGTAGGTTTAATTGAATCTGGTATTGTCCAATAGAATCAATGATTTATTCGTTTCTAATAATAGATTCTAGCTAGTGAAAACAAGTTGGTCTGTAGGTGTAATTAAAGTTTATTTGAGATTACAGTCCAGAAAGAAAAATAATATCTCATGTCTCACCTGTATATGATGAAAAGAAAAAATTACAAATCATGATAGTATCACTTGATGCAAGATATTGCTTGCCCCTCATGGTAACCCAAAACCTACTGTATTATTATGACATTTATAATAGATTTAAAAGGTTCATATTTTCACTGATTTTCTAGCTTCTTTGTTCACCTTTCAGGAAGTTTTTTAACTCCTTATTTTTGAACAATGCAGCCATTTACAGTGATGTAAAATGGCTTAGTCATGGTAGATTAAATTTCACATTCAGAGCAACAGAAATTCGGATAACAATATTCATGAAAACTTGTTGATGGAAGTTTCAAAAAACTGAAAGCCTGTTTGGTAAATGCAATTTTCTACACTAAATTGTTGTAATAACGTAATAATGATGCTGTATAGTGTATAAATAGTAAGTCTAAACTCATAATCCATGCATAAAATGAATTTACAAAACCTCATAAAAATTCTTCTTTATCAACTCACCTGACCTCCAGTTGGATTTACAAACCCAACTTTCTTCACCTTACTTTCACTAACACTCATATTCCAACCTAAAGTATTTCTCTAATACGTTCAAAGTTGTATCATAATCTCATAAACTTTATTCACTTCATCAAAAAATCTCCTGCAGCTAAATTAGAACTCTTTGTTAAAATTCCTGTAATCTCCTAAAACTTGTAAGCCATGCCACTGTGTGTTGGAACATTATTTTACCATATCCAGTTACGGTTTGACATGATTAAGTCGCAAATCAATCATATTCAATAATGAAATGTCTCCATTTTCTTTGATTGTTAAAACTTATTAATTCACCAACTTTTGTATTTATAATCGTTAATTGGGAAATCTCTGTATGCCTCCATTAGTTTATAACTCAATAAATGATCCTTATGTAACGACAATAGATTGTTTGAGAGACCTGAACTAACTAAGCAACAAGCAGGAATCGCTAAAAATAGTTCCAACTTTCATCTATAATATGAATGTTACCCTTTTCAATTGCTTAACTTATTTTGTCCACTCTTAAGTTAGATATATTTCGATTTAGCCTATATCCAATTAGAAAACTCAGTCAGAAAATCAATTTATCTTTTATTCAGCTTTTAAATAGTTGACATACATTTCATATTCAAACTTCCATTAAAGGCCATAACCACTACATCAAAGCTGTAAAATCAATTGTTATATTTAGAGGGGAGGGTAACGAGCTGGTTGAGGTCAAGGGTAGTATGATGTTATTTCAGAGGCTTAACTGATCAATAGGTTTTCAATCATGTTTATAGAGATTTCCTGCTCAGCATTGCTCACTTATTCATCAAGTTTCTCTCATTTTAAGCATTTGTAAAGCCTGGATTAAGGTAAGCCAAGTCAAATAAGAAATCTGGCTATTGACTTGGACATTTAAGGATATCAACCTCCTACAGGGTCAGCCTTAAGAATTTGTTGGTTAGGTTTCCATATGACTCATTGTGTGATGAGATGTTTAATTTCCTTGCTTTGTTACATAATACCTTTTTGTTTGTCTTTCTTTTGCTATTTGTGCTTACATATTTGTCTGTCCACATATGCTTGTTTTTCACTGTTATGCCAAATTAATTTTTTCTGAGTGGTTGTTAATTGTTGTCTCAGGACCATTAGGTATTTTAATTGGACAAAATCCCCATCAATATTACATGTATTATAAATTATTCAGAGAAGTTTGCATGTTATTTACAAGACAGCTGTAATCTTCTTATTGTATAGTCTAGACTGCCACATTGGCTCATCTCCCATATTTATTGAATTCAAAGCAGAAGTAAATCTTAAAATACTTTTTGGGGTGTGTTGTTGTTGATAAAATAATTATTTGTTTGGGACAATTTGTAACAGTTTTCCCAATTCCGTTGGTCATTCCAAAATTTGTCAAAACAGTTTTTCCAGACTTGAGGCATAAAGAAGGGAGATGATGTATCAGTTGACATTTTGACTCGGATTATTTGACAACTGTGTTTACTCAAAGTATTCTCTATTTCCAATCCAAGACTTAATCCAAACATATGTCTTGATATGTAAGGCATTTGCATAATAGGTAATAATTCCATGTCTACTTTTTCAAAGAATTTGATCATTTCAGGATCATAATTAATCTCAAATATAAATAAGCTTGAGATACAAAGGAATACACCACTATGTCTCTTGAAATGATTGCATTCTATGTTTTATAATCTTCATTGTTTGCTGCCACTTTCAATTGGAGGGAAAGATAATTGTCTTCATTTGGTACGATAAGATGGAAGCCTAAAATAACGAGTTGTTTGGGATATAAAGTTAAATGCCTCTAAGAGACAGATTTGTGACTGTCCCCTTTTGGCTCCAAAATCTGCCCCTGTCAACAGATTAAGAAAGTAAGAAAGAGCAGAACAAAAAACTCAAGAAAAACTGTCCCAATGTTTTACTTACTTTAGTTATTATTTGTTTTTAGATCTCTGATCATTATAATTTTTCTTTTCCTTCTAGTTAGGGTGATTACTGTTATATAATACCTGTCATTTGTAAAATATATTACAGTTTTTCTGTTCAAATACTATAATCAAGCTGTCCTTTCTTCTAAAATATTTGTAATTTGTCCTGGATATGTCTTGGCTTTGTAAAAATATTATGACATAGATCTCAGTTGTCCTGAAGTACCAGTGATTTGTTCTAAAATACTGTCATTTTGCAATAAATACATATCACTTCTCATGAATATACTTTTTTCAACTTACCCGCATATAATCTGAATTCCCCGTCTTATCCTCCATATTGATGTAAAAAAGTATAATTGGTTATGTCTTATACTTGGACTCCATTTACCTATCACTAGACATTTTCAACATTTTAGGTTAGACCCCTTGGATTGGTCATTTATTGTCCTGTGTTGTATTAGTACACAAGAATTACAACTAAGCAGTTTAAATCTGCCAAGGTTCTAATCTAATTCAATTTTGATTTGTTTGTTTGGCTAATTTTGAGCATTCACCAATTTGAATATCCTTTTTTAAATCCATTTTGAAATTGAAATGATTATCCCTGCGCCCTGAGACATTTACTTAAGTCATCTAGATGTATTATGTCTATAATATGATAAATATAAATTTTATATTAAAATATCCTTTTGAAATATCTTTAGTAAACTCTAAAAAGATTTCTAACAATTTGTTTGGCTGCCAGTCGTTAGTACAAGTATAGGTTTAGAGTACTAGTATCATATTTCAAATACATTTCGACAACTTGATCCCGAACAAGTCAATGATTTCTGTGAAAGGGTTTAAGAGAAGCCGATCTCTATGTGTTTTCATATTCCATTCTACTGGTTTGTATCAAAGCTCATAAGCAACTCAGTCAACGAAAGGATGACAATGAAAGTAATCTTTCGATTTCTAAAAATCTACCATGCACGAGTAATGAAAAAGTTTATTTAATCCTGTTTTCTGACTGCCCTGAATGTGCCGTGCTATGTGAGAAAACGAAGATTTCAGCAGGTTCATATATACCAATGGTTTTCTTGAAGAATGGGTGAACTCAGTAAATATTCAAATGTTTCTAGCCATAGCAGACAAGCAAAAATACATGTATGTTCCAAATAGAGCTGAGTAGTACGTATCCAGGTTGATTTTCCAGTATTTATTTATTACCCCGAGGCATTACAAACATATTCACCAATAAAGAAAATACATATAAGGTAAAAACCTGATTCGAAAATAAGAATAAGAGACAAATTAATAAGCATGATAATAAAAGTGAATGAATATGAAGAATGAAATGATGACGATGATGATGATTACGTTATATATTTTGTTTTTATCATAAATGTATCTATTTATTTGATTGATTGACAGATTGATTGAGAGCTATTAATGAAAATTTTCTTTCATGTTATTATTATTTTTTCTTCAGAGATAATTGCTCTTTAGTATCATCAAAATTTCAGAGGTTTATAACAATCCTAAAATAAATATAGGTCACAAGATTTAAATTTCAGTTAAATATTTATTTAAGAGGTTACATAACCTAAAGGAAAACATATACAGGGAGAGCTAGAGAATATACAATAGACAATTGATGTCTTCTCTGCAATAAAGTGAAACATAGAAGACACAACTACAATGTAAATACAGTAAAACCTGTCTTAGTGAACACCTTTCTCTAATGAGCACCTGTGTTTAGTGGACACCCTTCCTCTGCACAAACTCCACTGACTTCTGTATAAATTACCCTCTCTGTAATGAACACCTACCAACAGTGAACATTTTTTTCTTGCCAAAAACTGTTCATGAAAGCCTGAATCAGATCTATAGGAATGACAAAATTGCAAGCAACGTGAATTGACCTACCAATCTATTCCTTGCGATCTTAAATACAACAATATCTCCCGAATGATCTGCAATATGTTAACAATTGATGAAGTTATTAAGGATTAAAGTGCCAAAAATGGGGGAAAGGTGTTTATTGTAAAAATCTGAAGTGCTCCTGGAATAACATGTGCACTTTGGGGACTTTTAGAAAATTGACATGAATGACATGAGCCAAAAATATACTCGTACTAAAATTGAAACAATTTTTGGGTAGCTTCTATTTACACATCTCATCAAATAACATATGTGCAATAACAATCCCTACATCTCCTCTTGCCTTTTCTGGTCCACTAACATCTTTTTGGCAGATATAATGTGCACTACATACATTATCACTGGACCTTATACTTGAGGGGGTCAGCTGGTTAATGAACTCCACCTTCAAATCTTTAGTAAGCGACTCAATGAGAGAATTTGCAGCTGCAGCTCTAAAGTCATTTCTTTTATGGTGTCCTCCATGATCGAAAATAAATCTGTACTCGTGAGGGAATGCTGCATTACTAAGCCAGATGATAGGTGTAGTGTCCCATATTGGATTTTTGCGATATATTTTTATAAGAGGCACTAGTAAAGATTTAATTGAATAGAGATAGTTCGAGAAAAGCCCTCTATCTAAGTCCCATGATCCATTGTTGATAAGTATAGTGCTCTTCCGTTGATCCTTTGCTTGGCTCTGAAAACGGGTGGAATTTTTAAGAGTGAAGATATAGTTTTTGATCAGAGATTTCCAAACCACAGGCAATCCAGGGCACCAATTGAAAGTAAAATGATCGAATCCCCAATCTTCCCACATTTGAAAAACAAAGTCATTTTTTATAAATGATCCAAAATAGGTCATTGTATAACGGAGATGGGAGTCCCCATAACAACCAATGTTTTTTAGTTTTTTGAAACAATTTCTCAGCGCTTTTGGATCCATCATCTCTGTAAGACACTTAGAATGTAACCCCCATCTTAAAACTCCATCTTTGAATATCCACCTCCCATATTTAGAAATAACTTTTGGCTGTCTGTCACACTGAACATTTTCTATCATGGCCATCTCAAATTGTTCATACGACTGCTGTTCCCTGTGGTGTAAATCGCAATTTTGAATTTGAGCAAGAATTAGGGAAACTGGTTGAATGGTTGGTACATCAAGAAATGCTCCATAAGACATGTACATCAATGTGACAGTTATAGTACTACAGGGTGGTACATACGGACAACACACATGATAAATCCCATTGAAATTATCCTTGACATGACACAAAAAACTATGGACACCCTGTACATGAATTCTGAAGCTGCTACCGCCATATGTTGGTTTGTTGAGGAATGTTTCAGATATCTTCATATAAACATTATGATGAAGTTTATCATGTGTCCACTCTATGCTATAAGCATATCTTGTTGGATAATACAAACATGGTCCAAAAAGGTCTTGTGACAGAAATCGTAAAGACTCGTTATTAAACTGTTGATGTATTTTTAATCCAGCAAGTTTATACATCTGTTTCACTTGTGACAGAATCAGTTCTTCAGAATGAACGGCACAAATATTTTGAAATTCCAATCCTATGTAGACTTGTTTGGTAATCGTATATTTTTTTCGTCTATTCAGTAGTTGCTTATAGTGTTCTTTTACTTCTATTTCCTCAGCCAATAGAGGGTTATCTCCAAATACCAGGAACCTAGATTTTTTCCCTTCACTCGAACTATTTGTATTGTTTATATGTAGTTTCAGGGATTCAGTAATTGTTATCATTTTGGTTTTTGTGTTGTTCTCTGGTTTAAGTTCATCCTTCAGTGTGTTAAGATGTACGACATGTTTTATTTCTTTCGTTTGCAGAAATGTTGTATTTTGTGACAAAATGTAGATACACGTTCCTACAGCCACAGAAATTAGGAACATTTTTTTTAGTTTTATTTTCCATAGTACCATGTCGCTGTATATATTTACCTTAAGGCACATGTTCAAGAAAACATTTTTGAAAACGTTGCTATACCTGCTCATGTTATTTTCTGGTAAAAAATAAAGTATGAATATAAAGTATGAATTAACTTCCTCATTTTTTTCTGGAAAGCATCCTTCTTGCATCTTAGTGAATTATCAACAAATTTTAGTCATAATCCAGTGTTATTGAGAAACCTTGTGAAAAGGCGGCCGTTCTGTATGTTTTTTCTTGAAATATCAGCATTTCCTGGAGTTCACTGATCTCTTACCAGGTTTGCTATAATGATACTTCCCTGAAAAAGCAAGGAAATACACACATGCCTTCATACTTTATTTTATACCAGAAAATACGTGTTCAGGTACAGCAATTTTTAGATACTTTATATAGCTGATGTTGTTCAGGTACAGCAATTTTTAGATACTTTATATAGCTGATGTTATATTCAGTGGTGCTATATATTTTATACTGTATATCCCTTATGCTTACTACATAAATGTAATTGAATGTGTTTACTTCATTTGAACTTTTTCACCTGCCATTCAACACTCACCTTATACTTTACAGTCAGTGAACATGAACTGAATGATAGCAATTGACCAACATTTTTTTGACCAAGAGTCTTTATACATTTTGTTATGCTTGCTACATAGATTTTCCAGTTAATATATGTAGTGTAAATGTAGGTCTCGTTAAGGTAAATTGATTCATGTTCTAATAATCCCTAACATCTAAATTTGATATCATAAAGCAATTGCTTTTGGGGTCATTTCAAGAATTAAATGTAGGTACCAGCACAAAAGCTTAAAGTGTATGGAAAATTCTGTACAAGTTGAAAAATTGTATTGGTTCTTTCATCTGGTCCCTACCCACCACAAAGGGTTGCACTCATTCATGCCCTTCATTTATGCAATAGTTCTGCACTTTTCAACCTCTATTACCATGTTGTACCAGGGTGTCTCCAAATTTGAAATTGATGATATTTTATATTTATGTAACCATATGCAAATGGTAAAACGCTTTGTAAACAGGTTTTAGGACAAATGGAACATCCAAAATAGTGAATTTGTGCTTGTGTTGTGCAGTAGACCTCATTCTTACACAGTCATTATACAGTGAACATGTCTCAACCATCAGAAAAACAGAGTGCTGACGTTCAAGATTGAACTAACAGGATATGAAACAATAAATTAAAGACAGAGCTATCTTCACATTGACTTGCCGAAAGTACTCGTAAAAGCAAGTTTGAGCGAAAAGAAACTTTTGTAAAATCATCAAACTCTTGAAAAGGCAATAGATGACTTTCTTATATCAATGTTAGCCAAGTGAACCATGGCCAAGTACATTGCAGCAATTGCAAGTCTTTGGAACAGTATACAGTTATCTTGAAGTCTTTTACATCAAGCAAATACATTGGATTTTGTAATTATATAATGTCTTTGAAGTCATATCTTTAATATACCATATGTAGGTAAGTAAATGACACATTTCTTATGATTAACAGTAGTATGAATTATGTTTTATTGAAATGGTACTTATAACATGTGCTTTTGAAAGATTTGCAAACAAACTTTACATCATGTGACCCTGAATACCTCACCTCATTGGTTGAAATTTGAATTAGGCCACTCCTCTTAATTAAAAAATTACCAATTTTCAAATAAGGATTTCTAAAAAGTAAAGCATAATTGCAATAATTGATTAATAGATTTTAAGGAGAATGTATTCATAAACGCCTGTGACAATTTTTATGGTGATCTGTTGGCTACCACTAACAGAAAATCAAAATTATTCCTCTTGATTTGAATTTTTCATATTCCTAATATTTTCAAATTGAGAATGACTCCATTTTTACTGGTCAAGCTGCTTTTATAGTGGAGGCTCTGTCTTTAATATAGAATCACATGGTATAGGTTTATTCACTAGGTTGTATTTGCGAAACATGCACAATTTGGCATATACATATCTAGTTAATATTATCTCCACAAAATTTATAATATTGATGGTGACAGAGCTTAAGTATTTGGGACATTTACACCCCCTCCTTCCCCCTAACTAAAAATAGAGTATTAAAGAGATGTTGAAAAGAGTATAATATATGTTGTATAGCTCCCTTAGAACTTCTTTAAAATCAGTAGAATTGAAATGGTCCCTGAGCATGTTTTAAACTGCAAAAACATAGAATGACCGTGGTTCAATCGAAAAGTAAAAAGAAATGATGTCTATTATAAATGTGTTTATGTATATGAAATTGAAATTATAATGTTTTTCATTGATTTAACTTCTTTTGAAATCTTGAAGAAAATTCAAGTGTTTGGATCATGTTCTGTTCAAAATTGATTAAATTTGGAAGAAGTGTTATATGACAGAAATGGCCATGAGTCTATATGTTCTTTAATATTTTCACATAGCTGTCAAGGTACACTTCAAATTAAGCATATCATTATAGTTTAATTCAGTTGATATGTTCCAGCATAAAATGCCAATGCTCTTTCAGCCTAGCCAAGTTGATATGTGAAATAAACTAATTTAGAAAAACATTTGAATTTTTGATGATTTAGAGTTGAAATATTTGAAGATCAGGTCAAGCTAGGTTCAAAAGCAGTCAATCTATCCAAAAAAGGAAAACCAGCTTACTTGAAATTTCTTTTTGTATTGAAAAGATCTACACTTAATGACTAAAAAGAATTCAGAATTCATGGTTTTAATTTTATATCCAATATTTGGCAGATTTTTGTCACGTACCTTTACCTTTCTATCTGCACATCCGCTCAGTTGTTAGCTACCATTCTTACAGGGGGTTGTTGTTGTGAACCCCACGCAAACATGAGTACATGCCTATGTAAATATATTTAGTATTGTGCGCTAGTTCAGTTATTGACAATACCACCACCTCTCTTGAATTTCCAAGTTCTCTATGTACAGACGAATCAATAAAACAATTTAATTCTACTAACTACTGTATAAGAATATAAGACTTTCAGAACAGCGAATCTTTGATCAGTTGAAGAATTTCCGTCTAACGATTTTTCTTTGTTATTAATGTAATACATGAGCTCTATCCTAGCTACATAAGTTTGCCAAAAATATTCTCCTCACAATTACCCTGTGCTTACAATTGCTTCATTGACTGTTTTAAAAAGTTTGTTTTATCGTCTTGGTTGCCAAGGAAAACAATGGTTTCTATGTACTTAACACTTTTATCACTTAGTAGATCTCAAATTTTCTTTACCTGAAAAATTGTTTTTTTACATAGGTTTTTCACACCTAAAAATTAAATGCAAAAAATGTAACTTGATTTTTATGTGTTTGATACGAGTACTAAGTAATTCTACGGAATATATTTTAGCAGAATGATAATCAAACTGACTTAAAGAATTTCAGTTTCTTATGACATAATATTTATTCAAAGTTTATCTTTGAATTTAACAATAGTTCACAATTCCTGTTCTTCATAATTCCTGTTATCTCTATTGTTATTCTAGGTCTGATAATGAATTAAATCCTATTGAAATTCTTTTGACCTGTCACCTCTTAAGATTTATATTATGTAAGATAACACAGTAAGGATGGTTCTCAAGAGCTATTGTTTAAAAACACAATCTTCATTTTTAAAGGATCATGTTGTGATAAATCTGCAAAAATCTTACATTTGATTTATATTCTCATGTATTTATTCACTAAATGTATATATTAATAATTTTATATTGCTCTAGTTACCACTGGACAATATCCCAAGCATTTTAGCAAGTAGACATTGCACCCACGTGAGATTTAAATAGCGCAAAGTGCAAGCAAATATGGTTAAAAAATTAACAGAAAAACTATCATTCAGAGTGGGGAGGTCTGTGACATTTCAACAACTTTGCATTTGATCCGAACTGGCTTACAAAAAGTTCCAGAAGAAGATGATTGATTTAGCCTTTGTATGGGGTGGTTCATTATGTCCAAGATTAAGATTAACACAATGGGGGGTTAGCGTTTTATAGTTGATCAGGAACGCCATATGTGCAAAGTATTGTTCTGAATTTTCGAATTTGGTGTTGGATTACGGTACTCATACCTTAAGCAGTTTTAAGTTAAAAATTAAACCATGCAAAATCCTTGATATTTCTTAGTACAATGTCATGCTCTGGTTCCATCCCAAAATTAGATTTTCTGGACTTTGAAATAGCCTCATAGTTCTCATGAGAATATTGAACTGCAATGGATCTAAAAATCACTCTTCTCGTAATTTTGTTAATAATGCCTGCGTTATTACATGTATATTTCCAGGTCCTCTTGCAAGTTATGATCATCCTCACTGGCAACTACAATTTCTTCAACCTGTTGACCATAGCCCTGTGTATCTCACTATTGGATGACAAACATATAGGATACTCTTACTACAGTAAGTTAAAGGCTCATCTTCAACTCCACATACTTACTCATAAATATGTTGAATGATCTAGTAATAAAACCTCTATATGTTGCATGTTTTCCCCTTGCATTCAAAAATACATTTTTACCATTGAAACCATATTTACTTATCAGACATGTTTTTTGACGTTCTATTATTTTGTGATTTATAGGTGGAAAACAAGGTCTTGATGCTGTCCCTATACTTGGTGCTATTACTCGTAGATTGCGCCTCATTTTGGGCCTTGCCGCTATTGGTGGTCTCGCGTATGGCACCCAGTATTACTTCTCACTGGAATTAAAAAATGATTACACACTCGGTTCTAAAGTCAGTAAGTATTTTGGTATTTAGAGTACCTGCATTTTCTTAGATTTTAGGTAAAGAGTATTTAATGTTCTGGATTAAAGTTGTTTAATTAAACAGTTGGTCGGTTTTGATGAATCAATGTGACACCATAGTTAGATAACCATATCCACTTTATCCCATTATCTCCTAAGGGAGAAACCTCTCAGCCAGATGACACCCCGATTTCATTTACCTTGTCTCCCCTATCATATGACCTTGAGTGAAATGTGTTTCATGTATAAAAGGTCAAGGTCAAACTGAGCTGGTAACTTTTTAAGATAATTTAAAATACGGTGTTATGACAAACATCCTTTGTTTCTCAGCCAACCCATATTTTTAGAATAATTGACATTTCAAGCCATTCTTGGCTGTCCAATATGACATTAAATGAGTCATGATTTCAACGTTTCAGATTTCACGAAGGGAGAGTTCAGAACATTTATGGAGAAGAGTGTTCCCATTGCAATGTACATGGGAGCTGTTTCATTAGCCTGGGAGATACTATGTGCCTTGGGAAGGTAAAACATGCAATTATCATTAACCTTTTGAATCCCAGGCTCTAAAATTGGCATGAAACCAGAGAATTTTTCATTTTTTGCCACCTTTTGACAATTTATTACATACCTATACTACTTTAGATGCTCAGCTTATTAAAATTGGACGGCAGAGATCATTTCTACACGTTTTAAAACAATTTTTGTGTAAATTGGATGAAAATTGTTCAAATGAGAGGAATTTTTGTGAAAAATTTTGTGACGGATTTTCTCGTCCCTCTGGGCACCAGTCTTATTTCATTTGTGACGGATATATCCGTCACTCTGGGTATTCAAGAGGTTAATATAAATTGTACTAAAGCCTCAGTGACATTTGTTCTACAGTAGGCATACAGATGTCGTAGCTTCACAAAATCAATATAGAAAATCTATATCGTACTGCTTTTACCGGCCCTATATTTTATGCTGCATATTCCTCTCGATTTTGGGAACCTACGGACACCTTAAGGTTGCCGTAGATCAGATAATACTAAGGCTTGATTAGGTCAGTGCCCTTCAGAATACTGCATGATAATAATTCTGTGCAGATAATTTCAGAATTCATAGGAAATTAATGGGATAACTGGTCTGTACTTCAGTTCTTGATGCGTCCTGATTTGTGAATTCCTTATAAATACGTATTTAGTGTGTAACAGTTAATAATTGGCAAGATGCAGGCTTAGAATCAAATAAACCCAAAGATATCATAACATCATAGTAGAAAAACCACATGCAAGAAAAAGTATCTGATTTATTTTTTGATATTTTAGTGTTTTTTTTAAACATTGATATCACTAATTGTAGGAGTGTAACACAGGAAAAGGGGCTGTTCAACAGGTTATGGGCAACAAGTGGGACTGTTGTGTTCAGCTGTGCTGCAGCAGCAATGTTTTCAATAAGTTTGGTAAGTTGAGCAGATCTGTGATTTTAAAATATTTTAGTGTGCTTAGTATATGCTATAGTTAAACTTTAGGCAGTATCATTTTCATTTATTCTAACCATGCCTTTAAATTGGGTAACTAGTATCATGTCACCACCAAGAAGTTGACATATTGTTAAAGCCACTGTTTTTTGTGAATAGTCATGTTCAATGTCAGTATTTTGTGTCTGTAACAAATTGTCACACTTTTGTAGGCATTTGCTTTAACTTACCAGATAGTGACATGTTAATGTACCATTTTGATGCTTTGCCCATTATTTTCCAGTTTATATAATAACTATTTTATTAATAATATTGATTATAGGTGACTCTGACTGTACTGGACAAGGGCAGTGAGGAAATGCTGCCCCCTGTTGTCTATCAGCTGCATGAGAGAACGCATAAATTTCACTTAACCAGTTCCTATGGTCTGTTTCGAAGGTAATTTTTTTGAAACGTGACAATAATTGTTCATAGTGAATGTTAGTTGTAGGTTGTATGAGTAGTAGTTGTAACACAAATAAATAATATCTATTCACATATTAGTTTCCTGAGGGGAAAGTAGATTGAGTGGCCATTATATGAAATTACTAAACTATAAAAACTGTTTTATTTTAATTGTTTATAAACATAGGGAATGAATCAATGACAATCTAAATTATTCATCTGAATTTTAAAATTTCAAATCTTTTTTCATCATCCATGTTCCAGTATATAAATATTTCTTGAATCCTGACCAAGTACTCTTTTTCTCTGAAAATGATTAGATGCCCCCCCCCCCATCAAGAGCTAACGGCCAATCCATTATATTTTGCCTAGATTTATGATGAAAGGAATAAGAAACTTAATTTTTCATTGCTTTCTAGGATGACTGGTGTAGGTGGCAGACCTGAAGTGATCCTAGAAGGAAGCAATAGTGAGGAGGGACCCTGGAGGGAGTATTACTTCCATTATAAACCTGGCAATGTCTACTCAAGGCCTCCAATAGTTGGTAAGAAAATACTAAGTGTAGCTATTCAGAGTGGAATATAAGATGCCCACGACTATTTAGGTTTTAACAAAATAATGGTCAAAATTACATAGAGTTTACCATATTCTCGCTAAAAAGCACACTGTGCCCTCCAGAAATTAACATGGGAAATTATGAAATATTGAAAAATTGTAGACTTCAAATGCAAATATCGCTAATAACAGGTAGGAATCAATACATAGCTGTTTCAACTTTTGCTTGAAAAATAGTAAAATGTTATTTGCTGATAAGTCAATTTTCATTTTTTCTAAGACCTCTGAAATATTTCACTAATTGTTTCGATGTAACATCTATACTCCAGCTCCTCATCAACCCCGTCTTGACTGGCAGATGTGGTTTGCAGCTCTAGGAACCACACAACACAACCCATGGTTTGTGAATCTCGTATACAGATTGCTCACTAATCAGCGTGAAGGTAGGTTAACTAGTTGTTATTATTTCTAGCTACTATATGGATGATAAAATGTGCTACTAGAGTCCACAGACAAGTAAAGTATCTGTAAATTCATTCAGATTAACAGTTTCAATTTTGGTACAATTAAAATCTGATTATTTCATTTCAGTGGTATCCCTACTGCAGACCAATCCATTTCCACACCATCCACCAAAGTTCATAAAGGCACATCTCCACCACTATCACTTTACCAGCACAGATGAGGACAGCCCAAGGTATTTATCCATTACATGTATACTTAAACCTGTTAAGTGGAATGTCTCTGTGAGTGGAACACGTGTGAAAGAGGAACACTTTTCATAGTCCCATGACAACTGCTTTAAGACACAATAATGTTATATAAACCTTTGTAGGTGGAACACCTCCCAAGTGAAATGCTTTAAAGAGTTACAAATGTTCCACTTACACAGGTGTTACTGTATTTGATATCGAGTCGTGAATGACTTTGATACAAAAGTCCCAATGGTTCAAAATATGTAAGGCATCGTGCATTAGAGAAAAGTTTCATTTTGTGTTAACTTTTATACATAGGTTGGCCAATGTCTGCATATTTAAGAAGATACAGTTACTTGTAATAGACATAGAGTGGGTAATATTATCTCAGTCAAACTTCGTAATTTGTTTTTCAGGTACTCAAGAACTGCCTGGTGGAAAAGGGAGAAACAAGATGAATACCTTCCAATTGTATCAAAGACCAACCCATTACTGCAGCAACATTTAAAGCATTTCAAAATTATTGAGGTATGCTTAATGACAAATCATACTGGACCTGTAGTTTTGATACTAAAGCCTCAGTCACATTTGCTCTATGACAGGTGTACAGCGCCCGTAGCTTCACACAATAGATATAGAAAATCTACATAGCTCTGCTTATCCCCCTATATTTTATGCTGCATATTTCTCTCGATTTTGGGAAGCTACGACTGCCATATGGTTGCCGTAGATCAAATGTGACTGAGGCTTTAACAAATAGATATAGAAAATCTACATCGTACTGCTTATCCCTCTACATTTTATGCTGCATATTTCTCTTGATTTTGGGAAGCTACGACTTCCATGTGGTTGCCATAGATCAAATGTGACTGCGGTATTAGTTACCTTGTGTGTTGTTTGAATTTTTGAAATTAACTTGCTGAAGTTGAAGAGACATTCATTGATGTTATATTGTTGTTTATTTTATTCTGCCTGTAAAATGAAAAGTAAGAGAATAATTTATATTATATATGGTTTTGTTTCTTTTGTTGCAGAATAAATCAAAGGAACAGTCTTCCACATCATTGCTCACAAAAATACTAAAATATCTACGCAACTTGACGGCAAACATAAACCATGCAATGTTTGTCTGGACAGTCATCATGACAGGACTAGTGCTGGCATTTTTCGACCTCTACATCTAGACCAGGAAATCACTGTTGCATAATTTGAAATGGATACCCCTGAGTGATGTTTTGCGCTTGGAATTTATGGATGGATACCATATCTCAACATAGAATTTAGATATTCCTGCTATGATATTTTTTGTATGCATTCCTATGCTTAAAATATGCTTGCATTTAACATGAATTCCACTCAGTGTCAATGACAGCATTATGTCGATCAAATAGTTAAAGTGTGCGCCTGACCCGGCTACGTATAGCACAGAGTTTATACTGGCGGATTAGACTAGTTCATTTTTTATATGTGTGTGAAAGCTTTCTCTTATTTGCGTTTTTTTCGTTTAGTACGGTTTTGTTATAATTGCCGAGGTCATATAACCGGGATAAAACAATGATTATCGTTGACTGCCCACACACAAAACATACGTTGAGTGAACAGTGTAATTACAAACAACAGGCTTTAGAATACAAAGCGTAGTGTGATAATAAGCTGCACACTACCACTGCTGCATGTACATATTACTAATTTACTAGGGCTCCCAAAGAGTGGATAGGGAGGTTGTGTTTGTCACTTTTAAATTTTACATTTCAAAATTGTCATTTTACATGTCATAATTTGTTGGTTTCATTCGTTTAGCCAATCAAAACATTGTAAAACAATAAATTGTCTGTTACGTACAATCAATTTTGTTCAGTTTTGATTAGTTGTCAGAATAAAGTTACGTTCATCTGAATCCATGTATCAAAACAAAAATCCTATTTTCACTTCAAAATACTTCAGTGAGATGAAGGCAAGGAATTGACACATGCAATAACTTATTGTCGTATTCGTTATTTTATCTTCTCGATAGTAGCATTTAGTCGCACATTTGATGCCAGGTCACCTTGTCGCGTACCTCTTGGGGAACCCCACATTTATGTGTGTACTCATGGAAGTAAATTCCCCGGTGTAGCCGAGAGCCACAAACTTTTCAACAGGTTCGAAATGACCAATTTCTCTCATATATACTCTAAATATTTTATTATTTAGCACCTACAAAGTATTGCTAATAACCATATGTAATTTCAATAAGGAAACTTATCTGGCTACATATAAATTCAATATCAACACTAGCTGTTCTCTCAACACGTCCTGGCTTACCTTGTGGTGACAAACCCTGGATTTTCGCTATTTATAGTTTATCAACACCTGGACGCATGCGCATTTTATACGTTATCGGGCACTTTAAGGTGGGCCTTGTAGGACAACTTTTGATTGCTTTGTGCATGATTTCAATCTGCAAGGCAACATGCACACAAGTGGTGACATATTGTTATAGTTTACAACTTTTTGTGACGGCAGTCAGTGCTGGGAATCTGTAACAAATGGCAGGTGATGACACTGCCTTGTTCATGATTTTTCCATAGCTACAGCCAAAATTGTTGACAATTTACAATTGAATATTACAAAATTTAAAAATGAAATATTTTTTGTATAACAGGCCTCGCTCAGATTATAGTGGCCTACCTTATAGCAATATTAGCTGTTGGAGGGAAAAAGAAATGACTGTTCCAAGTACATCAGTTCCCTGAATGTTAGATCTTTATATATTATAAATATGGACAGTATAGAGGTCTTGTATTTAACATGAATAAAGGAACAGATAAAAACAGTGTTGTAGACCCAACTATGTAATGAGATTTACTACTAGTGCATGATTTTGTTAGAATCTGTACAAATCCCATAATAACTATTTTCATTCGTTAACATTGATTTTTAACAAACTAACTTGAAATCCATGTTCACTTTATATGGAGATGGGGTTTAGTCAGAATTAATGAACTTTATGATTTTGTGTGCATTGGATAATAATTTCCTTCTGAGTCTACTGTATGCCAAGTTACAGCAGTACTTACCTTATACTATAATAATGATAATACATTGAAATACTGGCATGGTGTATTGCGTTACAATATTTGTATGCTGTCATTTGTGAATTAAAACAGAAGTGCCTCCGTATAATTTATTGTATCTCTAGAGAATAAAGAAGAGCCTTAAGTTACTCATTTCATTCAGAAATGTTAAAGTCCTCACCATTTAGTTCTAAATTCACACCAATTGAATGTTATGTCACACCATTTGGGATTAATTTAGGCATAAGGCATAATTTCAAAATTCATTTTAATTTTCAATAATGGGCAACAACCATGACATGGTTTTTTACATGGTTGTTTATAAACCATGTTAAATGGTTGTTCAATGGTAAGATTTTTTAAGTAAAAATGTAGATAACTCATTAGTCAGTTTGTACATGTATATTGTTACATTTTATATGATTGTATTCATATTCGATGCATTTATCCTACCGTAATTTCAGTCCTGGTTTTGGTGTACTTAATTTGAACTGTATTGATGGAATGTTTATTTATAATACATGTACATGTACTATGTATGTACTCGTATGCCTACATTTTACATTTAATGCTTGTTTTATGAGTCTTGAAGACGAAGGTGCATGTTCAAATCTTGATATAAAATTGCATGGCATTTTTGTTAAAAATTCAAGATTTTATATTTCCTTTTTGATTTTTTGTATGTTTTTTGCTGATTTTGCAATTCAATCCCCAAAACAAATTGTCATCATTAGTATAGAGAATGTTACATTTAATTTAAATTTCATGATTTAATTTATAAATCAGTTTTTTTGGAAAGTAGTATGAATTAAATGAATACATTGATGCCAAATTATAATGACTTTGTATGTATAAAATCACTATTGAGATTGACTTTGATTTGTCATTTGAATGTTAAAACATTGACATTGTATGTATTTTATTAATTCAAATGCCAATATCGTTTCTGCCAATATATATATCAAATCATGTCACTTTCAATTGAATACTGCAATTGAATTTACTATTTTTTAAAACTAACTATAACTTATTTTGGGCTGGTGTATTTTGTCATAACATAGATATTAAATGTTGAAAATATTTTTAGATTTTAAATACATGTACTGTATGTTATAAAAATGCATGCATAATGTAATTATGCAATAATAAATAAATCGTAACATTTTGATGTACAAAAAAATATTTATTTTGTTCTTATATTCTGTTGTATGATAATCTTCTGAAAATTGACAACATTTTTGTTTTATCTGAGATCTGTACCTCTTTATTCTCATATTTCATTAAATTCAACAAAATTCAGACTAGTTCCATTGTCAAAAAACATCAATAGCAGCCCACACACATGAACTTTTAAAAATTGCTAGTCATAAAATGTCTATCTCTATATCTTTAGCACGAAACCCCCACATTGCAATGGTAAAAGAAAGTATCATAAAATAGGAACATTTGGACGTTTTAAATGACATTGACATGTAATGTTTACCAAAATTGTAACATTTTTAGAAGTTCAGCTTTAAACCTAGAACAAAAATTTAACTTATTTCTATTTCTCCACGATTGTATTGATCTTGACTGCACAAGCTTTAGCTAGCTTCTAGCTTTAGAAGACCAACTTGTACTCTAAGGCTCAAATATCAATTGTTACTCAATCAACGCACGGTTTTAATAAATAGAGTAAGATGATACAAAAGTATATCAATTTTTATCTGGCTATATCGGATTATAAAACAGAGACTCGGTTTTTCTTAAAGGAAATATTTTCCCGGGAAAATAAAGACGTCTGATTGGTTCATAGGAATGATTGACAGGTCTATGTATATGTGGTGACTCATGAAAGGATCTTCAAATTGGAGATAACATAACAATATTTTGGCTGCGGTTCCATGTAAGCAGTCACGAGCTAAAATGTCACGGCACTTAGCCATTTCTAACCATGCAACATGTATACTGTACATTGCTACACATAGCTACACTGTGTCAAGCACCTATACATAGGCTGGAAAGCGGGGTAAACGGGGTACATATCCTTACCTGTATACTCTACATTGCTACACTGTGAGGTAGCTTCTACACATACCATGGAGGTGGGGTAAGCGGGGTAAGCGGGGTAAGCGGGGTGCATACCTTTACATGTATACTCTACATTGTTACACATTGCTACACTGTGTCAAGCACCTATACATAGGCTGGAAAGCGGGGTAAGCGGGGTACATACCTTTACATGTATTCTCTACATTGCTACACTGTGAGGCAGCTTCTACACATACCATGGAGGTGGGGTAAGCGGGGTAAGCAGGGTGCATACCTTTACATGTATACTCTACATTGCTAAACTGTGTCAAGCACCTATACATAGGCTGGAAAGCGGGGTAAGCGGGGTACATACCTTTACATGTATTCTCTACATTGCTACACTGTGAGGTAGCTTCTACACATACCATGGAGGTGGGGTAAGCGGGGTGCATACCTTTACATGTATACTCTACATTGCTACACTGTGTCCAGCACCTATACATAGGCTGGAAAGCGGGGTAAGCGGGGTACATACCTTTACATGTATTCTCTACATTGCTACACTGTGAGGCAGCTTCTACACATACCATGGAGGTGGGGTAAGCGGGGTAAGCGGGGTGCATACCTTTACATGTATACTCTACATTGCTACACATTGCTACACTGTGTCCAGCACCTATACATAGGCTGGAAAGCGGGGTAAGCGGGGTACATACCTTTACATGTATTCTCTACATTGCTACACTGTGAGGCAGCTTCTACACATACCATGGAGGTGGGGTAAGCGGGGTAAGCGGGGTGCATACCTTTACATGTATACTCTACATTGCTACACATTGCTACACTGTGTCAAGCACCTATACATAGGCTGGAAAGCGGGGTAAGCGGGGTACATACCTTTACATGTATTCTCTACATTGCTACACTGTGAGGCAGCTTCTACACATACCATGGGAGTGGGGTAAGCGGGGTAAGCGGGGTAAGCGGGGTGCATACCTTTACATGTATACTCTACATTGCTACACATTGCTACACTGTGTCAAGCACCTATACATAGGCTGGAAAGCGGGGTAAACGGGGTACATACCTTTACATGTATTCTCTACATTGCTACACTGTGAGGCAGCTTCTACACATGCCATGGAGGTGGGTTAAGCGGGGTAAGCGGGGTGCATACCTTTACATGTATTCTCTACATTGCTACACTGTGAGACAGCTCCTACACATACCATGGGGTAAGCGGGTTTAAGCGGGGTACATACCCTTACATGTATTCTCTACATTGCTACACTGTGAGACAGCTCCTACACATACCATGGGGTAAGCGGGGTAAGCGGGGTACATACCTTTACATGTTACATAGAATATATTAGTTACTACATTGTTTCAAGCTCCTACATGTATACATAAACACTGTACATTGCTACACTGTGTCAGGCACTTATACATAACCTGGGAAGCGGGGTTAACAGGGTACATATCCTTATGTATATCTTATCCATATTAAATGATTTGTTTACACAATGTTGCATTAGTTGTGTGGATGTACACTAAAAAACTTACATTTTTTGGTTTTGGTTTGACTCCCAAATAATATATAAAGTATGGACATTTATTTAATTGGTTTTTAATAAATAATCCTGTCTGGTTGTGATATAGTCATTTCACAGATACATCTACATAAAGCCTTGCCTGTGTATTTGTAATAATAACTAGTAAAAAACATTTCTTGAATATTGGGTACTTACTAAAGTGAATGAAGCGTATGTGTAACTATGTTTATTAAGAATGGTAATAAATTTAATTGTTATGAAGAATGTTGATATTATTCTTATAAAATGCACCTTTTACCAATGTATTCCTAGTAACCTTGCGTTGTGCGCCATGCGTTAACATTTCATTGATTAAAAGTGCAGTTCATTTCCATTTTTTATTTTTACCAGAATGACGTTAAAAACTGACACATCTTGAATATTATTTATTAAATTTTGTTGGTGAGGACGTATTTATTGTTATGTTCATAATGGGAGCCAGGACTCGTATAGATGGCAGTTAAATACTAGGTTGTTCTCTACAACTAGCCCATTGGTCATTTGGTTTATGTGTAAATATTGCTGTTTTGAAACTTCAAATTCTCTGCATATATCAAATAAATATCATATTTTCCTTCATCATTATTTTAATTTACAAACATGTTTTAAGATTCACAATTAGAAGTTTTGGATATTTTCAATAAAACTTATCTGTGTCAATATATATCTATTTAGATGATCTTGAATATGTGATTCACCCTGCTCAAGTAACAATGCAATTTAATAATATTTGCGATCGCATGATGAAAACAATTTCCATCTCCCTGAACACGTATACGTTCAAACCCAAAGGCTTTTATATTATTTGATAGCCTGTTTTCATCATGGTTTCTTGAATTAGCAGATCTTGACAATTTCAAAAATTCTGTATCTATCAAGGGTAATGATTCAATGTCAAAAACTTCAACCAAATCTCCGAATTTTTTTATTTGTTTCGCCAATGAATGAAAATGTGTTGCCCTTTGTAATAATTCTTGAAGGTTAATGCTACTGTAATCGTGCTCTTGATGTAAATCTTTTTCCGAAGAATAATTATTTCCCGACGATACATTAAAAAATATTCCTGTTTTTGATCGACATGTTTGAGACGGACCCTAATTTCAATTTGAAAATTCGCCAATTTCCCTTGGAGTTTACTTAAATGCCTTGGGTAACAAATGTACAATTGTATACAGATATATACTATATGTCTATTTGAAAAAACATTTTAGAATTTTTTTCACTTTTTAACAAAATCTATTTCACACTTAAGTGGCTTTGAGTGTGAAGTGTATGGGAGATATGTAAATACATGTGAAGTATGTACCCCGATTACCCCGCCAGCCACGGTACGTATAGTAGGATGAAGTGTATGGTAGATGGGTAAATACATGTGAGAGTATCTACCCCGTTTACCCCACCAACCACGGTACGTAATATAGTAGGATGAAGTGTATAGGAGATATGTAAATACATGTGAAGTATGTACCCCGTTTACCCCGCCAGCCACGGTACGTATAGTAGGATGAAGTGTATGGGAGATGGGTAAATACATGTGAGAGTATCTACCCCGTTTACCCCACCAACCACGGTACCTAATATAGTAGGATGAAGTGTATAGGAGATATGTAAATACATGTGAGAGTATCTACCCCGTTTACCCCACCAACCACGGTACGTAATATAGTAGGATGAAGTGTATAGGAGATATGTAAATACATGTGAAGTATGTACCCCGTTTACCCCGCCAGCCACGGTACGTATAGTAGGATGAAGTGTATAGGAGATATGTAAATACATGTGAAGTATGTACCCCGTTTACCCCGCCAGCCACGGTACGTATAGTAGGATGAAGTGTATAGGAGATATGTAAATACATGTGAAGTATGTACCCCGTTTACCCCGCCAGCCACGGTACGTATAGTAGGATGAAGTGTATAGGAGATATGTAAATACATGTCAGAGTATCTACCCCGTTTACCCCGCCAACCACGGTACTTACATGACTTATAGTAGGATGAAGTGTATAGGAGATATGTAAATACATGTGAAGTACATGTATGTACCCCGTTTACCCCGCCAGCCACGATACGTATAGTAGGATGAAGTGTATAGGAGATATGTAAATACATGTCAGAGTATCTACCCCGTTTACCCCGCCAACCACGGTACGTAATATAGTAGGATGAAGTGTATAGGAGATATGTAAATGCATGAGTATGTACCCCCGTTTCCCCGTACCCCCGTTTACCCCACCAATCTGTGCGAAGATGTGAAACAGGGGAATTAGGGTGAATTAGTAAGTACTACGTGCATGTGTAGAGGAGAATACACAGGCAAAACGGATGTGGGCGAGATTCGCGCATGTAAGGGAGTTAGTACTACGTATACGTGCGCACGTGTGGAGGAGATTTCACAGGCATAACTGATGTGGACGAGATTTGTTGAATTTTCGTGACTGCTTGCATCGGTCACGATGTGTATAGGTACCTGACACATGTTGGACATTGAGCTTAGAGACAAATGGTGTGTCATAGTGTTCGTGGAATTACACAAGAGGAAACTACATATGAATTGATGTGGCTTGCATGTGAAATGTAGAAATAAAGTTTGAGTATATGTAATGAGAATTCCCAAATTTGTAGTGGACACAAGGAGAATTTCCATGGGTGTCCTAAATGGGAAAATGCTCTAAGTGTCGTGACTGCTTACATAGAACCTCTACCAATATTTTTGCAAAGTTTGTGCAATCTTCCTTTTTTCATTGTGTATGGTGTAATTTAAACATAACAACAGTGTAGATACTTATTAAAAAGAAACGGTAGGTGGAATTGTCATTTTAACAATGGATGACAGTTGATTTATAATTTCTTAGCTTCAAGAACACCTGATAAAAGTAACTCTGTGTGGGATTGATTTTTCAAAAATCAACCCACATTTATGCGGGTTTCTCAGCACAGAAACAACAGGTCAGCTGATACTTTCAATAATAAGTCAGGGATACAGAGTTTCAGTATTTCTGTTTTAGTTTCATTTCATGCGTGCCCATGAACTAGAATTCAACCTCCACCCACTCGCTATGTTCCTTTTCCTATGGTAGTGAGGGGGGGGTGAACTCTTGAACTCCTGGGCTTGTGGTCTCGCGAGTCTGTAGCAGATGAATAATTAGCCGATATGAGACTGAAATCATCGGATTATATAAAAATGGTCTGTAACAAATACCCAGAGCTTATTTGTAGCCTATCGTTGATTTTACTTTTTTCAGTGTCCATGGCTTCTGGAGGAGAAAACACAAGGTATTTTATTACCAAAAGTGTAAATTTTGAGGGATTAAAGACATGTACAAAAACAGGAATCTGGGCATGTTCTGATAGAACTCAACCACCTCAACCCAAAGATGTCCTTACTTCCGCCTATCACCAAGGCAACATCATCCTAATATTTAGTGTAAACAACCAACATGGTTGGCATGGATATGCTAAAATGACATCACCTCCTGGATCTGTAGACAACCAGGAAAATATAGCGGAAAATTTAACAAGAGAATGCGATCTGACTGTACCAGAAACCTCCAATACAAAATGTTCATCTAATGTACATGTACAATTGACTAAGTGGCATAGATTTACAGTCAAATGGATCACTGTTTTCTTTCCAACTTTTGGAGAACAATGTTTGCCATTCTCAAAAACTGCTCATTTACAAACTGATCCTGGAGTTGACTCACCTGTTAACAAGGCCAGAAACATTCAGGAAATTTCACAAAATACAGGAGTTGAACTATGCACATTAATAGATAACCATATGAAGACATTAACTGAAAAACAAGCAAAGAAAGCTGAACTTGTGCTCGCTAAAGCACCTCCAGCATTTTATGATGTTGACAAGCCTGAAAATATAGAAGCTGTTTGGGAAGGTTTGGTGAAAAAGGTTTCTCATATGGGAGAGGTGCTACTTGCTTGTGCATTTGGCAGTCAAAGGTAAGTACATGTCAACATTCATCATTTTCTATATAATAAGTCTTGCAGATACATTATTAAGATAGGGAAAATAACTAGTACATACATGTACTGTCCTATATTGTACTGTACAAATGTTTTGATAAAAAAAAATTTAGCACAGGAAAATCATATACAATGTCAGGCCCGTAGCCTAGACTATATCCTATTTAGTCTGAATTATATTCAGACTATAAGGCACCTATGTTAAAGTTTGGTAATTCCAAATATTTGTTTACATAGGGAGTGCTATTCAAAATGGCCGATTGGGTAAAATTAATTTGCACATTTGTTACTTCAACTAGCTTTATTTCCACTAGACAATATGCTGTGTTACTTTTTATTGCATTTAATTGTACCTTACTATTTAATTGAAATTTTGTAATGTTTATTTTATTGAAAAGATGTTTCCTCCAATTGATAATTTTGTGCAAAAAATTTCACTGCAATTTCCACAGGAAAGTAGTACATCATAACAGACTGACTTCTAGTCAGTCTGTTGGATACATACTAGCCCGTAGCCAGGATTTGCCAAGGGGGGGTTCAATTTTCAATAATTTCCAGGGGGGGTTCACATTTGACAATTTTGGCCCAAATATGGCTAAAATCACTTGAGAAGTGCTCAAAATGGTGAAAAACTGCATGATTTTGAAAGAATTTTTGGCCAGGGGGGGGTTCGCCCGAAGTCTGCGAACCCCCCCTGGCTACGGGCCTGAATGTTCTTGATTAAGTATGCTTGCTTGTTATTGAATAGAGCTCAAAAGTAGTCTTTAAGTGGTTCAAATCAGCAAACAATCAAAGTGAGTATAGCATTACAATAGTCTGCTTTTTTCAAGGGACCTCTTATTCTTTAAAGGGGTTAACATTTCTGAAATTACTGAAATTTTAACAAACCATTGCTCTCCAGATATAACCTACATACTGAAGACAGTGATATGGATATGTTTGTAGTTTATGCTGCACCTGCAGTTACCGTCTTAGGCTTCAACCCCCCTCAGCAAACAATCAAAGTGAGTATAGCATTACAATAGTCTGCTTTTTTCAAGGGACCTCTTATTCTTTAAAGGGGCTAACATTTCTGAAATTCCTGAAATTTTACCAAACCATTGCTCAATTTTGTCAAAAAGATTGTCTTTGTCTCACAAGTTGTTAATCTTGACCCCCCCCCCAAAAAAAAAACAAGTTATTATCCAAGCTTCTGGTTTGGGATAAAGTACATTTGTATTGAAATCAGCTAACCACATAATACCCTACAGTGTGGCCCAATGGTCAAGATTTTTTGCACCACTTATGAATTAAATAAATGACATTGTAGACATGATTTAATTTCCTATTGCATTTCAGAATAAAGAAACAGAGAACAGCGATTACACAATACATGAGGTTCATCATTACCTGGAGTTGATTCTCAATGGTGATCCTCGTTGCATTGAGACACTATTTCTTCACCCCAGTGCCATCTATTACTGCAGTGATAGGTGGAGAGATTTTTGCAAGCTCAAGAATAATTTTTTGAAAAAGTAGGTTGAGTGACAAGTATTATTGTTTATCTGAACACATTTTTGGGGTTCCATATATAATAGGCTTAAGTGTTAAAAAACTTGAAATGTGAACACCTGTCAATACAAACTCTTTTGATTGGTACCAGTGGTGTTCAAATTAGACAGGTTTTACTGTTCATGTAATTCAATTCAATTTGATTATACATGCAATGCATGTACCAGGTATGTACAGGGTGTCAAAAAATATGTTCCCCCCTCAAGTTTTAACATCCACAAAATGTTGCATAACTTTTTTGTCTGACTGATATCTGAATTGTTCTTTAGCACCTTAAAACTAGGCTCCATGCAGCAACTCTACAAGAAGTTTCAAATGACTAGCTCAACGTTGTGCACTTTTATGCACAAAAGTTTTTACTTTTGAAATCAAGGGGGGAGAACATATTTATTTGACACCCTGTAGAATTAAGTAGATTTGAACGTTTTTTGCAAAGAAGAACTTGCTTATCGGGAAATCATCCATTAATATTTTTCTGTTTTGTATTACTATAGAAACTGCATGGAGAAATATCTCAGAGATGCATGTGGGGCAAAGGGGACCAGATACATAGAGAAAGTCAAGAGCCAGAATGTTGATCCATCATCTGATATTGCCACCCCTAAACTATGCAAAATGTTCTACATTGTTACAAGGCTGCTTCAAAATGCTAGGTGATTCTAATTTCTTTATCTTGATTATGTTTCACAAATAAGGCACACCTTACACATTAGTTATTTTTGATATTGATAATATTCATGACTTTTACATTGATTTTGAAGGTTCATTCATATCTCATAAAACTTCTCTGATGAAACCTCTCTTTAAGGAACACCTCTCTCTATAGGTGACATTTTTCATAAGAATCCCAAAGTTCCATGTTAATTTGATCCTCTCTGCCAGGAACATCTGTCTACAAGAAACAACAAATAGTGGAAGGGTACTCCACACACAAAACCTTAACTGCAATTATATTCAAACAGGTAATGTACCAATGAACGTTTCTTTGTAATGATATGATTTCTTTTATCATCACTTCTAAGGGAGGTGGCATTTGGAGAAGAACTGCAGGTATATCGCCATGACAACTCACCAAATCACAAGTTGCTAATGGCAACCAGGAGAGGGGAGAAAACTTATTCTGAAATGCAGGCTGAAGTTGACAGGTAACAAATTAACATCAAACATACATATTATAAATGCTGAACATTGACCCCCAACACCTCTTTTTATATTGTCATTTGCACTGTACATATATAAAGTACAGTGCAAATGACAATATAAAAAGAGGTGTTGGGGGTCAATGTTCAGCATTTATAATATCAAATTTTGACAGAATGTAATGGAGATATAACATTGAAACGTTGCAGACTTTATAGCGAATAGAATCAAGATACAGATTTATTTTCTTTATTGGGATTTCTTTTGTTCCCCGCTTAGAAAACAGTCGTTAAACAAATATGGGGGTTAACATGTAAACCTATGAGGTCCTTAACTTTTTTTGAGGAGTATATGTGAAAATGCGAAACATGCAATATAATTATAGAAAATGAAGAACACTATCTCCTTCACTGTACGAAATATAATAAACAAAGAAGTATAATGTTGTCTAAAATGAAAATGCCAGTACAAGAAAATCTATTTATTTATTTGATGTCTGGTAAAGATCAAAACTGTATAAATGTAGCAAAATATATATTTACATCCAGTACCAATAGCTATATCTCTAGTGCACCAATGCATCATCATCATTAATAGGAATACTAATAGTTAAGTAGTTTTTTTACATGTAAATATCTTCTTTTTCCGTCCTTTATAATTGCTATAATTTTTTGTTTGTACATGTACTTGACCCCAAGGGGTGTGAATGTACTTGAAGAATAAAAAAAATGTATGGTTGTCCATTATTATAAAATTCTACATTTGTGCCTTTGTAGGTTATTGGGTGAAATAGAGGAGAAGCGACCATTTGTAGAAGAGAGGGATTCTAACACTCAGGAACTTGTAGAAAAGTGGTTGCTTAATCTCAGATATGAAAGCTTGAAACAGGACTTAGATAAATGACAACTTTGGACATTTAGGATGAGAGGCCAAACCAATCAGTTGATGACTTATTTATTCATGATAAGCCTGATCATTTTTTTTTCGTTTCAAAAGTTCTGATGAATCTGGATCCTTTGGAAGTGGATTAAAAGAACTTGATCATGAAATTTCTCTCTAAAATACAATTAATGGCTGCATAAATTAAAATGAAATTACAATATCAATATATTGATAACAGGCATGCTAGTCATATCTTTGATTTAAATGTGAACTAGTTTCAGTGTAATTCACTGTAAATTGGATTTTATCTCGTGCAGATCCTCTGGATAGGTAATCAATAAATGTGACAAAATAGAGAAATATGTTTTTGTCTTTTATTTATAATACTTCTCATTGTATAAAATTGTTATATACATTACTATTTACAATTTATTTACATGTTTCATGCTGTTATTATCCATTTAAACAATTGTGCAGTTTTTTTATGAACTAAACATTGGCTACTATTGCACATATTGTTGAACAATTTGACTAGGTTTTTGTTCTGATTGTAATCCAATACTTTGGGTGTGACAAAATGATTGTTCTACAAAAATGTGTTTTACAATTTTACAATCAACACAAATGATTCCTGTTTTCACAAAATGTACATCTATGGCATTGGCAGGGTAGTTTAGATAATCCCCTTAAAGCATATAAATTACCATTTAAATTTAAAAAGTTAATGTGTAATTTACAAAATTGATTTTAAAGGGTTACCATTATTTCAAGTTTTTGACAACTTTTTGCCACACTGTGTGTTTCCTTATTTTACAAAAAGGATTTCGAAAATACAGATCTGGCAAACTAGCAAAACATTATATTCTGAATTGTAATCTAAAAATTTCAAATTCAGTTGGACACTAAATTCACTATAATACTAAATTTGAGCAATGTAAATACTGTCAAATAATCCAATTGTGATTGATTGATTTCACTGGAGTAAGTTCATCAAATGTTTCAGCTGTTTGTTTTTTGGTCAACAAACATGTACAGTCATGCATACAAATGACTAATGTTTAATTAAACTGCATAAACTCGTAGATTATTTTCTCCTGTCTCTGACTCGTAACAATGGTGATGATAGATGATACTATGCAGGGTGACTGGTGCGATGAGGGGTGACTGGTGATATATATGGTGCTACACAGTTATAGGTGCACCACTGCCCACATTGGTGTATTCAGTTTTGTACATTCCTGGTGATGTCATAATAGACTTGGGACCTGCGTCTGAAACACACAATTAAATAAAATTAATCATTTGATCAATTAATAGATTTTCATTAATAATTTCAGACAAAATCAGTTACTAAAGGATGGCCTTTATAAAGCACTGATTGTGTCACCAAGGACAACTTTGCTATTAACATCACAAAAAATGACATTGAAAAGTCGAAAATATAAAAAAAACATGAAAATAGCTAAGTCAACTAAAATATCTAACTGTGTCAAACAAATGATGTATGAATATACTTACTTGGTAGACTGTATGGTGTTTCAACTGGACAAAAGAAGATATCACGAGCTTTGACATCTGAGGGTTTCATGTAAGAATCTTTCTGTAGCGTCTTCAGGCCGGAATGAGGAACTGGCTTCATTGAGTTTGGAAGACGTGGTATCCTGGTTGCTGAGGGGAACACCATTGTATCTCTCATGGGAGGACGCTCTCTAGGAACTGAGTCTTTTGGTAGTGGACTGTAAAATAAAAAGAGTTTGTTATTTAATTGAAGTGTACTAAGTACAAGATTAGATTGTCCTTCAATGGTAATTTTTGAGAAAAGTACTATTTTATAGATTGAAAAGGTTATGTTTGAATTGCCTCATACAATATGTTTTCTCATAAAATTAGCCCCTAGTACAAGATGTGAAATATATTGTGGTACATGTATTTTGATCACATGGCACTACAATAACCAATCAGAATACTGGTATTCTAGCAATCATACATTAAGTATACTTACTTATGCTTTAATCCATGTCCCCATGCCTTAGGGTATTCCTCACATTCCCAGTATGTAGGCACATCTTTCTTGCTGTAGCCCTTAAGTTCCCTTGGGTTAAAGGGCCTATGATCTTTATTGGTTGTAGTAAGGTACATGTCATCATGTAAGTTCAGGACTCCTTTATCTTTGGGCATAAATGTTTTTCCTCTAAGTTTGTCATTTTGTGTCGATGGTACCATTTGCTGTAAAAAGAAGTGAGAAATTATATAATTTGTTTATAATTCTTTGATGTACATGTTTTTTATTATTTGTATTGTGATGTATACTCTGCTATCTATATTGATTCCAATACTAGTGAATTATAATTTAAAAAGAACAAAAGAAAGCTACAAGTCCTTGTGACTCCCCCTCCCTCACTACATACAAGGTGATGTATAATAAGGGGAGGGGGTCCAGGGACTTGAAAAAAGACTAGACAAAAGAAATACTAACCTTAGATGGTCCATTCTTGTGGTGGTTTTTCAGAATAAAATCCTGGGGTCTCGGGTCGAATTCAAAATCCATTTTTATACCAGGTTCTGCTTTATATTTGTCCATCATTTCACTAGATTGATTGCCCATAGTGAGTGGCTTCCTCCAACCTCCTTTGCCCAGCTTCTCTGACAAATCCTTGACGTAATGCACTTTCCAGCTCCCAGGTGCCTTTTTGTGTATTCCGTAATCATTGCCATATATACCAGTAGGGTTGGGAAATTTTCTGTCGTGCACTTTGCCAGTTGTAGTGGGATATTTCTCGTCATTTGGGACTTCATCCTTCTTGGCGAGGCCAGGTGGCAATGGTTCTCTGATAAGAGTCTGGAAAGTACAAGTAAAATATTAAATCTCTGCAGATTACTAAACTTTCTCATGCAAATAAAAGTTCCTGCAATGTATTTTACTTGAAGATGGCATCAAACATCTGATATTACAGATTCAATGTACAGGTGTCGCCATAACACACCCTGTGCAAAGTACAAATACATGCTTTAAAATTGCAAGTTTTTATCTGCATAAATCTAGTCTTTTTTAGTTCTAAAAACACCTCACAGTTTGCTTACCTGGAAAGATGCACTGGGGAAATAATATCCGGGTCTGAAATGGTGTCCAACACCAGTACTTGTCTTGAAAATATCGTTCGTTTTGTAAGCTAAATCATTCGCCATGTTGCTATGTCTGTATTGCTTCGTATACTGGAATGTTGATCGGCTGGCGGTTGCTAAAACAACACCAATGGCTGTGTTAGCAACGGATGCATTGTGGGATAGAAAATGTGACGTCATCATATTTTTATGAATGAAATACTACAGTGACATCTATTATACTACAATGTTTACTACGAGTTCAGAGGTCATCTTAGTGCAATCAGTGCAAAACTGGAAAACCCGCGTTTTTACTAATTTGTGCCATATTTGTGCAAGTATTGAGATCTTTTAACAGTTCCATTGTCAAATATATGATTTTTTCACTACATTTTTCATGAATTAGCAGTTGGAATCATTTATATCAAACTCAGAACTGGATCATTCTCAACAAACTGAAATTTACTGCACAGTATTAATTTTGGGTCATATTTCCAAAGATCATGCTCCATGCTAAGATTAAGTGTAATGTATAATCCCATGGCCAATGATTTCAACTTTTGTTACAATGTATGTACCTTATGTAATTCTGTTTTAACATGGGGGAAAGTCCACAACTCTGTGGTGTGTACTTGTATGTCTATGTATGGGCGCACATAAAAGAACACAGGGCTGCTCTGAGGAGGGGTTTCTGGGTCTATCTTCCATGCTAATTACGTTAATTACGACCGTATATATACGGGATATACCCAAGAGGTATTGCTCACATTTATTGGTGGTAAACAATATACAACACAATACATAAGCATGGCACACTGTCTTATGAAATTTTGGCACTTAGGCCGCCATTTTTCAAAATGGCTCCCATTGACATGTACCTGTTTGCGAGTTTGTTGAAATTATTTATGTGCCTAATAAGAAGCATATTACACTTTCTGATGACAATTTGGCTTTAGTGAGCTATATTCTTCTTTTGTAAAAATGCCAGCCATGGCTGGTCAATGGGACTTGCTAGTTTTGGCGTTGCTGTTGTCTAGTTGATGTACAGGGTGGCCCAAGAAAGTGCAACTCGATCAAAATGCCTGTTACTTTGATTCACATTATGAGAGCTGCATTTATGATAAACCAAACTTCAAAACGTATGTAGATTCACTCTTGGCTTAATTAAACACCTGTAGAAATAAAAACCAAGAGGATCTCATTCTTTATTATTGTCTCCCATTTCCTAAAGCAAAGTGGGGGAACTTCCATAACTATAGTTTCTGTAGCATCCATTACAGTACAATAGTACAAAAACTTCAAAATGGTGGCCATTTTTCAAAATGGCTGCCTCCTACCAAAAGTGTCATTAGAGAGTGTGCCATGCTTATAATATTCACAAAATCGCTCCAATAATTACTAAGTTACAGCAAAATCGTAAAATAGCGTTTAAAGGCCACCATTTTTCAAGTTGGATGCCTTTTTTAAATGAGTGGCCATTTTGATAATCGGCTTTCACTTCTACCTCCATATGGTATATGTGTGCAAAATATGAACAGATTCGGGCCAATAGTATTTGAGTTATCGACCAGACAGACGGATAGACGGAAGGAGTACTGAGAGGCGTACGAACAGACGGACGTGTTCCCTACATCTCTCCGAACTCCATTTGATGGGATAATAAATAACTCGCAACATATTGATAATCATAGAATGATCATATTTATTTTTTTCATATACTCTCTCCATAATTACAGACTTGTATTCAAAGTCACTTTCATTATTTTCTTACACACTCATTAAGCCTTTATGTAAGCCTTTATAATACAGATATATTAATTTCTGTTCATGTACACAGTATAAAGTTATATGGTCAATCTTTTTTTATCACACTAAAATTCAGAAGTATATTAACTTCTTGATAATAATTTTTATAAAGCCTCCACCATTGTGTAGGACTTCTTACATCATATTATCAAATAGAAGCAGTCACAATAATGAATAATGAATAAACGTGTTCTTTCATCATGGATTGAACAAATGTCAACGACACATTTGCCAAAAAACTGAAAAAATATATCTTAAAGAAATATTCAACACATTGAAGGACTTAAATGTAGAAATGGAATTATCTCATAAAGATTCATGTCAAATTTTATATACATTTGGCACGGTCAGATTAAACATTCATCAGATAACCTGCTCAGTGACTTAGTAAATCTAAAATAAAAGGTACCAAGTTGCCTAGTAGAAACGAACAATAAGTCTCTCAATTGCTAAATACCAGCAGAGCTACTAGTATGCTGAAAGTAAAGGACTCTATAGGTTGATTGCGAGATGCACAATTGATAAGAGAGACAATGAGAGAGTATTAAATAGAACAGAACACAATTTGGCACATATGTTAGAACATACTTTAGTATGGAGGGCACAAGGTATAGTGCTTGGTTGAATATCCCAACCTATAAATTCTGTATACAATCACTGTCCTATCTAGAGGGTGGTTATTAGAGTTATACATCAAAACTAGAATTCCTGATTGCAGGTAAATGTTAGAATGGAGGGGTGTAAATTCGAAGAGAATGTCTCCAATTGTTCTATTGGTATGAAAAAATAAAAAGTAAAGCTTAATAAAGACACACATACTAATTCATCATATTCTTTAAACTTTTCCCCGTAATTCATTATAATGATGTCATGATGAGGAATCATCCTAAAACACTACTATCTAATATTGTAATGTATATATAGCATTAATACATATCTATAGTGCAATACTAGATATAGTATTAACTGTAAATGCATAGTAAAAACTATTGACTGTCCTCTGACCAATTAGAATGGAGTATTTCAACTGAGGTACTATCAATGTTTGTTGTAATGCATCACATGGTATCAGGTAGGTTTTGAATGCTGCACTTTTCAATTTATATAAATCTAGGAAGAATTTTTTTGAAAATATTCTGAACTATAAAATTCAATTGTCTCGATACAACATTGATGTAGCTAGCCTACAGATATTGAAATTAGTCATGATGTAAGTGAAGAAGAACTCCAGATTAATATAAAAAAAATCTTGTTTCTCTTCGACATAACTCTGAATAATTTTTAACAATATAACATATCTTGTCCATTCATATTTTTCCATTTCCCTGATTTCAATATTAAACATAAAACGAGATCAACCTATTAATAATTGTACTTTCTAAAACATTTTACAAAGTATATTTACATAAATATTATGCGTTGATTTGTTCCTTTTTGCTCATATATAATTGTTATTTCTAAAGCTCTTAAGTTTCAATCTTGTCCTAAAAGAATACTCATTATGCATTGAATCTTTAAAATTGAAATTCTTTTTTTTAAATTCTTATAATGGACTTGTATCACATACATCTCTCTCTGACTTCTAGAACATAGATTCATTATGGATGATGGAGTCAATTATGGACATGGAGGGGATTTTCTTATCAATCCTCTGATACCAATACAAGTCAGACAATTCCACATAATGTATTTTAAGAGACTAACATAACTAAACTAAAACAGTTTAGTGTAGCTTACTTGTAACATCAAATACAAATAACATAAGTTACTTGTAACATGGAATACAAAAAACATAGCTTATTCGTAACATCAAATACAAATAACATTGGTTTCTTGTAACATGGACTACAAATAACATAGCTTATTCATAACATCATTACAAATAACATAGCTTCCTAACAGAGAATACAAATAACATAGGTTACTTGTAACATAGAATACAAATAACATTTCTTTCAATTTTGCATAACACAATAATTGTTCTTCAATGACACAATAACAAACTACATGGCAAAGAGCATTTAACACTTTATGACAAGGCTTGCATGTTTCAGTAAACAGTAAAATTTGTAAAGAGGGACATCTCTAAAATTGGTGTATCCATTCATTTAATGTAACATTAACCTATGTAAGTGGAACACCTCCCAAGTGAAACACTGTTCCGCTGACAGTCACGATTATACATTAATTAATCCAATTTTGTTCAGGTACAGTTCATACTCCCACAATGAACTCCAATCCATAGTTCTGTGAAGCTTATCCAAAGTTTGGATGAGGTGTAATTCAGTTCCTATAAATGTATCTATGCATCATATTTGTTATTTCCAAATTTGTATAACCAAAAGCTTTAATTAAGCCTGGGTTCTATAAAGTGCAACCAATAGTTTTGCTCTATTGTGTATAATCCATAGTTTTGCTCTATGAAGTAATAGTTTTGCTCTCTGAAGTATATCCCAGTTTTGCTCTATGAAGTATATATTCCACTTTCGCTCTATGAAGTAAAACCCAAAGTTTTACCTCATGAAATATGGCCCATAGTCTTACTCTATGAAGTATAACCCATAGTTTTACTCTATGATGTATAATCCATTGTTTTAATGAATTCTATAGCTGACGTAAACTGCATCCACCAATATTGCTCCTCGCCAGCGAGACGCTTTTCATAAAAACTGTTTACATATTGGACAGTGGACAGCAGACTAGGAGGGTTGGCCTTAATTAGAACATAGATAAGTACCTGGAATGTAAGTAAACAAGTGTTAAGTGAAACAATATTAAGATAGGCTTCTCAAAGCAATGATGTAGATTCATGATTTGGAGAACTTGTAGCTCATTTCACTGGATATGAACCATGGTTTATTCTTCAATATCATTTTTTGCCCAAACCAAGCTAAAATGATTTTCTTCTATATTCAGGTTCAAAATATTTTCCATAAAATAAGTTAGGTAATCAAAGGTCTTCATATTGTCACATCCCAACAGGGTAATTGAAACTTAATGGCGATTTGTTCAAGAGTTTTTCAATTGTATAGGTTCTACTTACAGGCATGAAATCATCTGCTGCAGGAACTGACTTGGGGTTAGCCATGCTCAATAGATTCATTATCGTGGAAGAACAGCGTAATACACATCTCAGTTTGTCTTTAGGGGTCTAGAATTAAAACATAAAATTTTGATTCCTGGTTTATCAATGATTCAATTTTCATGCACTAAATCTGAATGAAATGTGTTGAGAACTTGTGTTACAAAAATAGACAGGAGTATAGTGTTTCTCGAAACATAGACATTCCTGAAAATCTAAGTTTAGTTTCTTATGGTATGACCCCTTCCTGCCTGGACCCCATCTTTTAATCTTGTGAGGTGAATACCTTATATGCATTGATCATGTCTATCTCTGCTTGTGCAGCAGGCCAAGGGCACTCATAATGGTACATCTTGGCAATACGTAGGTCTTTGTGGTTGGGACTTATCACATCTGCCAGCTTCTGTATGTGGTCACGTAGCACCCTGGAATACAATAGAACATAAAAGGTTAAAGCACTAGATGAGTTTTATTACACAATGACTGGCTGGAATTTAAACAAATTAATAAATATACATTGACTGTGTGATTGAAACAAGTACATTCACTAGTTTTATAGATAATATTTGATTGCACTTTATTATGGTTTACATCATTCTTGATATACCAAAGGATAGTCAATTCCCATCAAACTATATATCACTCCATTAAACGTTACATGTTGTCTAATATGCAAACAAGTTTCATAACAAGATTCAAGATACACCAATTTATGGACAAAACTAAATGACTTAGTAAATACTTTTTATATGAACAGGGGGTGGGCCAAAAAAATCAATTCAAAACAGAATAAAACATATTTATTCATCAGGCAATAGTTGAATATGACAACATAGCACATACTGGTCTCTGAGCTGATCACCATCTCCATTGGGGAACATTGCATGTGTATAGATACGACTCATGATGAGCCTCTCAATGGCAAGATGAGCATCCTCTATCTGGCCTTCATTGGCAGCTGAAATAACAACGAATTCAAATCTCTCACTTTTGTTTATGCTTGTATCCTCATTGTTAAATATGTAGATAATAGATATAAAGCTCTTCTTACACCCCATTTCTTCATCATGAATAAAAATGGAAAAATTGAATTTTCATCAATTTCTAAAACTGTCCTTTGAGACTACATGTGAACATGATCCTAATCATATATCTATATATTTTCATATGTATTTTTCTTGTTCCAATTGCAGTTTGGGAATAACTTCTTTTCTATCAAAATTCATACTGGACATAGCTTTGTAAAAAACATACACCTTTCAAAGTTCAAGTAACCTTCAGTTCTGTATGTAAATGTGTTCATTTATTTATAATTTGCGTCTCATGCACTAAAATCATACATATATGATTTGACTATTGTACAGTGCCTGCCCTTCGTTAGTCTTAGAGAGACAACTGAAATCCTGCCTCGGCCTATTACGATAAGGGAAACAATGCTTTGAACCACCCTACCTTGCCATAACGCATCAGACTCCATTTGTCTGCTAAGGTAGTCCAAGAATCGTTCAACTAAATCCGTTTTCTCATCAGAGACAGTCAGCCCAGTAAAGTCTGACATAAACTTCATCAGTGACTTCTCTTTGGAGTCTAGGAATAATCGGACACACACCGAGATAAAGTGGGTATTGCACACTTCCTTGTCCCTGTTAACAAAGAAAGACATGTTATTTGAGACAATAAATGCACATATATGAGGCAGATGGCAAGTCCCAAACAGCCTTAATAACTGTGGAATATTTTATGGAGAATATCCTATTGAAAGAATCATATCAAATATTGCTTTTTTGCTGGATGTATGTATGTATGGCCAATGCCCTGCATTACACATTTACCTCTGTATCCTATGTAACAGTCTCTCTAAATGGCCCACAGTGGTCAGGAGGCCTTGTCTGGAGCGTATAAGGTAAGCCACATATGCTGATCTATTCTTGTAATCCTCCTGCATTGACTTTAACAGCTTCTTGATCCTAAAATACAGATTTACGTTCGAACAAAGTTACTCTTTTAAAAGGCAGAGATTGAAAGCTTGATATTGGAAGCAATTCTCAAGAATATCCTGGAGTCCATTTTTGGTAAGATTGTTACTATCAATTTTGTTTATGACAATTTCTAACCTTAAGTCTCAAAAATAAATAATTTACTTATCAGACCACTGATTAACAAAACAAATTGTTTCAATACCCCTAGATTTCATTTCCAAGTTTAAAATAATTTTCAAGACAGAGTATAAATAACCAACTCCTCAGTACTCACCCAATGTTATCAAACTGTCGGAGACATCTAAGCGTCTCATGAAGCTGGGCGACCAAGTCTTTATCCTGCAAGTTGATAGCCTCCGCTAATTGCACTTTTAGAAACGCCACCAAATCATTCTCCTTTCGATCATTACTTTTGATACTTGGACTGTAATATCCCGCGATGAGCCCATTCTGCGACGGAAGTGTTTGGATATCTGCGGTGCTCAGAACCATGCGCAGTTTGCGTTTTGCATCCTGAAAAGCTTGGCAGTTCTCTAGGTTAATAGGATCATAAGCAGGTGGACCTTCTTCTTCTGATTCCTCTTTAACATTAAGTTTAACCTTGTCAATGTTAGGAACACTGTCTTTAACAGTGACTGGAGGTATAACTGCCAATGGTTTCTTGCGATATTTGGCCAATATATCATCACTTGATTCTGAAAAACATAAATGTTATGGACTTAAGTTCTGTCGATCTTTTTTGTTATGTTAAAATCACTATTAAAACCAAACTGTAAGACTTCCTGTATAGTTGGAGGCAACAATAATATGCTCCCATATGTGGTGTGACATAAAAATGATTGTTTCATACCTTGACTTAGACTGTTATTTATTTGTTCAGAACTTGCAGGTCTTGTCCCATTTAGATTTCTAGTTCCATCCAGTATATCTACAGCACCATGCATTGAGGGTAGAGAGGAATGTTTCTCCCCCAGGCATGTGGGGTCTACATGTACAGATCCATTGGGCACCATGTCTTCTTTATCATCTCTGTTATTGCTGGTACGCTTCTTGCTACCAGTACCTAGGTGACATAGATAAATGTTAAAACAATGTATCATCTTATCTTAGTTATTGTTGTCCTGCTGGCTACCTAGATGACATGGATTAATATTAAAACAATGTACTTCCTCAGTTATTGTGGTTACCTAGGAAACATAGACAAATATTAAAACAATGAATCATCTCAGTTAGTGTACATGTAACACTTCATGTTACGTAAGTAGCCTAAATGTTAAAAAATAACTTCTTTCTTGTTACAAGGCAAAATGGATAAATGTTGAAATGAGTATTCACATTTAAAACATCTATGGGATGGATGTATATTTAAGGGACATAAACCTGACTGTCTTACCTTTCAACTTGTCTTTGAATGCCTTGAATATACTGCTACTCTTCTTCTTTTGCTCACCTTGTGGTATTGCAGCTCCATTATCACTATCACTAAACTCCTACAAGTACATTCCGGTAATTAAACAAGGCATTAACATGCAAAATTTCAAAACCTGCTATTTGTCACAGACAACAAACACTGAACACTAACCGCCAAGTGTCAAACGTCATCCACAAAAAAGTTGGAGAATTTAACCCTATGTTATCACTTGTGGTGGTGACATAAAAAAGGAAATGTTCTGATATTCTATCTAGTTTTGTCTTACATTATGGGCACCCAATCTCAGTCACAGTCAAAAAAGGGGCAAAACACAAAATTAATACAGATACCAGAGTATATATTTTCCAAGTCTGTATGACTTTTGGGAACAGTGTTTTACTCAATAAAACTTTTAGTTATCAATACCTGAGATGTGAAGGATTATACAAGGGAGACTGAAAATCTCTAATCAATATCTCACTTTTATATGACACTAACCTTTTCCTTCCTTATCACATGATCATCAGACCTTGTCAGTCTGCTATCAACTTTAGAAGGTACTACTTCCTGGCTGACCTCTATCTCAGATGACCTTCCACTACCGGAACTACTTTCTGTATCACTACGCAGCTTAATCAGACCCTGTTGAAGAATATATAAAACTTAACAGTTATGATTATTTCTATTTAGATTAACATTTAGACCATACAGAGAAAATAACTTTATATACTTTGGTATAATCCAAAATATTTAACAAAGCATCATTATAATAATTGATTGATTTTATAATTGAAGTACACGTGCCCTACTGCATCCTCTAACTTAGTATAAAACATATCCATTATTTTTCAAAGAACATCTTATCAATATTATCACATTCATACCTGCCCCGCTTGGGTGACAGCTCCCAGTGGATCAAACTCTGCCGGTTTTGAGAAGCTTCCTAGACCACTATCGCGCATGTCAATTTCTGCTGTTTCCATGGTAACCAATTCGGTATCTGCATCATTTAAATCCACTTCAACCTGCAACAAAATAAGATGATGGTTGTCAAGTGTACATGAAGTTTTTATTTGAAAGAACCTGAATTGTACATTATGTTTTGTTAAATCCAGAATTTATCATTATGTCCATTGTAAGTCCTTCAGTGAGTTTCATTTTTAAGAAGATATTTAATATTAAAAGTCGAGTCACTTATTGGAGGGAGTAAATGAGTCCATATAAAATATGTCTTTAAAGCACTTCTTGTGCTTTGAATAAAACATAAATTTTCTATTACCGGATGCTATAATGCTATCAGGTTGTTGTCTCAAGTTTAACTGATGTGCTACTCACCTCAGTATCATCTGTACTACTAGTAAGTGGCCCCTCTACAAGTCCTTCCTGAATCTGCACAGATATATTAGTAGGTGTCACCTCAGTGCTTGCCCCTGGGGGTGGGAGACCAAGTTCTCGTGCTACCCCTGACTGCAGTGAATTTGGGCGTTTAAACTCTGGGATAACAGGCTCCGATAATGATCTTGAGCCCCTTTGATCAAACGATGCATTGTTTATTGGATCAAAGGAATCTAAGATACTTGATGTTGAAAGCCTGTTATCAATCTTTAAGTTCTGTTGCTCTGTTAATTTCAAATTCTGTTCCATATTTTCAGAGAGAATGTTGATAAGTTCAGGGTTTTGATCTTCTGGAGTTTCGGCCACACCTGAGTCTCGCTCCGTATTACGCCTTAATTCCACTTCATCTTCGAATCCGGGACTAGAAATTCCTTGATCGGGAGAAATAATTTGGTTGTTCAAACCTTGAGCATTGTCACCTCTATTTTGTGAGTTTGAGTTATTTTTGGAGTATTGTCCAGCTCGTTTCTTTGGAATAGCTCCGCCTTCTTTACTTAGGGCTTCATGTTGAAAAGGATCAAACTGCTCTAGCACTGACACTACCCTGCCTTCTGCATGCTTGAATGAGGCAGATACACGTTGACTAGATGTGTGATCATATTTGTGGTCGTCGATTTTACGGAAGACTCCAACAATGTCAGACACAGCGCGGGGTCGGTTTTCTAAGTCGCCATGACGAAATGTCACCTGATTTGGTTCACTTTGCCTGGAAGAGATTGATGTAATCAACATTACCAACAAGGCATTAACATGCAAAATTTCAGACCTGCCATTTGTTACAGAGGCCAACTGCCAAACACCAACTGCTGAACACCAACCACTGTCCACAAAAATATGAAACATTTAAATTCAGAAAATGACGGAAAAATGGCACTGTTGGGCTCATAAAGTGATCATATCCTACATCAAACTGCATAAGGCAGAATAGATGAATTACGAGCTGATTTAACATGGACAAGTGCATAGTACTCTACGACTGTTACATCTACTTAAATTACCTCTCTTTGGAGCTTTTAGGGGATGATTTAGCAAAGGGGTCAAAGTGTCTATCAAGTGGAGGTGTAGGGTCAACTGGTGCTGTAGTCTCATCTGTTGGTTTCTGGGAATCCTCTGGACTCTGGACACCTACAACAGTACACCAAGTGTGTTTAAAATGACAACCCTTAAGAATTTGTATTGTTTATTTTCACATTTACATGAATATTTACTGAGGAACAAATCTATCAGATGTAGTGCTCATTTAACAAAGCTTCATTCTCTTGAACATGTGACCTATCTATTTAATTTCACCCAAGATGAGGAAACATCCCAGAATTCATAAATGAATCCATCTCTAAAGGTTCATCTTTATGTGAAGATAGGCCCATCTATGAATTCTGGGATATTCCTCCTTTTTTCACCCAATGAAGTTTAAAATGCTGAAAATGGGCATTTCCCACATTTCATTTTTGAAAATGCTTTTACCTGAAGCCAATGGTGTGCTGCCATTTTCCTCAAACACTTCCTCTTGAAGCTCTGGGAGAATGTTCTCTGTGTCATCTTGCTGGTCCACCTCACGTAGTCTCTCAGCTTGTTTCTCATCTGTGTCACTGGCTGCGAGTACATCTGTGCTCCACGCATCACTGGCTGTTTCACTCACCTCAGACACCTGTTGGAAATAGGTTAAATTAGATTAGGATGCATGTATAAATAATGTACATGTGGGTGATGGAATAAATTGAGTCTAAAATACTATATGGAGATTTAGAGTTTCTTCAAGTATTCATTATTTCACATAATGAGATAAAGAAACCAATCTTTTTTACAGAAATGAACTATATGGAATATCTGTGTCACTGCACCACAATTATAGCTTTAGACAAAAAGAACCCAAATCAAATATGAAAGAGAAACAAATTTTTGGGGTAGACAGGTAAATGTTCAAACCTCTTGCACACCAAGCAGATTACTGCGCAGAACCTCTTCTGCCACCTCCTCTAGTCTCTCAAGTTGGTTCATCTCAGGTGGCTCACTATCGCTGGCCATCACATCTGTACTCCAAGCATCACTCACAGTTGACCTGACATCATCTCCTGAAATGTTCAGATATAACGTTAAATTTACATCAATCAATCTTTGTAGTTGTGAGTTAAGCTGTTATCTTGCAAAATGTATAAAATAATGACTCAACGTAACAAACATTCGATATGTAGGAACAAAACTGATCTGACAGTGAACTGATCAGTCAAAGTTGACTTGACACCATCTGATGAAGTAAAATGCCTAAAATTATCGCAGCACAGAAACACTACACCAACTTAATTATTTACAAATAACTGAATAAGACATCTAAATCAACGGTGTACTTACTTTCCAGCTCCTGTTTGATATCAAACTTTCCAAATCTCTCGGTTACATCTTCTCTGTTCGTTTTCTGTACCATAACAGGCAAATCTGGACCAGGACGACGCTGTTCCACATTTTCCAACTCTGCATCTCCCACCTGTGACAATGGAGTCCCTCGTCCACTCAGACTAGGAGAACCTCGCCCACTCACATTTGCTGATGTCATATCTGACATATTCTCGTTATCTTCCCCATCTGAGCCAATGGCGCTGTGACTGGATGCCGCATCAGAGATACAGGATGTTGCTTCCAGATTGTCACTGGTGGCTAGAAAAGTAATTTTGTAATATAATGGAACTCCTGTGTAAATATCAGATATTGCTCATGTCTCTCTTTAAAAACATGGAAATATGAAACCAGCATTTTCGGAGGAATTAATTTAAAATTGTGCTACAAAATATCTCAGACATCTTGTACAGGTAAACAAGACATAAATAAGATGATCAAATAAAAAATATTATAAAAGAAATATTTTAAATTAACTGTATTCAACTTAAACATGGAAAACATACCTATTGAATCCTGATCATGTGACAGAGAAAACCTTGTACGTTTCTCTTGTATTTCGCCACCCCCATCCTCACTATAGCTATATTTTACCCTCCTAGGACGCATCTCATTATCCATGGACAGGACCTATAAAAAACGAAAAATATGAAATATATGTGTGTCTCCCTATCAACCTAACCTTCACTCATCATGTTTCGAGTTTTGTACATAAAAATTTGAAAAGCGAACTTCAATGTCTTTGTTATAGTGAAAAGGCAAAATATAGCATGAAATGGCATCCAACTCCCTTTACCTTATGTAGAATAAAAAAAAAATAGAATAACGTAAAGAACAAAGACGAAACAATCCACATTTCTTACCTTTTCTTCACTCAACATTCCGGGACATTCTGTGTTCTGGTCGAGAGTGATGACAATGACGTCCTCCTGGTTCATGTTGAAGCTGTCAACACTGGTGCCATCTATCAATGACGTGTCTCCTGCAGTAGAGTCATCCAAACCTCCAGACCCAATAGCTGGGGGAGCAAGACTCAATTTCTTCTTCACTAGTGATAAATCATTCAAAATGAATTTTCTAATAAAATCAATAACTTAGTCTATTATCTTGCTACTTTTATAGAATGGATTAAAAGATAAAATCTAACATTGGAAATATAATACTTAATAGATTTCATGCAATTCCATATAAAACTATCTAACAAGCTGGGCAGTGATATAAAGTAGTTACTTCTATTCTTGAACATCTTATTAAGCAAGGAATAAGCATGGGATTATGAACATAATGATGAGTAGAATTAAAATATGTTTTCTATATCCCTTTACTTTATCACCATATTAACTTAGGGACAAGGCCATTCATTATACGATAGATGCTCACAAACATTTTTAATCACATTTTGAGAAAAAATTGTGTCATATTTTAGTGAACACGAAATTTTTAATTTGGTAAAAATACTTAAGTCAGTGGTCAATAACATTTTAGAGGGAAGGGTGTCTCAGAAATGTTATTAATTACATTTTTGGACAACACTGAAATATTGAATTGGTCCCTTATTCTGCTATGATACCATGGGGATACTTACATGATTTATGTTGTTTCCTAGTTCTCTCACCAGGTGTCCCTGGTGGTGTCCCACATGGTGTATTTGTCTGGGAAACTTGTAAAGCAGAGGGAGGGGGTACACCAGATAGAAGATCTTCTAGGGTTTTGCGATTCTCTTCTTCTGGTTCAAAAGACTGCTGAACTTGTGACAGAAACGTCATCTGGAAAGTCATTGAAACATTCATTCCAAGAAAAACATAAAATAAATCGGATCCAAAAGTTTGGGTGACACTAATGTCTGTTATATAGAAAGAATCATTCAGACACACAGATATTTGGCTTGACAGAAAGTATAAAGAGCTCCATATTAAATTACAAGCAAATCCAAGCAATTGTTTTTGATGGCACAAGGATGATATATCATATTCTGTTGGGGTACATGTGTAAAGTATGAGTACATATAAAAGTACATGTGTAAGATAAAATAAGTCAGCATGGCAGGACTTAAGTCTTTTTCAGGACAAATACAGAAATCTTATGTTCTCTAAATTCTGTTTAATCCTCGACTTCCAAATATAGTGTGGGAAGCAATCTTAGCTCATTGGTGGCTAATTTCCACACTGATTTCAACAACTTCTAAAGCCATAAAACTTCTCAAACAATAAATAAGACCATAAGAAAATATATGAATAAGTAGGTTAACAAAACTATGAACCTACTGGAGACCATAAAGTTGTGAACTTGCTGCAATTGATGTACTGGCTTCAATTAGTGTTTCTTTTCTACCGTCGAGTTCTAGGATAGAATCTACCCCTGTGTATATACATTTACTTACCAAAGTCTGTAGATTTGAGGGTGTCATCAACATAGCCGATCTTTCCAAACCATAAAGTTGCGTACTTGCTTGAGGTGGCATGTCTGATACGCTGCATTCTAGCATTGAGTCTAACAAGGACGACATGCAGCCTTGCTCAAATCTGGAGTACAGGTCCCGTAACTTTGGATCTATTTCGTCCCATTTAGATATGGCAAGCACTTGCAGGATTTGGGCAACCTAGAAAAAAAAAACTTTCTTTTTAAAAGGGTGCAAATAGATTTTAAAGTTGGTCAAGCCTATTTTCGAAAATTTTGGGTGATACTCAATTCCAAAAAGAAAAAAAAAATATACAAACTCTAAATTCCCTGGGTTGATATACTATTATTTGATCTAAAATACTTCTTTAATTGTGGCATGGTTTTGGCTACTTCATGGATTCTCCCTTTAAGCTATCAGTTAAAAGATTATCAATACATAGAAGCTATGAATGAGTCAAAAAGAAAATATGGCAAAATACATCAGTCATCATAAGCGTACATGCACTAAAGGATGGTGTGTAATTGCCAAGCATTGTGGAGAAACTGAGGTCATCCTACTAATCCCCCATCCCCTTTTCCTTTAGAACGTATTTTAAAAATGATGATTTACATTTAGTTAGGCCTACCCTTAAATTTTTCAAAAACTGATGTTCTCTACTAAAGAAATCTTTGTTTATCTTTTTCCTCCAAACAAAATTAAGTGCTGTGCTATTCTACTACACTGTTCACAAATCCTAAATTTTAGGGAGTCCTTCCTACATTCAAATATCTAGTTGACATATATATTACCAAATAAATAACCCTTTGTGTCTTAATTGCGCCTGAAAGCTATAGCAATGCACAATAAATATGTGGTTACTTTGAGAAAAACAAACTAGAACATGGTGAAAATAGAGAAAAATAGAGGAATTTGAAACAATATTCCTCAGATTTACCATTGAATTAATAGAATTAATATAAGCAAAGGAGCTGTTTCATTCAGATACAGACAAAATCAATACTTCATCATTGTTAAAAAGCATTTGCAAGGTAGAATGATCAATTTCGACAGGGCTATATTTCAATTGTCAAGGTTGCTAAATCAAGTTGAAGGGCATTTTTCAGATTTATGTTCAAGTAATGACTTTATGGCTTCACTGACCTGCATTAGATTATGTCGTGCTATGTAGCTCAATGGTGTGTCTGATGTAATTCCATAGGGTTCCGGGTCACATATGGCGGGACATATGAATAGTGTGAACACAAGGTCTGCACACATGGCCCGTGCCTCAGCAGTATCTACATTGTTAGACTTGTTGATCATGTGGTACAACTGACTTACCAGCCAACATAAACTTTGTGGAAAGCAATACAAATTATTCTTAATGCTCAAAATAAATCTGTTTGTCATTTGCACAAGTTTTTCATTTGTAAATTGGCGATATTTGTTCAGATTTTCTGTGTATGATACCGTGCCCGGTTGCCCAAATCTGCGTATACGTTCAGCTTGTGGGAATCGCACAAGAGCTTTGTCTGGGTCAATATCATAGAACCACTCATCTTCCATAAGCAGTCGCATGACTGGATTGTGAAGGGCAGCGGTAAGGAATAATTTGGCAGAGAATTGTCCTTCATTGAGCAGTTTAAAAACTCGGCTAAATGCGCAAGAACCTTTTCTGAGCATTCGTCGTGGGTTGCTACTCTTAGCCAACTGAAATTCTATCAAGGATTTTAAAACTTGCAATAAGTAGTTCTCATCTTCCGGCATTACTCCATTTGCATAAAGTGATGTCACTACTATATGAACAATATTTTGCATTGTTGTTACATCAAGTTGCTCCCCTTGTACCAGACAAGCTGCGATCATCCTGGGATTTTCTCGAAATTGTTTCAAGAATTCCCCATACTTCGACTCATGATATGATAAATGTTTATAGGCATCAACAAAATTTGATAACTCTAACATGTTAGCATTGTGACAGCAAGTCGCTGGACTGACTTCTCTGCTATTTAATATCAATTGATCTAGATTCTGTCTCTGCTGTCTTCCAATCCATGATACGTGATATAATGTCTGCGCTGTTTTCGCCACTTGTTCATTCAGACTCTGTAACTGTTCCTTCTCGGAGCTGACAAATAATCTTTCTTGTTTCAAGTGACGAGCAAGCTCAATTAACTCAAAATGTGTTGCCATAATGAGTTCTCTAGTTAAAATTACATCTGAAAAAAATCCAAAGGATATACATTGTATGCAATTATTCATTATATTATAACATGGATTACATTCTACAAAACAAGGGCTGATTTAGATTCTCACATTTAATTTCAATATTGATGTCTACCATGGACTTTCTCTTGAAAGCCAATGTGCCTATTTATCTACTGTTTAAGATTTTTGATGTGAGTCAATCAAAACTCAACGTAAGCAATCACAGTATAATGAATTTAAATGTTAGAAAGTTAGGTTACTTGGTGAGAAAATGCACTCTTTCCTGACACTTGAATTTCCTATAACATTTTCACTTGTCCTCACCTGGTTATGAAGATGTAACGTCTTTATAACAAAGTGGATGAACTTGTTTGGAGGAATTTTTTATTTTCATCATTTTCACCAAGATGGGGGGGGGGTGATTTGTACTCAAAAATTTTATACTAAAATCCAGTGAAAAGTGAATCAAAAGTATCGAGGTCCAATGGCTCCAATAATCTACTAAGAATCCCCTCGCTATTGCAGCCATGACATTAAAACAGCGCAACCAAGAAGTTATAAAATTCACCAGATAACGTCCTGGTTGCTGAAGTGAGGGGATTTACACTCAATTATTAGAGCTGTAGGATATATTTGCTTATGACTAACTTGCTTTTCAGTAACTGCTTAACAAGTGGGTAAAATATTTTGAGATAAATCAACCTCAATGTTGGTGAAATTGATAAATCTCACAAAATTTTCTCCAAAGGAAGAATGCAGATGTGTCTTTAAACTTACAACCAGGTAATTTTAGCTCTAGAATAAACATATTACTATTTAGATCTACAAGGACAAAGGTAAAATATTGTAAATCATATAGCTTTCCTTTGAATATGGTTTGCTCTAAATCAACGTGCATATGTATTAGTGTTGTCGCGATGTGCCATAATCGTACATCGATGCATCAGCAATTTTCAGTAGGAAACATCAATGCACATCGCGATGTACATCGAGAAAAAGTCCAAGAAAAGTGCACTGAAATACCGAACGCTAATGCACTAAAATACCGAACAGAACAAATTAATAAGAGTACGCTCATACATCCGGGAACTTCTAGTAACAGTGAAATGAAAGTAATTTTTTTAGATTAATGGTCCATTTAAACTCGCTAAAACAGTTTTAAAGCAAAAGAATATCAAAACATTGGAAAATGAAATAAGACATGAGAAAGGTATGGGATTTGCGTCAAAGTAAGATAAGAAAGGTTGATTTTTAGCAAATTAATCGCGACAATTAATCGCGACAACACCAATATGTATACAATGTAGGTTGGCGTTAGTAAACACTTTCAAATCTGAGTGATCAAAAAATGGGAAAAATCGGAAAATATCTTCAATGTTTTGAAATTGCATTTTTGATTTGTGTTCCATCATTGACATTTGTCAATTTCCAAATGACAACATTGATTAGTCGATGTATGGAACTAATTGTATTTATCAGTTATTTGATAAAATATTGTAACATACCTGTTTAAAATCAATGATATACAGACATTTTCCACAGAAATTCGCCCATGATTTTTAGGGAGTTTTGTGCGCATCAAAATCAGCGCATTTCCGGTATATAAACATAGAGATTTGAGATCATGCGCCACAGTTATTCGCATTGATTATTTATTTTGTAAACGATTGTTTCATATATACTAAACTGCACATTTTAGAAAATCTTTATAGATGCTTGAAAATTTAATAATTTATACTAACAAGATTATGATTATTTTCTAAAAATATGCGCAATATTTATACACAAAACGAAACACACCAAACATTAAAATTCCCGGGAACAATTTTCTCCGCTCATCGCATGGATGTATTGTGAACAGTGGCCCTTGATTCAAGGGTATTTCACTTCTTTTTTTGAATTTAGGAATAAAAGAAGCCCTTTAAATGAAGGTTGACAGTGGCAGACCTTTCAAAGAGGGGGTGGGCATCAGGGGCGGATCTGGGAACCAACAAGGGGGGGGGGCCCAAACTTCTTGTCTGAGAAAAAAACTTCCGCGCTTGCGCGGAAAAAAATTTTGGGCCCCAAAAACCCAAAAGTGGGCCCAAATTTTGAAATTTTGAGGCCCATTTTCTTCAAAATTTTGCCTAAAATTAAAAAACAAGGCCTTAGAAGGCCAATTTTTGACCAAAAAGGCCTACTTTTTGGGGCCTTAGGGCCTTTTTTGGCTCAAATTTTTTTTTGGGCACAATTTTTTTTTTCTGGGCCCACCCAAGGGGGGGGGGGGCCCGGGCCCCTGGGCCCCCCCCCCCCCAGATCCGCCAGTGGGCATTGGGTGCCCCCATTTGCAGAGTCAGAGGATCGGTTTCTATGGCTCTCCGTCCGTAAGTACTCAGAATGCACTAGAGATGGTCTGAATTGCTTTCCTCTCTAGGTTGCGACGGCATCCATACGCAAAAGTTTCCCCCTTGAGAAATCCTTCGGACGGGCCTGGGTGGTTTAGATATTCGCCGGCCAGTTAAAGGCCCCATATAAAGTTTAAACCACTTTGGCTTATATTGTAGTCTTACCCAATGTTATCAAAGTGTGATATGTGAAACTTTTTTTCTTTAATTTCAAAAAGTGGTTTTTGATAGACTTTTTGTTCCAAAATTTGTGAATTTATTTAAAACCAACTTTTAGAGGTCACTCATATCTTCTAATTAGCCACAATTCATACCAATGTATAGCATTCATTCTCCCATGTTTTTTGCCGAAAAAATTAAGAAAATTGGTTCATAAATAAGCGAGAAATAAACTTATCAGTGCATGAAAATGGTTCTGAGAAAAATGCATTTCAAAATTTTAGTTCTCATAGAAACCAATGGTACAATGATATCTAAAACATAATTTATTCTTCCTTTTAATCTGGTTAGACAATCAACATTGGTTTTTCATGAATGTCTAACATATTTAGAAAAGATTGACATCGAAAAAAAAATTTCAATTTTTTTCAAAAAGTTTTTGGTACCTTAGTGACATCACTAATGTTTCAAAATATTTTTGATATGCTAAAACATCGAAGTGGCCCATTAAATATGGCATTTTATTACTGAAATAGTGTGTCCTTTGTTCAATCTTTGCATTGGTGTTAAAAAGATAATATTTTTTGAAATGCATTAAGAAGTATTTGATGATTAAGAAATTTCAACTTTTTTTGAAAAATGGCGGGAAATTTGAATATTTGAAAAATGAAATGCTCACAACTTTTTTTCCAAAATTTTTTTTTGTTCAAAAATCTCTAAAATCACTTTTTAAGTCCTGACAAATAGTAAATGAATGATAAAAAAATATTTTCAAACTTTAGACGGGGACTTTAATCAGAGTATGCAGTGACATTCCCCTCGAAATGTTTGGAAACCTTTTTTCTCCTTGAACTACATGTAATTTGTCAATGAAATCGTGTTTGAATTTTCTTTTAAAAACAACGAAAATGTGGGTGATTTGTGTTATAATTATACTTCCTCAAATTTATCATTTTACGGTCACGGAATATTCCAATGTAGAAAATTATTAATGATTTTGCTAACTTTATTTGACAAGAATTTTAACAGATTTTTCAGAGGCAAAATGAATAGGCATGTTATAAATGATGGAGTTGCCAGTAGTACATGCTTAACTGGTAGGGTAACAGTACATAATTAAGTGGTGGAATTGCCGATGCAAAACTGAGTGGTGGAGCTGCCAGTTTATAATTAGTGATGGAGCTGCCAGGACGTAATTGAGCGGTGGATCTGTGGTGGAGCTTCTAGTACATAATTAGTGATTAAGTGGTGAAATTGCCAATTCATAATCAAGTGGTAGAACCAGAACATAATTAAGTGGTGGAATTATTGCCTTTATATTATCGAGTGATGGAACTGGCAGTACATAATCAGTGGTGCGGTTTCCGAAACATAAATGAGTGGTGGAGCTGCCAGTATATAATCAAGTGGTAAGTTGCCGATTACATAATCATCAATTAATTAAATTACCAATATATTGTTAAGTGGTAGAGCTGCCAGTGCATATTGGTGTGGAGTTGCAACATCATATCATGGTCATTTTAATTTAAAAATATACTAGTATGCACTTTATCATAAAGTAACTTGTACGCTTCAGGGTAAAAATACCCAACAGATGCAGTTGCCAGTAAAAGGTGAGGTTGGCGGGGAATACAGTAAAACCTGTTTTAAGGGGTGTTTATATTGGACATTTTTATTCACTGTAAAGAGAGGGTAATTAATACATAAGTAGAGTTTGTGCGGAGGAATGGTGTCCACAAGGGACAGGTGTTCACTGAAAAGAGGTGTTCACTAAGACAGGTTTTACTGTATTTTGAAGATATCCAGTTCTATTGTTAAAATAATTGTAAAATAATGAATAAGTGTAGTACCAGTGGGATAGTTGCAATTCTCCCATAAAGTGAATGAATCAAATATCAAACAAGAATAACGTGGTTTATTAGTTTTATTGCATATTCTTCTTTATGATTGTGCATAACAATCGAACATTGCTACTGTTACACTGAAAAGCAGTTTCTGAGCATCTCACGAGTCGCTATGTGTCTATCGTCATGGACAGTCCTCGACGTAACATGGTCGCACCTGCACTCTATCGTCACATTTGCGAACCTGCTCTCCATAAAGTTCTAGTTCTTCAACTTTTTTGATGCCTTGCCAGTCAATATATAGAAAGAATACACCAGTAAACATATCAGTCATTGCCACAACGCCTGTAATTAATTCAAACTGTTACTGTAATTCAAATCTAGTGGATCTGCCATGGAAAAACTGGAACGGATCGTTTATGTAGTTAGTTGTATGGCACTACAGTTATTAGTTTCAATGAAAAATGACCTCTGCATTTCAATATTAAACTAATCACTAAAAAATTTCTCTCAACCTATCATCGAAAAATGATTGCAAATTCATAAGTTAAATTCGACAACACTTTTTAATCTAAGGGTCAATGCTTCAAACATTCTCGAAACATGCCTGGGAACAAGGAGTTGCGATTCCAGACTCAACTAGGGCCATCACATTTAGAGGATTGGTTGAAATGAATAGCTTTATGAATGTATTTTTCCATAGCATTGGTTTAATTGATGAAACGGACTAAGAAAACCCAACCTGACGGCAAAAACGGATAAACGCTCCATGCACCAGCAAACCCTTCAGCCTCTGGTACTACGTCATCAATTGCGAATCCATCAAAATGAGCAACTTCTCTCAGCTCTACGTTGTCCTCGCCAATCCTTAAAACACGGACCCCTGCCTCATAGTTGGCTTGATAAAGATAGTTCCCCTTCACGAAGTTGTTGTGGTCGATACTCTCCTGAGAGGCTACGTGAATCTTTTTTAAAACTGGATTCTCCAAATCTGATAGGTCGTAGATGAACGTTCGAGCATGCCTGCAATATGAAACATTGAGGATGAATTCATAAGTCGGAAATTGCTCTAGGATTTTCTGTCCTTTTATAAAAGAAACATCTATCACGCCTAACTAGAAACATCAGCAATAACCTAATCGATTCTGACGAAGATACTCATACTATGGTGTGACAGAGTTGGATCTTCTTTTTAACCAGCGTCAGATATGCAATGAACTAGGAGCGTAAACGAAGATACTTTTTTAATACAGAGACAAGGGATAAAAATCACAGATAAATTAACTCTTGAAGTTCAGAAGTCAACCCCTACACAAACGCGAACGAGACTTTGTTTTGACGTTTTCATATTCATTGACTATTCACATATCATACATACTGGTCGTTGACGATGTCTTGATCTGATTCGTCATTCAAGTACATGAATCTGTGATCCTCAGAGAGCCAAGTCTGAAAAGATAATGTCGTCTTACCAAGTTGTTATTTGCAATCAAAACCAGATTGAATTTTCCTTGTCCAGAACATACATGAACTGATGTTCTGTCAATCTCACAACCTCAACAAATGCCTGGATTTGAGAAGATCATTATTTGTAAACACTTTTTATAGGAGCTTTGCGTTTGACTGTTTGATAGAGTGAAAGACAAACCAATGCATGTCTAATATACAGATAGGTAGTCATCATTTTTCTGAACATCATTAGAAAGAACATAATCTCAAATGGTTGTCCGGGGTACAAAAAAATTTCAAATAATCATGTTGCACTTTCGCTCATGTGTTTAATCACATTTAATATCAATGTGATTAGGAATCTAAGTTAGCATTCCCGAATTCAACTGCTGGCTAACGGTTTAAACTACTTTTTCATGGCAAACTCATTTAAATATAAATGGAACAGTGGCAGGTACAATTCATATTTAAATGAGTAGGTCATATAAAATAAAACGTTAGTCCGTCAGCCGACAGCCGGCAGTTGAATTCGCGAATGCAAGCTAAAAACGGAGACAGGGAGGCATTGAACCTTTGAACATAAAGGATGCAAACCTGATGTGTGTACTTGGCGAGGTCATACGTAGTTCTAGTAATCACTTTTGTGTTCAACCCATGATCAGTGACATCTATGATAGAGAATGAGTCAAAGTCACACGAAAAGCAGAGTTCTCGTCCACTAAAATGAAAATTATTGATTTTAAGAATGACAAAGGAAGAGTGCATGTTAAATGACAGATAGGATATGTATGAGTTATAATATTGTACGAAAGAAATCCGATCCTCAAAAATAGACAGAAATTCAAGATTCTGAAAATTACAGTTTTGAACGTTTTTCGACTACTTTACTCATAATATAACATATCAAAACAATAATCATAGAGTCACACCAAGGCGATTAGCCTATTTTATAGCAATAGACACTTACTAGTATCTTTTGTCAGGGCCTCTGTATATTACACATTGTGCATCGTGCGCTCCAGCATTACCTAGTTCATCTTTATTCTCCGTGGCGTTCACACAACCAACGAACTTAGGATCTCCGGGAATATTTGCATCAATGATATGTAGACCTGCGTAAAACAATTTCATGAAAAGGGGTGTGGATTTCACACTGATGTTAAACCGACTGACGTCAGCGTTTGGCGCCTACATAATTGCTTTAGTTTTGCAATAACAAAAAAGACGTGGATACATTTTGTCATTTCATTGAAAACGATTTCATAAAAATGCTTGTTGATGTCAAACTCAGGGGCGGATCTGGGAATCAACAAGGGGGGGCCCAAATTTCAAGTCAGAGAAAAAAACGTCCGCGCTTGCGCGTAAAAAAATTTTGGGCCCCTAAAACCCAAAAGTGGGCCCAAATTTTGAAATTTTGAGGCCCGTTTTCTTCAAAATTTGGCCTGAAATTAAAAAATAAGGCCTAAAAAGGCCCAGTAATGACCAAAAAGGCCCACTTTTTGGGGCCTGAAGGCCTTTTTTGGCCCAACATTTTTTTTGGGCCCAATTTTTTTTCTGGGCTCACCCAAGGGGGGGGGGCCCGGGCCAGTGAAACTAATATTTCAAAACAGATTGACGTCGGCGTTTGGCGTCCGTAACGAATTGTTACACGTTTGCAGTTGCAGCCAGGTGGTGTTCTAGATGTTTATCTGATCTAGAGCCTCTTATTAGAAAGGCTAGATCAGTCGGTGATTATGTCTTGTGAAAAGTGTGCAAACGGTTTTCTCCTTTTGGAATACGAAGCCAATGGTAAAATACCAAAAAAGGTTACATCTAACATCTAAAAGTACATCGGTCATAAGGAAAACAAACCCCAACTATCCCAAATCATACACCAACGTAAAAAGAAACAGTGCCTTATACCCCCTTCCCAACCATACTGTAAGTACCAAAATCACGATCAGATTAAACTATTTTCAGAGGAGAAAGATTTCGTACCTGTGCAGTTGGCATAATAAGATCGTTTCTTATCAAAATTGATAGGATTATCAGATGGTGTAGCGTATAAGTATCCGGTCTCTGTGTTAGATATCAGATTGTGACAGGCTCCAATCACATTCAACACGCCATCAGCTTCCATGTAACTGAACTGTTTCTTCCCTCTGACTCTCGTAAGATCAAAATACTGTAAACCATGATCCCTGGCTTCCGAGACGACATACATGTAGTTTCCAATCGTTTTAATGTCACTCCACGTACCGGACTCTATTCCGAAGAAGGGCCATTTGTACGCTGTATTGTGGGGTACGTTGGCGACAAGTAGGGGGTTCCTACCATTGTTTACTCGTATGATAGATGTGTGGGTAACCGTCCCCGCCAGGATGTATTCATCGTATGTGAGTGGGTCTACCCAGCCCCACATATCATTCACCATTGTGTTTCTATAATAAAATTCGACCAAACTACAGGGTGATCCAAAAGATGTATACATTTCTGACATGATTGCTGGACAGGCAATCTCCGAGCCTTTCGTCCAGTGCAATCCGTACGCAACGAACGAAATGAATTTTGAGAATGCTGAACAGGGTCATTACAATCTTCAATGTGCGATCGGAGTTGCCACGGTGATTTTGCACCAAGAGGCTTGAATCGAGGACATTACAAACTGTTGAGGTGTGGAAAAACATACACTACACAAAACATGTTTAAAGTCAGGTCGATGATATATTACTCTGATAACATTTGTCGATTTTATTTTCCAAATTATTTCAAGAAAAACTACTTACTCAGTTACCGTGTCGTTAGGAATAGTTACGTTAAGATCGATGAGACTTATGAAGCTGGCTTGGTCTATATTGAAACATGGCCTGTCGAAAGCAAAACCTAAAATGTCAAAACGTGCATTGATCATTTCATTTAATATATTCGGGAGTAATTCATTTTTAAGCTTAATATGTAAAAGGTTCTGGGAAGTTATAAAAATCGGTCGCATGTGTAGACAGATAGACAAACGAACGGTCAGAGCCTAAAAAGGCGGTTGAGGTCCCATCGATTAGTCAAATGTTCGTCGTTGGGTCATTTTCCAAACGCAAACGTATTCAAATGTTGACTCACCATCTATACAAGGTACAAAACCCTCTGAAGGTTTAGCAATACAAACGTTGTTTCTCAAACAATCGATATGTTTCTTCCATGATTCCATTTTTCTTTCCTTAACTAAAGAAACAAAATAAGGAGATACATTAATTTTGCCAGGATTTAATAAAAAACAACTTATTACATTCTTTGTAATTTTTCGATATCATTATGGTTTGCGGCTAATAATAAATTCAAAAATTTAATATTCGAACAGTGGATTTTCTTGAATAACTATTAAGATTTAAACCATAATAATATCCCATTATTGATTCAATATCTAATTGACTTGAAAAATAAATAAATATTGTTTTTTCTTGTCAATTGACAGCTTTATTGGCATACAATACATGCAGTGCAAAAAGTATGGATTTGGGATCGAGGCTATATAGTATTCTTCATCTTCGATTCGGGCTTTTTGATACGGTTGTTTGAAAAACATTATTAAACAGTATCATGATGATATTCATCATGTCGTCATGTTAAATAGCTCTTGTCTTTTTTGAGAACATTTAATATCGTATAAAACGGTGTAACAGACACAGTTGTCCCCGGGGGGTGAGTGCTCTCTTTGTTATGGTCCAAATTGGTATTAACTAATTAAGAAGGAAGGGACGAGGGGCTTACGAAGACGTTCAAAATAGTATAATAAAATTGCGCAGTATAATACAGACATTATGGCTCATTATATATATCTTTTATCGACTCTTTAGATGTCATATCATGACATATTAGTCACTAAGCATTGATTACATACTTTTTGTAGTCGTACTACTGAGCTCATGTGATGCCGCGGTCATCAAAGGTCGTTCAATAACTATTCGCTTAAAAGTTGAATATAATTTTTACATATTTACTTAGTTTACGTTGAAGCTTTGCATCTTGTTTTGGTTTAATTGCGGACTTTCCTAGGATAGTGTTGTTCTCGTTCACACACAATTCTTTACCGATACATTCTGTCCACTGCCCACATACGATATCTGTAACATTATAAATTACATACTTAGCCATGCCAATAAAATCTTTGAATCTGATTCGGAGAAACAGATTTTGACATGCTCAATTTTTATTATAAAATGAACATCTACACGAATAGTAGTCGCCAACTGCCATATTTTGGTAAAATAGAAAATGCTTCTTTCTTTAAAGATGTGCTATCCTCGTCCATTCAATGCTTTGACTACGTTTTTAATTTAAGTGTTTTCATATCTCACCATTTTTGGCAGCTGGAAAGTCGCCATCGAGGACTTCTTCAACTTGAGGATAGTCTATCTCGTAGTCCACACTTGCAGATGGGAAATACTCTGATGGTCGACGATGGTGATATTTTGATTTCCATGTTGAATGGTGATAACGATGATGATGATTGGATGACTTTGACGATTTGGAGCTTTTACTACTGCTGCTACTACTGTGACTACTACTGCTGCTACTACTATGACTGCTCCTGCTCTTGTGCTTGCTGCATTTACTATGGTCGTGTTTACTACGCTTGCTCAATGTTCCCCCGAGGACGATAGAGCCAATCATACAGACAGACAAGATCAGAAGAATTCTAGTCAAATTCATTATGCATACAACTTTATACAAAATGTTGTGTAATGTTAAGTAGATATTGTTCTCGAAAAAATTTATTACTTTTATTAACTTGAGAAATTAATAAGAATACGTGCACTTAAGCAAGTGTAAGTCCAATAAATTAATCCCGCGTGTTTTATCCGATTTTTTTACATTCAGGGCGTAGGTGTGTAGTATGATTTTAACTTTTGCTTAAATCCAAACAATTATGTATTGTCCATGATCTGCTTCTTCATGCGAATGTCGTAAATTGAGTGAACGAATACGTGTTTATTTTAAGCCATCCTACAGCAAGCAGTCAGTTACAGCCGATTTTTAAATATTGCTTCAAACTCAAGAAACAATGCTCTTTACGAGTTGTAGCAAAATTCTGAAGTGGCTCAATAATGAACTGTAACGCACTTTCTTAACTCGAAATAGCTCGGTAATTAAAATCGTTATTCTTTTAGAATTAAATGGTATTTTTCCAAGAATTAGAGGCGTTAAAATAAACTTAGAAACAAATGATTTACCAATAGTTAAAATATTTATACTGGATGGAAAATCCTTGGATCTGACAGCTCTTAAGAATAGTAAAAGCACCATGGGAAAGTAAAACAAAATATCATCTTGTCAAATTTGTCGTTTTATGATGCAAATAACTAAAGATCATAAAAGGTAAACGATCTTCCATTTAAAGGGACATTTGTAACTCCAATTTCTTCAAGTTTATTTTTAAAAATAAACTAACTTTGAAGTGGAACTTATTAATCAAGATCATTTTGACGTATACAAGCAGTTTAAGTTGAAGAGTAACTGTACATTTGAAATGCATATTGAGGTTCCATTTTCACTTGATGGGTTCACTTTCATTTTTTGGCATTCAAAAATAGCAGTTGCATAATTAAGGCCATTAAGTGACACAAGATCCGTTAACTCTTCTTTGACAGTATTTCAATCAAGTCACGGATGACGTAACACGGGATTAGTGAAAATATTAATTATAGACTAATCTCAGCACATATCACACACGTACAAGCTAGTATTCCATATGATGTGTTCTCAGATAATTCTCCTCATTAAGTTAACTATAATTTAAATCGAATCACTTTTCCTTTCAACAACAGACGTGTGATTCTATACAATAGTAGAGAAGCAAATTAATCGTATGTAGTCTTATGGTAAATATAAATAGTTTTTTTGTACACCCAGTATTGAATGGACCAGCTTATCCTATCCGCCCATATAGCTCCTCAGACCTCAGATACAGAAGGTGCACCATCATCTTGAAATTATCTCCATTTCTTTAAAATATTCTCTCGATGTATTGATTTACATTAGCCACATCTACGCGTTACTTTCAATGAATCCAAACTCATGGTAGGGACTCTTATCCATTGACACCATTTATTAGACCATGCAAGGTTCTGGGTCTTGTTGGTCTGTTGATTTATTATTTGTACTTGGGTACGAAATTGAAAAAACATCAGGAGCCTTATATGTCAACCCCAGACTTACATCAACAAATCATAAGTGACAATTGTAAGAGCAGGATCCCTTAACAAAAATAAACAGTAAATTATGTGTTGGAGGCTAACAGCTACGCTTTGGGGCATGAACATTTAAGCAACTCAACAAAGAAAATAAATGTGGCATCTAACACAATATTACCATAAACTATGACTGACCGATGCCACTTTTGTTGTTAACTGAATGGAATTAACAGAAACTTGTTAATGACTTCAAAATTGATGTACAAGGTGTCCCAAAAAATAACCAAATGATGGAATATTCTTGAAGTCGTCTGATAGACAATTATGTTATCATAAACATCACCAGGTAGTTTTGTTTTATAGTTTAAGAGAAACGATAATCCATATTTTAATGTTGTATGAGGGGAACATGGAGTAACTCTTAAGGGATGAAGAAAAATTCTTGAAATTCAATCCTCTCATGTGAAGTAACTCTATTCAGTTTAAGAGAAAAACTTACTTTATTACCATCACCCATTTTTCACCTTTGAAATTGCATTGTTCTGGATCGCTCAGGATAGGGGTTATTTAGACAATATGTCAGCACTTTTGGTGGTGAAATAAAAATTTTGGCACATCTTGAAAAACATTTGAGCACCAATATGAAAAAATGAATTGAAAGGCTACATGAAGCTTTGAAATCTCATGGTAGTTTTTTCTTAAATTCTATCCTATTTTATGACATATTTGAATTCTATGTACAATTTTTGACGAATTTCTAACGTTGGTTTTCCAATTATTTTCGATCTTGTATTCAATTTAAAATGACTTTTGCAAAACATTTTCTCAGGTTTTGCTCAATCGCTAACATATCAAGAGAAATGGGCTCGCAAGGAATATTCCTTTAACACTGAAGATACATATCCTTTTTATTCAAAGAGAATGATACTTGACTTGTAGACCCCTACTCCACTTCCACATAAATCCACAGTAATACTCCTTCGTTTTCTAATCATCCTCAAACACACATAACAATGACTTCAATTTTTTCTTATTTTTCTTGTTTAATTTCCTCCCAATATCTTATACATATAAAATTGTAAATTGTCTATCGGTTGGACTTGGCCACACGTTCAAGTTCATCTTTTTTCTTGATAGCGTAACTGTTGGAGGATCCCTGGAAAAAGAAATAAAGAAAAATTATTTGTGGACAGAATGTAGCAACAATAGAGCTCAAATGTTGCAAAACATGAGGTGAACCTATCTTCCTCATTAATCATTTTGCCCATTTCAATTTGGACATTTTCACTTAGCAGCAACACTTCATTAAGACAAGAAAACAATTGCTTTACTAACACTACTTGTTTGTACTCCTGGTTCTTTGAGATTCTGAATGTTCTTAGACTATTATTTTTTGTTTCTTGAAAAGAAATACTAAAATAGGACGCTGTTAGCTCAGACATCCAAGGAAATGCCGTCTTTGAGAACTTAATCTCTCAGGTTGGAAACCACGAATGCTGGAGCAGTCTATCATCATCACTAACAGCAAAATATCATTTTCTCAATAAAATAGCTCAGGACTCTAAAAAATGCTGTCACAAACCTTGGCTGCATTAATGAGTTCATCAGCAAGGCATTCAGCAATAGTCTTAATGTTCCTGAATGCAGATTCCCTAGCCCCAGTGCAGAGCAGCCAGATAGCCTGGTTGACACGTCTCAGGGGTGACACATCTACAGCTTGACGTCTTACAGTACCTGAAACATACAATTTGTACTCTCAATTGAAACTGAAACATTACAGAGAATTCTATAGTTGAATATTTGGTGCGATAACAATGGTAAATATCTGAAATATAGACTGAACATTGTGAAAGATACATCAATTTGAAAATGTTCATGTCGATTTGGCATAGTGTGCTGTTAGCTCAGACATCCAAGGAAATGCCGTCTTCGAGAACTTAATCTCTCGGGTTGGAAACCACGAATGCTGGAGCAAAGTCTATCATCATCACTAACAGCAACATTCATAGAATAACACTAAGAAATACCTTTTCTAGTTTGACAAAATTCCCATCAATGAACAGTCAAACACACAACCCAAGTATCAAGTTTACCAACACAAGATAATTAACTGAAACAAATCTGACCTAGATCACAACTAACTGGCACTTGACAATTGCTTATATCTCACTTAAGTTACATCCTGACTGAGGTCATTAAGAGCTGCATTGTGTTATAATATGACATCAAAGAATCGCTTACCTGCTCTACCGATACGGGTGGAGTCTTCACGTGGTCCGCTGTTGATGATAGCATTGACAAGCACCTGGAGTGGGTTCTGAAATAAGCAAAAGGGATAAACATTAGTTCAAATGAATGGTAGTTTCCATATGACTGAATATTAATGGAAAGATGTGTGGACAATTTAATATGCTCAAGAGGGTGCAAAACACTTGAAACCCATTTCCCCTAATGCTAGGGGGAACACTGCATTATGAGGAAACATATACCAATCAATAGGATCAATAGAAGGGGCAGAAACATGATGTCAATGAGTTGAAAAATAATTATGTTGATTTGCTTACATAATAGAGCAAAATGACATTTTTCAAATATAATTTTTTCTGTGATATGATACATTTATTTTCAGAGAAGTTAACTGATGTATTACTTTTTAAGTTTTTGAAGCTGTTAGCTCAGACATCCAAGGAAATGCCGTCTTTGAGAACTGATCTCTTAGGTTGGAAACCACGAATGCTGGAGCAAAGTCTATCATCATCACTAACAGCAATTTAAGTAATGTTACTCTATTCAAAGTTGACATTCTAAAATGTGATACAAAAGGAGACATGCCAGTAAAATTCCAGTTAAGGTTTCCAAATAAGACAACAAACCAGTCTGAGTATACATGATATCAAGACCTACCTCTCCAGTAAGAAGATGGATGATTTCAAAAGCGTGTCTGATGATTCTCATTGTCAACAGCTTCTTGCCGTTGTTTCGTCCGTGCATCATCAAAGAGCTGGTGATTCGCTCAACAATTGGGCACTGTGTCTTGCGGAACCTCTTCACCTGGTAACGTGCGGCAGAGTGAGGGAGTAGCTTGGCATACTTTTCCTTGACAGGAATGTAATCCTGAAATGAAAATATATAATCTTAGATCCTTATTGTAACACTTATGCCATGTTCCAAAAATTTCAAGTTGTTAGCTCAGACATCCAAGGAAATGCCGTCTTCGAGAACTAAATCCCTCGGGTTGGAAACCACGAATGCTGGAGCAAAGTCTATCATCATCACTAACAACCCGAAAAATATTTTATTATTTACCATGCAAGATGTTTGGTAACTCAACTAAAAATATTGGTAAATAAAACTGAAAATGCTAAAAGGATAACTGAGACTAATGACTTGAAAACGGAGTTAAACTACACCAATTCATTAGGGAGATGTGTACTTTTTGAATTTTTATGCAGACATTATTTGAGTCACATGTTCTTTTCAGGAATAACTCATTTTATATACTGTCTCCATCTTTCATATTTGCACAAAGAGTACACAAGGTACCTAGAATAGTGTAATGAATCATTTTTTCTAAGATGTATAATAAATGGGAAAATAAGGTAACCTTGTTATTTTGTACTTTTAAAATAAGGTCATCGATTTTTCTCATTTTTCATACAATTTATAAACAAAATATTACTCATTTGAACTAGGTACGTGTACATTAGTGCACCCTCTGTGCAAAACTGAAAGATATGGACATTGTGGGGATGGAGGAGTCCATATCTGAAATGAAACAAGGACTGCATCAAATTGGCAGAAAGTACACATTAAACTTGATATCTATTAGGGGTCAAACGGTTCAAAATTCCAACGGTTCGGTCACAGTTTTTAGGTTCACGGTTCGGTTCTTTCACGGTTCTCGCGGGTCTCGTAAATTGGTAATATTTCCTTATAAAATTGTAAAGACAGCTCATAAAGAAACAGGTTTTAGCTTTCTATCTAGCCTTGCCCAAGTTGGTCACTTTCTATCCTGGTCCCTCTATTACCTTGATAAAGCAAAGTTTATTGGCCTAGTGGCCCACTTTAAATTTTAAACTTTAGATTTTTCTGTCCTTGATAAGATTTATGTCAGAGAGCTGAGATCTACATGTAGCACAAGCAGTAACATAGCCCCAGGGACATGCATAATAAAAAGATCAAGTCGAATACACCAAGTAAAGAGATAGTAAAGAGATCTCTTTACTTGGTGTATTCAACTCATCTTTTTTTCCCGGACCTAAGAGCAGTAACTTGAGGAAAAAATTTAGCCCCAGGAATTTAGCCTAAGAAAATATTTTTCTCACCGTGAAGATACTTCATGATCTCCCTACAGATTCTGCATATTGATACATTGTCCTCTGATTTCCCATTTACGATAGGAAAACCCCAAAAATTCCAAACGTTGCTTTTGTATTTCAATAATTGAGATTTAATCTCGCAATTCTTGTAGTCTGTCAAAGCAGCCATGCTGAATCAGCACAGATGGCGCTGCGATTGTGTGGGAGATTTAAACACAAATATGTTTCAAGTTTTTAACAAAGACATGCATTTAGTAATGTTATAATTTCTGTAATTGTAGTATTCTTTAAATAATATTGATCAAAAACTAACTCATTATAACAGACAAAACACCTCCAAGAAGCAAAATTAATTGTACTATGAATAGCGTAATCTGACGAGACCAACTTTCGGTCTATTTAAATGTCACAAAAATGTAAACAATTACTTGTCTATCGATTTGTGAGCGATCTGTTTCATATCTAAGGTAAGAATTGAATGTTATCTATTGCTATAAACATGTTTTTAAGGAATATATACATGAAGAATAAGTTCATGTTGAATGAAAGAGAGAATACTGAAGTCTAAAAAATTTCATTTTTCAATTTTTCCTCGAACCGTGGATGAACCGAATCTTATATTTATGAACCGAAAATACCGTCCTAGCATCATATACCGCGGTAACCGCGTACCGCGGTTAACCGTTTGACCCCTAATATCTATAGTTACTTACAGTCAAACTGATGTCGCTGACTTGGACATCATCTGTTGCCCAACGTCCGAACAACTTGATTTCAGGTACTTCAGCAACCACTTGGGTTGGGGTTTCATCCCAATTCTCAGCCATACTGAGAGTCTAAAATATAAAATGTTAATTTTTGACAAAGATACTGTACTGACTATTATAATCGTTACAGGGCAACTTCTATTATGATTTTTTTCAGAGCTGTTAGCTCAGACATCCAAGGAAATGCCGTCTTCGAGAACTTAATCTCTCGGGTTGGAAACCACGAATGCTGGAGCAAAGTCTATCATCATCACTAACAGCCCAAAAAATGTATGCAGCAGAAGTGAAAAATTAACATTGTCATCAAGCATAATGAAATTACTGAACATAACACAAAGTAGCAGTACGAGAGATGGTAGATAAACATGTGGGAAAAGCAAGATACATATCAGAATGTCAAAAAAGAGAAACAAGTTATAATTTACAAAAAGTAACTTTCAATGATTCAGGTTCACAGTGGTATATAACGAGATGGTCAATAACAAGTGGTATATAAAAAGATCAATGATCATATGTGGTTCTCCCGAATTTTTAAAAACACAACTCACAATTTTAGAATTGCGGTCTCTAAAATTCGAAACCCGAGTGAAAATTCTTGTAAAATCTTAGCAGAATGTTGTTATTATTACTTCAACAAGTCCATGACTGTACATGAAGCACTGATATGAAGAGATGAAAGGTGTACAAGAATTTGAAAAAACATGTTCGTGGGCGCCGCCATATTGCTTTTTCCTTGTGGAAAATATCTTTCTATTCAAAGTGTCATAACTACTCAAATGTGGAGTTTTCCTCCCATTACTTGTTACTAATATTGATGGCTAGATATTGAGGTTTATTATGTATGAATTTTATGTAAAAATACGATCATATAATGGAGATATTTGACCCGAAATGAAGGTAGTGAAACTACAAATTACCTAGATCTGACCTGCGAAGAGAAAGAACGGGTTCGACGATTCCAGATGAGGGCTTCCCTGTGCGAGACTTCCGGCGAGATTTCATTATTTCTGAGCGAAACTTTCCCAAAAGTAGTAAGTATAATGCTGTTTACATGATATATAGACCGAGTTGTTTATTGTCAGGATTTCATCCCGTGTCTTATTATACCAAGCATGCTATGTACTCATTTGTTTTTCACTTATTGACTTTTAAAGAGAGTTTGACTGTTCCACATATTTTTATAATTTTTCAGTTTCACTTTTTGTCTGTGTCACTTCAATTGGCCACTTCAGATACAGTTTTGTACTCAGTTGAGGTATTAGTCTGGTACAGACTTTTGATGGGTAAAATGTGAATTAATAGACTTATCATTTGAGTAGATATTTCATACGTTGTCAAGTATATTATATTATACACACTATTTTGGCCTATATCCAGTCTTTGATCAAAGCTCTGCCAGAAATGTGATACCTTGGCATAAGAACTCACTTATCATCAAGATCCACTTCCTGATATCTATAGTACAACCTCAATGACAAGAGTGTGATTGACTTTCAATGTGATTGACTGCAAAGGTTTTAGCTCGGTAGAAGCTACATTGTTAGAGTCCATTTCACCGTTTAACTGCATCAGTAAAAGCTAAAAAATAAGAAATCAAAATATCATTTTGCAATAATATATTGAAAACTATATCCCTATTGTACATGAATGACATTTGTATATCTTGGATTGCTTCTAGTTTGGCTTACAAAGTGTGTGACCTCTTATATTTGGATGCTTCTCTGCCATGTTATTTTCAATAAGATTAACATGGCTGAAATTCTTCAAATTACAAGACGGCACAGGCTTATTGCACAAAAAACTAAAAAATCTGAAATATACGAATGTCATTCATGTACATTATGAATATACTTTTCCATATATTATTGCACAATGGTCTCCCAATTTCTTATTTTTGCCATTCTACTGACGCAATGAAGCAGTGAAATGGACTCTTTTACACATTTCTGGAAAATGATGTCACTGTGCTTGTATGTTATATCAGTTGTTTTGTTGTTGCTATTTATTTAATTTTTTCACAATGTTAATCATAGAGTTTCCTGACCATGATGTAATAGTCTGTGCAAAACACTTGACAACGTATGCAAAGACAATAAAATGTGAAGATGACAGGTGAATCAAATTTTACGACAATACTTTTGTTCCTCTCGATACTTGACATGACAAATGGACCAGGAACTTCAAAAGAACAATATTCAGAACAAATGAAATAAATGCAACAAGGAAATACAGTCATGTACATTGGTGGAACTGGTGCAGTGTACATGAAACACCATTTCCTGAGAGACTGGTACAAGCATACATGTAGTAATCATTAATCAGTAGTTGCAACAAATATGACAACCTTAGCAACCAATCACATTCAAAGCTCCAGCCACACTATTTATGCAGATTTGTACCATATATAAGAGGCAAAAGATCAGTGCCTTTGAAGATGACAAGTTTTTGATTCAGAGGAAGATGTATGCAAAGAAGATAATACACGTATCTGTATTATACAGTAGTAGACATATATCATAATGGTCACAATCATCAGCTGGGTTCTTGATACATGTATATAAGGATTAGAAAAGTTGTCGTTATGTACAGCCTTCCTTCAAGCAGACCTTGATCCAAAACTGACTATGACAACATATCGCTGAACATCTTCTTCTTATTCCTTTAGATTATAAATCGAGATGGCAGCCTCCTTGTCTGGAAAAATTTTGCCGAAATATCAGGTTTATACAAACACATTGAGAAGAGGGCTGAGTCAAGTTGCTGGACTAAACGATGTTGTGATTGTCAGTGCAGTAAGAACTCCCATTGGTTCATTCCGCAGCAGTCTGGCCAGTGTACCTGCAACTCGCCTAGGAACAATCGCAATACAGGGGGCAGTGGCCAAAGCAGGTATTTCCGGTGAGGAGGTAAAAGAGGTCTATATGGGAAATGTGTGCCAGGCCATGAATGGTCAAGCCCCAGCCAGACAAGCTGCTCTTGGTGCAGGATTGAAACTTGACACGCCATGTACAACAGTGAACAAGGTTTGCGCCTCTGGTATGAAATCTATCATGCTGGCTGCACAGAGTCTTATGTGTGGACATCAGGATGTTATGGTAGCTGGCGGAATGGAGAGTATGTCTCATGTCCCTTATTACATGGCTAGAGGCGATTCGCCATATGGGGGAGTGAAATTGATAGATGGTATAGTACATGATGGTTTGTGGGATGTCTACAATAACATTCACATGGGGACATGTACAGAGAAGACTGTGAGAGATTTGAACATATCTCGTGAAGAGCAAGATGAGTATGCTATTAATAGTTATAAGAGAAGCCAGGCAGCTGCGGCTGCTGGAGTCTTCTCTCGTGAAATCGTATCTGTGACCATACCTCAAAGAAAAGGTGATGACAAGATTGTAACAGATGATGAGGAATACAAGAAAGTGAACTTTGAGAAAATAAAAACAGTGAAAGCAGTCTTCCAAAAAGATGGTACAATTACTGCAGCTAATGCCAGTACTCTGAATGACGGTGCTGCAGCTTTGGTGCTAATGACTGCCCAAGCTGCTGAGAGATTGAAAGTTCAACCACTCGCTAGGATTATAGGCTTTGCAGATGCTGCATGCGCTCCCATAGACTTCCCAATAGCTCCTGCATTCGCAGTACCTAAAGTCCTTGAGCAAACAGGAGTGAAACAGGAAGATATCGCAATGTTTGAAGTTAACGAGGCATTTAGTGCTGTAGCCCTGGCCAATCAAAAGATGCTGGATATTGATCCCACAAAGATGAACATTCATGGTGGTGCAGTCAGTATAGGACATCCAATTGGAATGTCAGGCGCAAGAATCACTGGTCATATGGTACACAACTTGAAGCCTGGGGAGAAAGGTCTTGCTGGTATATGTAATGGAGGGGGTGGGGCCTCTGCTATCATAATTGAACGCTTATGAAGAATATTTGAACTTCCACAAATTAGAAAAATATTTGATATTAAGCATTTTAATTCATGATGTGCTCAATATTCAATACTTTGGTATTAGGCCAAATGTGAAAATCTATTTTAGATAATGTACAAAATCATGACAAGGACTAGAACAGACTATGGTCATGCATGACATAATAGACATGAAACATTTGTTAACTGTTAATGAGTTCTCAATACTCAAAATCTTTTTCAAATTAAAATTGATGTCACAAAGTTGAGTGATTAAAATAACCAAAAGAAAATCTAATGGCAGCTAAATTGACAAGATTAAATAAATTAGTTATAGTATTAAATATAAAAAGAATTCCTTTGGATTCCTTTTGTGTATTTCCACGGAATATGATTGGTGGCATTAGCTGTTTCTTCCACTTTCTGGATGTAGGAGTCTTGGCATCATGCACTCTCTTCTTCCCTTCTTCCAATCAGTATTTTTATAAAACCAAAATTAAAATAAATATAGCAACATGAAGGCTGCTTGGAAGATATTTTTGCTTCAGATCGGAGATAGATATAATATTAAAGATAGAATCAGATCTAGCAAACAAGCTGCTAAACAAAAATTGTTTAATTTTTTGAACATTTTTGGCTCATATAACTCCTTGTCATGTCTATTTTCCACAAAGTACATACTTTATTTCAGGAAAATTAATGATTTTTACAATAATATATTATTTTGTTATATAAATATCAATGCCATTTCTATTATTTAGGAGAACATTTGCCCTACTTTTGGACTTTGAAACCTTGAATACTTCACCAATTTATAATAAATCACAGATCTTCTGGAAGATATTGTAAGAGATAGATGGATATATTAATGTACATTTTGCTTGCAATTTTGTTACCACTCCCTGCTATAGATCCGATTTCTGCCTTTAATATTTTTGAATGGTAAAAGGTTACCTGGAGGAAGTTATGAGTTAGTCCTGATTATATCCATTCAGATTATTTCCACTTTAATGTAACTCATTGTATTATAAGCCAGTGTTAACCAACAGACACAGGACAAGGTAATTTTTCTTCATTTATAACATTTTAGTATCTATCTTGAAAAAATGAATATTCTGTTTACATGTACTTATTGTAAATATACTCCTCAAAAAAAGTTTTCCTCATAGGTTTACATGTTAACCCCCATATTTGTTTGAGCAACTGTTTTCTAAGCGGGGAACAAAAGAAATCCCAATAAAGTAAATAAATCTGTATCTTGATTCTATTCCCTATAAAGTCCGCAGCGTTTCAATGTTATATCTCCATTACATTGGGTCAAAATTTGATGTCAAAATTGATGAATTTCATGAGATTTAACAAAAAATGGCAGATCCCATGTTAAACAAATGAGGAATGGTGGCTTAGGGGCAACTCAGATTTTGGAATATCTATTCAGTAAAACATTAATTAAAAATACTTTCTAAGTAGAAAATTGAATGATTTTACATTTACATGCTAAATGTCTCGCTAATGTTATTAAAATCAGCTATACAGAGCGTTAGAGTAATTTTGACCACCTCACTGACCACCTGTGTTATTACAATAAGAGGATCATTAAAAAGTTATTGAATTTGAAACCATTAACTTTTGTAAAGCCTGGACAATTAAATCATATTTTTGTCGAGTGGACAATTTAGCAAGTTTAATTATCACTTACAATTTCAATTCTGAGAGCAATCAGATGGATGGATCGTTCCTCATATGACTTCTGGCAACCCAACCATTCCCCATTTGTTTAACATGGGATCTGCCATTTTTGTTTTTCATGAAATTCATCAATTTTGACATCAAATTTTGACCCAATGTAATGGAGATATAACATTGAAATGTTGCGGACTTTATAGGGAATAGAATCAAGATACAGATTTATTTACTTTATTGGGATTTCTTTTGTTCCACGCTTAGAAAATAGTCGTTCAAACAAATATGGGGGTTAACATGTAAACCTATGAGGAAAACCACTGGTCCTTAACTTTTTTTGAGGAGTATATATAGCTTTCAGTGATGTAGCCAGAAAGAAAAAGTGACGAGGCAAGCACCTCATGCGCCTCATCATGGCTTCACTACAACATTTCCATTATTTAGATTTAAATGGCTGATATGTAACTTAGACAGAAATATGAATGTCAATTATGATGACAATAGAAGAACATAGATTATGCACAATTGAATCAAAATTGATGACTAAGATCAAGGAGGATTGGCAGCCATTATTCAAACTCGATACTCCATGTCCTGGCGATGTACGTATATTATGAATATTATGGTAATATTTAAGTTTCGTAGGCAGTTCTAGTCTTCAAAATATGAGTAATATTGTTACCACAAACGGAGTATCAATCAAGTTTGGATAACGGCTTTCAATCCTCCTTGACTTAAGATTAAAAATTGATAAAATTTATACAATTCATTTACAACTCAACAACAGAGGAATATTTCTCAAATGATTTTTAAAAAAGCAACAGGGCAAGCGCCTCATCTGCTTCATCCTGGCTACGCTAGAGACTTCAGAATATTATACAGTCAGTAATAGCATTTAGTTTTGGATTAATTTTTATGTGACCATCACAAGTGGTAACATATTGTTATAGTCGACAACTTTTTGTGGATGGTGTTCAGCATTCGGTGGTTTGCATCTGTAACATTAACAAATGGCAGGTGGTGACATCTTGCATGTTAATGCCTTGTCTCTTAATTCGAAAATGTTTGATGTTTTATTCATTGCCTCTGTATTTAGGCCATTGACAGAATTGAAATATTAATTTTTTTTTTGTTTCATGTAATGTTTCATAAAACTAAAACTTCCACATGTCACAATGTTATAAGATGTTACCCTAGTTATTAAATATATATATATTATTCTGAACTTGTTCTGTGTTGTAGGGATCTGGTGTGTAAACGTATGATTTGATGTGAAGCTGTCCATTGGACCGATATAGCGATGAACATGGGTGGCACTGATTTTTCCCAAAGAGTGATATGGGATTGATGAACTAACACAAATGGGCTAAAGTAAACAACCATGGGTCAACCATGCATGCCAAATAAGGTATGTCATTTTGTAGACTAAGAGGAAATATTAGTTTAGGGCTCTCCCTACATTAAAATCTGCAGTTCAACACTAATTGTTTCATAGCACCAAGATTTGCCTTAAACATCCCTCTAATAAAGTTTAAGAAATCCTAAAAATGTCACTTAGAGAATTCAAAATCCTACAAAGTGTTCATCAGAAAAACCTAAGATGTTGTACCAAAAATTGCAAAATCCTACTTGCAGAAAACAAAATCCTCTTTACAAGATCCCTCTATGAGGAGCGCTGTATTTTTTTGTATGGCCTTTAAACAAAACAAAATTCTGAACTCTATTTGGCATAACTCACAAGTAAATAGATATTTTACAGTGCACTATAGATTGCCGGGGGGGGGGGGGGGTGAGATGTGTGCACCCATGACAGAACTTGACTTGGATAAAACAGGGGGAAACTGTATTTTTTGACACCATCTTCAAACGTTGACAAATTCTCCCCCCCCCCCCTAGACCAGAAGTTCTTAACCTCAGTAATGGAATTTGGTTAATGAATAATTAATATGAAATCAGCTGGGTTCATAGTTTAATATTACCTGACAGATAATATACATATTAATATTTTATTAATCCACTATGGAGAATATTGATTTCCTTACAAACTAATTAACTGGATTGACTTTTATTCAGACTATTTCATTTAAGATAACTCACTGATGTTCCTTCTGTAGCTAATATGATTTTAGTATTCTTTTGAAGTTCTGCTAACTTCTTGCATTGCAAACTAATCAACATGGTTAAAAAGGTCACCTAATTTCATAACCTGTTATCATGTAAACTGGTATAAGAACTTCTGAGGTTTCCCCTTTTGTAGAATTCACAGGCAATTACATTTTTTTACCATAACATAGAAAAAGACAACTTTTATGACTTTATCGATTCATAAAATTTTCAATTGAGCATTTTAATAATATATTTGAAAAATCAAAAGTTAATATATTTGGGAATGGATAAATTATCTAAAAATGTTTATATGATAGAAGTCCTTTGACAGAGTATGTGAACTTAAAATATTGAATATTAGTTCTCATAACGCAGATGAAATATCCCATATATCAATACACAATACTAGAAATTACTTGTTTTACTTTCTGCAATGCAAGATATTAAAGAATAGAGGATGTTGGAGCGATGCAGAATTTAACTAGACTTGAATGGATAATTACATGTACATTTGTACAACTAGAATATAGCAAAGAATATTGCAAATGTGCAATGCTTTATATATTATAGAATAAGAATAAAATATTGTATATTAAGATAGAGTGAACTCCTGAAAATGAAGAACTTTAAATTAAAGAGAATTGTCACTAGCTCTTATATTGTACAGGTAGGATTATCAATTAGATTTTTCTGGAATTATTTTTTATCTGAAGTAAGGAATGGGTAAATTTAAGAACTTTTCCTTGATATTTTTCCTGAGTACGATTTATTTGATGTAGTTCATATCATATGAGCACACAAATACATTTGGCCAAAAGGGTATAGTATATTTGATATCAATTCATATACATACTGTATAGTATTGGACATTGGACGTATTGAATGTTCTCCAACTTGTATTGCACCCGCCCCCTCTATTTCCCCCAGCAATGGGAGTATAGAGTTAAAGGGAGAGGTGAACTCAAAAGGCTTGCTTCAAAGTTATTAATTTGAAAGGTGGATTTATAGAATAAAAATTTAATGTTTATTTTCAGAAAAGCAACCATATGAAGCTTCGCAGTGTCCTAGTTTGCTGTTTAGTTGTCTCAGTACTGTTTAGTTCTTGGTCAGTGTACCAATTCTTACAGGATAAATGTGGAGGGAGACAGTACACTGTACAACTGGTAAGTGATCCCATCATAGTAACTGCAGTGATCTCGCTGCATTGGGGCAGTGAATGGTGCTGCTCCCTAAGAGATTTGAAAAATGAAAAAGACTCCCATATGCATACAAAAATCATAAAAATCTGAAGAATTGGGTTACATGCATTTTGATTAGCTTTGGTCAAAATCATGAACTCCTTGAAGAACAAAAATCACAGGTCATGTAGTATCAATATTCTCATCAGTGTCTTCATTCTTGTCCATATTCTGGGCCACATTCTTAGAGTTTATTGGCAGTGTGGCCTTGAAGTTTATATTATACAAATACATGTACCTTGACATCCTTTTGAATAGGCAATTGAGAGATAACTGCAAATTATGCCCGAGTCCCATTGTCAGCTGTGACAGATAAGAATAGATTGGAGACAAGTTGGTTTTTGATGGGAATGGAATAAAAGTCTCATTTGAAAGTAAAACAAGACAGCATAGGATTAAATTTTAGGAAAATGAATGTTTGTATTATATTTATGAAAAGTCCCCAAAAACAACAGGCGTTTCTGTGAAAACACAGGTGAAAATCGCCTGTTCCTGCAGCTAATGAAAC